CGATACATTAGCAGTACCTGTAAAATTCGTTTCCTAATTCGTAATTATATTTTATATATAGATTCATAAATTTTTGGCTATGAACCAACAAGCCTGCTCAACTATGCTGAGTAGCGTATATATGCTACATTACTACCTTCTAACTATACTACCTATTAACTCTTCTCATATTCCCACAGGTCGTTTAGCTGGCTCCAGGTGAATTTCCTCCGATCCGTGGAACTTGGCAACAATTCTTCAGAATTAGTCTCTCTTGCAGGAGAAACGAAGCTCTTTCGTTTACGTCAGTCGAAGTAATTCAGATGTGGGAAGAGCTAGATTCTGACAACAGAAGTTGGCTCCCTTCACAGTGGCTTCGGTCGTTCGCTTTCCTTCTTCGATCAATAAACCTCGCTTGATCTTTTGTGTCGTGAAAGATTGACTTGCCAAAACATGTCAAAATATGGCCAGATAAGTAGATAAGGTAGAGTTGTAATGAGAAGCAACTTTCATGTTGAATGTTACATTACCCCTATTGGACGAGCAGAACTGAACCCTTCCCATCGTACTTTAATTCGGGTTCCAACATGGTTAAGGTCTAGACTCATGTTATGTCTTCGACCTAACACGTGAAAAAAGCGCTTTGATAGACTTTCAGGGACTCGTGGAAACTAACTCCATATTTTCATACTCATAAAAGCCGATTTTGCATCGGTTTTTGCCACTGGCGGAGTAGACCAGCAACCAAATGGTTTCACCGGCCAACTTGTCAACTTGCGACGGACAACGTGCGAGTATGTCTTTAGCGGTATTAATGGTATAGCTGGCTTACCTTTGTTTTCTTTTCCGCGTGGGTACGATTGGTAAGCCTCTTTTTGGAGAGTTCAAGTTCGACCTGACCATAACGCTCTCCCAGACTTAGTAAAAATGTACCGAGTGTTAGATTGTACGCCCGAGAACCTAGATAAGGAAGATACAAGCTCGCACAACTTCAAGGAATTGAAGTTCAGATCGTAAATTCATGATTGTATTTGTGATAAGCTTGTCCCATAAGAATTATTGTGCATCTTCCATCAAGATCACGTAGTCCTTCCTTAACGCCATTCCTAGCCACCCAAAATAGAAATGCTCCTTTCAACCAAGTATAAATCAATAATAAGTAATTTCGTAGTCGTCAGAGGCCATTCATGGCATCCTCAGCCACAAAAACATTTCCAGCCTCGAAGTAATCTACGAGCACAAACGTAGGTTTTCTTCCCCATTTGGTCTTGCAAATGTCGTTTTGAGCACCTATACTTCCAGCTCCCGTAGCAGCATTTGTCCTTGGCGCATGGAATCTATCTGGAATCAAGACATCATCGAATAGCTTGACATCCAAGAAGTGATTGACGATATACATCATGCCATTGCCGTTGGAACCACCAGGCCTGTCAAGTTCACAGGATGGGAAATCGGGAGTTGTGACGTCGTAGGGAGTCTCAAAGAAGTAGGAGAATTCATCAAGGATATATGGGACTTTTGAGGTATCCGTGTGGTAGTCTAAAATAGAATTAGAAAATAGGTAGATGCCAGCATAGAACATAGCTTACCCATAAACATCACAAGGCGTGTCTTAGCGTTGATAAGTTGTTGAAGAGTAGGCCAATCTGCCAATTCAAGCTTCTTTCCAGGATTAAATGCGTATTTTGCAAGTCCAGCAGTTTGCATCCTCGCAGCGAATTTTGTGACAGCCACATTATCCCCATTCGTCAACAATAGCGTCACAACCTCATTCGGATGTGCATCCATCCATTTGGCGATAGTCCTCAGGTAGTCCACCAGTTTCCCGGCATTTTCAAGCCAGCAGGAAGTATGGCACAGATAGATATCGCCCAAAAAGTCGTGCGTTTGTGCTTGAAGCATACGAATGCCAGAATTAAGCTGTTCAGTGACGGATAACCCTTGGTTTTGAGTCGGAAGGTCTCCAACGAATGCTGAATCATGAGTGCCTATTTGTGAGACGTCCGAGTATTTTCTGTTACACAAAGCGACCTTCCCATTACAGCCGTCTGCTAGTATAACACCAGCGAAGAGGGAGAAGACCGAGAGCAACTGATTGAGGCGCATATTGGGCAACCAAAGTGAAGTAATGCGACCGCATAGAATGATTCTCGATCGAATAACCTACTGCAGGAAATGGAGAGAGGTCTTCATCTTTATATCTGGGCAAAGTGTGAATCAAGAACTTGATATGTTATTCACAGCTGGCCTTCCTCTCGCGGAATAGAGACAACCCATAAGAACTTCGGCTCTACCGATGCTTGTGATAACCTTGATCTTCTCCATGCCGACCCAAAGCAGGATCGTGAACGATATTGAGCGCTCATGATTGGTTAGTTGAAACCATCTTTATTGGAAGGAATGATCGATGAAACTCGAAGTCCATTCTGAGTTGCTTTCGCGCCACCTCGTGGTCGATCAATTGGAACATTTTCGTGAATGCGCAGGGCAAGTCGCAACATCCTTGGATATCAAGAGTGAGGTGTGCTCAATCAATTGACATTGATTCGTGTTGGTGTTGCATAATTCGGAGGATATAATGATGGACAGCATGGGGAACTGGCCGAGGATGAAGTTTCTCGATGTGATTCGATGGCGGTGGATTTAACCTCGCGAGTGGCGATGGTGGCGCCGCCAGTGTACCTGACAACTTCCAGTTCTCGAACAACCTCCAAAGAATTCACTTGGCACATCAAGAAGACCCAGTCATTTGATAGTCGTGTCGCTCGTGTACAGGCTCATAATTCTTTTCACCTGCCAAAAGAGTCTCTGTGTTGAGGTTCCAAATCAGCAGAGAGGATCATGAACAGTTCAAATTCAGGGGTCATGAGAACATGGGTTGTGCAAGTCGAACAATCACATGATCAACTGTTGGAGGTATAGATGATTTTATATAGTGGTACAAGACTTAAGAAAATAAAGTGCGAAAGTGCTATAGGACGAGACCGGATCCCTATATGTCAACTGATTTTGGTAATAAGTCTTGTGGTTTGTGTTCAAATTCCAAGTTGCGACATTAAGCGAGACGGGACAGAAGAAAAGGTATATTATTTATTCTCATCCGGCCACCCATCCTTATAAGCTACTCTCGCATTCTGGGATACTCTAGCACTCGAAAATCTTGCTTCGTAGGAAAGTTTCGTGCAATAAAATAACTACGAACGAAGCAAATGAAACTACAACGTGCAAAATTGCATATTTGAGAGGATAGAAGACGCTGTGTCTGGGCAGAAAGCCAGTTCAAATTGTCACTCACTTTCAAGTACTGCGAGTTATCGTATTATGGCTTGAGTTGTGCATTTATATTGCAATGTCAACACCAATGGATCGACTGTCTCTAGAGTACAAGCGTGGTCAAAGCAGCTTTGGACTCCATATTTCTTTATGGCATCGGTGTCGTAGCATCTTGGGGTATGACTAGCATTTCAATACTGTTCGATGATATTGCGTGCTTTTTTGAAGATTATAGATCTCTGATCCCTCTACGTGTACTTCAAGAGCTATGGCCAGAACTAGCACCGACGAGCTATGGTTCGCTGTCCTGAAACAGTCTAGAACTGTCTCCTTTATGTAGAACAACATTTATTGATAAAGATTCAACTAAACAGAATGTTCTCTCCGGATGCGAGCATAGAACATTGCCAACCGTAAACATCTAGGCGGTTCAGGAGACCTCGCTTAAAAAGGGGTTCGCTAACAACTATTCGAGGGGAGAGTTATTCTCCTTAATTACCACGACGTAATTTTGACTAATGAATTTTATAAGAGTTTTGAGTACCTATTTCTGAAGTTGTAAAATAAACCGAGCAACTTTGGCTGTTCCTACGAGGTCTAGATCTTGACGTTACTCGAAGTCTATCAATACATGCAAGCCCAATCTTCCGAGTCCACTACAGTGGAGTAAAATCCAACAAACAAAGTGTCAAACCTCAATCTTCAGCAAGCCAATTCCCGTCAAATGTAATACAACATCTTCATCTGCAAGTACCCTCCTCGCTCGTGTCATCAATCTTGCAGCGGAGAGAGCTCCGCCACGCCTCCCTCTATTCTCAACCCGATTACCATCCCACAGCCCAGTGACATATCAGTCGTGTACAACCCCGTCAACCCAACCCTTCAGCCCTAAAAGTACCAGAAACCCAGAGACAGATATTAAGAAAATCTCTTCGACGTGTTACAGAAAGCCAACGTGATACCAACCAAGAATCGACAACACACCGCAAATGCAGCCACCCATCTTGTCTGCCTCTCGCCCAACCTCACACAAAGGGACTCTGTGCCTCAGATGTACATCAAACCCCAACATTACCCCACGCTTTCGTCCCACCACCTTTCGTTACACAACCTCTCATGTCGTAGAACCCCAGCCAGAGGCATCCCTGGGTCACATTCCTACCCAAATGTCACTTGAGTCAGGCCTCGGCATCTTTCTCCAAAACCTCAATTGACCCAAACATTTACCCCAACTCCCCCATGTACGCTCGTGCTCTTTGGGATTTATCCTGGAGAATTAACACTATTATCCGCTGTTGCCTCCGCCGAAAATGACCTTCTGGGATTTCGTTATCGGGTATGCATGTTGGTTGTTTTTGGCTTCGCACGAACTTTCACCGCCGAATGTGGTTGATGACCCGTACGACACACAACATCTCCCGCTGGCTCTCCATTGGGGGTTTCAAAGTGCCGTTCGTGTCATGCGGCATTGTTGGAGCTCCCGTTGTTCAAGGCGCATTTCCTAACATTCGGAGATATACTTGTAGTGAAGTACCCAAGTAGAAAATTGAAGCCCAAAGACTCAAGGAAGATCCCATTTCGCGAATGACCTATTATGGAAAGAAAGTAACTGTAGCACAAAGACCCTGCATTTCCCCTCACTCACCAGCTGGTAACGACGTACCTTCGAGATGCAACGACAATCATCACGAACAACATCAATAACTTCAACAACCGAACCACCAACACAAACCAACAGCTTCGGCCCGTCCCAAGACACCCGTGCAGCGCTAGAGAGTTATTCGCACTCGAGAAACGCTGACCAAGCGTTTACACATGCCGCCCTCTCCTACGAACCCCATCCGTCAGACAAACACATCTTCCGTGCGACACCAACAACCCAACCTCCTCCCGCCGAAAGCCCCGAGTAAGATAAAACAAGCCCGCTCCGTTCGTCACACGGCATGAAATACAACATCTCATCACATTACTTGCCATACAAACAAATGAAAAAAAGTCTACAACCTACCAAACTGCAGCAAAAAGTTATCATTGTGATACTCGCCCCGCCTCGTCGATCCCTCTTATCTGCACCCCGTAACCGCATCGAGTAACTCACGCCCCGTGAAATCTGGTACTGCTGACATGGTGTGCGGCGTCTCCAGAAAAGAGACACATGAAAACATGCTCATATGATATGTATATTCAAATGTTGATATTAACGACTTTCCGATCCAAGCGCACCACCCCATCCAATCAATTCCCCGAAATCCCAACCCGTAACCTCCGAATCCTCCCAAGATACACATACTGTAGTAAAACAAACAAGGAAAAAGTTGCTATAGTTTGCAAACACCTGTTAATGGCCCGAAAGATACGTACTCGGTCACGTATGCCTCTTAGCAAAGCCCGACTTGGCCACTACTCTGGGCGAAGCAGCTTCACACTCCGTTCCTCCACGTAAACTCAGTTTACGCTGCCCCTCACCTCGCCGTGTGAGAGGATGTTGTGCCCCTCGAGGAGGCACCAGGAACAATGATTCTATACCAAAGAGACATCCACAACCGCACAAAAAGCGTGATTCTTCAAGTACAGTCTAAAGACAACCCATCGAAACGATGATCACCGTAGTCAATGTCCGTGCCCCATATATCGCTGGCACCATGAAGAACCAGATACCTTATGCATGGAGTGGACTTTAGTGTCTAAATGGTAATAGAAGGCGGTTTTGTTCCCGAAACGTATAGTTTGATTCGTGATATATGCTCTTTTTATGCCGAAAAGTGTAAGCAGCAACGGAGTAATACTCGGCCACCCGACGCACCGACTTTCGCTGCTAAATAGACAAGGGCAGAAATGGAAATACGCTCAGCCATGCGTAATTTGTAAACCCAAAGACAGCGCGAACCTGGGGATATATTTAAAGACATTCAAACAGCCGCCCAACCGACTAAAAACATGGGTGCTCCCATGTACGACTTGTGGCAGACGCAACCGCAGCCAACCGCCCGGATCGCCCAAACGAGAAATGACAAAGGACATCAAATATATTAGAATGTGGTACCGAGTTTTCCACATTAGGTATGTGATAGTTGCTACGCCTCAGCGTTGTGTATGGTGATGGATTAACCACCCCTTGCGCTGCTGCTGCTATAACGATAGTTTGAAGACGCCTTGCCATGAAACCGATATCGCAACAAATATAAAGAGTTCCGTGTATGGATGAATAGATAAGTGCGCCACCGCTAAAAGATGCTGATGATGATAAGCCTCCGCCAAAAGATCTAAAGAAACCAACGGGCTTAGTAGCCTTGATATGTAAATGTATATATACGATAGTGCTTAACCACATAGTGGAAAGTTTGTTGTAGATTTGCGAGTGTTGCATACTGAGGGTAGCTTAGTGTGTGCTCACTGGAGTCTCCCCCGTCGCCGTACTTGAGAAGCTCGAATACACGTTTGGCCTCTCTGAAGGTAGCAGTCCCAGCTCGGCGCCAGTGTGCTGTAGAATGCGCAGATCTGTATAAAGAGCGGAGCTAGGCTTTGCAACGAGTTTTAGGAACGATACCGTCTTCTCAAGAAGCCCTTTCAAAGTCGCGACGTCGATAAATTGCTTTAAGATCGGGTCTTTATAGGCGGCTTGAAGAACAAGCAAATTACCCCATTGTCTAAAAGTCATTAGCACAACGATGACTCGTCTAAATTTGATGAGGTGACTTACGCATGTGCAGTTCCCCATATGTTGGTAACGATTGGACGATGTCTACCGATGTCACCCAGTCCGTGAAAGGCAGTAGTGCTGCTGATCAGAGCCTTGATGCACAGCCTAGCATACTCGAGCACTTGTGGGTCTATACCTTCTCCACTACTTACACCTGTTGATATGTTTGGGACGAAGATGCCATCGACGAATTCGGTGTTGATAGTGTCGCTTGGGATGTTTTTCTCTTTACTGGCAGAGTAGTCAAGAATTTTCAAAACGAAGTGTCGATACGTGATGACCTGGGCTCCATAAAACTTGGCTCTCAATCTTGCTCCAAGGATATCATTCGCAGGTGGGTCGTTTGCATCCCAACTCATGGTGGGTGCCCAGATGGGAATATTCTTGAGGTTTGCCTCGCACGCTTCGATGGTAGCGAATCGTTTGAGCTCTTTGTTGGGATGAACAGACTGCGGGAATTGGGTATCTGAGGGTATTAGCAGCTTGATCACGAACAACACCTGGCCACTTACCATTCTCTGGCTTGTAGAACATATTGTGCAACTGATTCAGATGCTTGCGGAGAAATAGCTGAGCACCATAACTCTCTACAACGGTGGGCTCGAACCCACCCAAATCCGCAGCAGCTGTAAAATTTGGACTTGGCATATCTTCTTCGTGAGTGAGAATTCCTGAATGCGGACAAGGAAGTTCTGCCACGATGTCACTAAATACGGTTAGTATACCACTTTTAATGTCATCAGAATTCGACATACCTTTCAAGCTGTAGACACGTCCAAAATGCAATGATCAGAGGATTGTCTTTCGCAGGAACAACGCCGCCATCTAAGCCCATTTTAATCTTCTTAAATCGTTCCAATTTAGGTCGTAAAATGACCTGAAGAGCACGGCAAGCCTGGTGTATGTACGCATGACTCTCCAAGACTCGACCTAATTGTCCGTGGTATAAGCCGGCGAGAATATTGACATGAACGTGTTGGAGACTGTTTCCCCCAAGTTGGTTCCCAATGATATCAGTGGCAAGAGCGAAATAAAAGAGTCCTGGGATGACATCAAGATTCTTTTGCTTAGCACCGGCGATACCTCTGTAAGCACCTTCAATCGACGTCCGCCGACTTCGAGGCTGCAAACGGTCGTGATCCTGCGGAGAAGGAGCTCCTAGTGGTGTCGATATCGTCGGAGAGCTCTGCATTGGCGATGGTGGATGACCATTTCGAACTATGGGAGATGCTGTCCATGAGTTGTTCACTTCTTTATCAGGCACAACATCTGGAAGCTTTTCTTTGTGCTGAGTAACTGCACCCAGCGCCAATACCAGAAGCACCAGCGCAGAGCTGATGGATCTGAAAGGGTGACCAGGCTTGATATCATAATAATTTGGTAATTCTGGATGTTCTTGTAAAGCCGGCGACCTTTTTCGCTTGTTGCCAGGACTATCGGGATTTCTCACAAATCCTGCCGAAACTTGGCTTTGAACATAGCCCGCGGCAACCGCGTGAAGTTGCTTGGGCTTCGCTTGACTTTCTGGCGTTGTCTTCAGAAAGTTGTCCACAAGGACGTCCAGCCGCGAGTGAACTAGGATGGGATGCATGTTGTTAATGTTGTCTTTATAGCTTTGGACGAGGCTCGCAACAGTTTCCTTGGAGAAATCGGGCATTCCTTCAAAGTTGATATTCCCTCTGGTAAACTCAGGCGGGGGGTTACCAGGAGGGGTGAGGCCCCCAATTTGACCCCACTCCTCACCAGCAGGAGAAGAAACATCCGAATTCGTATCTCCAGAAATGCTGTCGTTGCCGTGGTCAACTAGAGGATCGCGATCGTATCCTGGGGGAGCGTCAAGTCCCTCTCCTCTACCATACAGCCGAAGCAAGCCCCGCTTCTCTTCCTGATTCATGGGGTATTTCTCATTCTTTATTTTCACGTTTTTCATGATCCCATGACACATTTCTGCTATCACGGGGACTAAAAGCAAGCGTGCGGCTCCCGTGGTATGATTGACTGGGATCGATGGAGGCTTCGCTGGCCCAGGATCACCGTCTTCTTCAGACTCCTCGATTTCGCTTTCTGCCATTGGTGGTTCCGCCGTTTCTATTGGTCGCTGAGGATAGACGGGTGTCGATGAGTACGGCGATTCCGTTGCTGAGGGAAAACTTTGCGATTGCGTTTGTTGCTCAGGTAAGCGCTTTTGATACCGATTCTCGAACGAGCTTGCCACAGGTTCTCGTGGCTCTTGCTTCATCTCTTCCTCAGTGGAACCATGCTGAGACCGCGCACCGATTTGATCCGGAAGTCGTTTGTAGAGCTCGTCCGTCCTACTCTTCATCGACATGAAATCCTCTCGCAAGGCCATCACAGCGTTAGTCAGAGCTGCGATAGAGTCCACTATCTCCCCGGTCGCCTTATCCTGTCTGTTTTTGTTAGTCTGACGTATCAAGAAGGCACGAATGAGCCTACTGTTTAGGGGGTGGATCTCGGTAGCGGCACTCAACTCCCTTCTCTCGACAACTAGAGCAAATAGGCCGGCCTTCGTCACATTTTCCTTTCAGTTGACGACAACTATCACACGCCTGCGCGGCACGCTGGGCTTTCGGTCTTTTCGAATTCTGAGAATTTGAGCTTGCTGAAGGGTATGATACTGAGGAGAAGACCTCACGCGGCGTTTGAGGTTGGGAACCAAAATGTTGTTGCTGGTGGTATGGGTCGGTCGCGGACATTGGACTTGGTGGTGGGGGGAAGGACGCCGGTGGCGGTCGATAGGGCGGATGCTCCTGGCTGTGATGGTTGTATAGGGGAGGGTACGGTGGTCGCGAGCCCTCATGAAGGCCTGGTGGCAGAATTTTATCTGTCGGCGTCCCTGTAGAAGGGGGTCGATAATGTTGCGGTGGCTCGTCTGAATCACTCCTCTTCACCATTGGAGGCTCTCGTTGTGGCGGTGGTCCAAAGCCTGGGGGAGGATGGTGATAACCATGCGACGGCCCCGAGGTAGGTCTTTGATGCTGCTGTTCGTATTGCGGGTGTTCCCCAGGCCCGGGGGGTCGACGGTCGAGATGATGCGGAGGTTCTGGGGGGCGAGAGAAGGGTGAGCTGTGCGGATATGGATGTACTGCGGGAGGAGGCAACTGCCTCGATGTTTCTGAACTCTGCCATCGTTGCTCATGAGGTGGGCCGCCGGCGAGCCTGGGACGTTTTGGATCCGGCCCTACGATGTCCATCATGGCTCTTCACACTCTCTCGCTCTCGCGCACACAACACACACACACGCACACAAGACTCAGGCGACCACAGCAGTAGAGGCCATGGACGGCAGTCAAGCTCGGCGGCTTCTTACAGGTTCTCGACGGACACAGAGACGTTCAGGGCTCGCTGGAAGATCATCTGCTCCTTGCGGGTAGGACAAGCTGACGTGTTGATCAGGTGTTCTGTGTTGTGGGAAACGGTTGCGGTGCGACTGATTGCTCTCAGGAGCTTAAAACGGTTATCTGGATTATCACGATTGATTAGCATAGATCCAACGCGAGCGTGACATCCGGGTCGCTTGTGGAGAGGCGCGAGACGAGCGGCGAGCTCGACCAGCACAGCGCTGCTGGGTGTGGAAGAGTTTCGCTACCTCGACACGGGGGGGGGGGGGGCGTCAAGACTGGCTGAATGCGCGGATGTGATCTACCTTTACGGATGCTGTCAGAGCAAGAAGAGATCCCCAATGCGATCTGGCGACGACGATAGCTGGTTGTGTGTCGTGGGGTATCCAGACGGTGGGTAGTGCGGCGGTAATTTGTCTGTGAGATTAAAGATGGTGAGTGAGTGAGTGAGTGAGTGACAGCTCTGAGGAGTGGTGGTGGAAGTGCGTGCGGCTTGCGGAGCGGTACGGTGCGGCTAGACCAATGGCAGCACCAGCGAATCTGACTTTTGCCCGGCGCATTGAAGAGGCTCGAAGTCGAGAAGCGCAAAAGAAGGTTCTTTGCCTGCCGCCCGCCTTGGTAGGAGAGAAAAGAGAGAGCAACTTACCGTGTCCTGCGCTCGTTCTGTGAGCGTGCTTCTCGTCTGGAATTGTTACCGCGAAGTATGGCTGTTCTCGCAAAGCTGGTGTTGACCGACAGGCTCTGAGGTTGTTGTTTGCGAGAACCAGCACCTTTGCGACGACGACGGTTCCTTTAGCTCGCGGGCTCGACCGCCTGTCGGTTCCAGTAGTCCAGAGACTGCTCCGTCTCCGAGTAGCAAGTAGACAGCCATCATCCACTGGTGGGTGCCCGGGTGGTGTGGTGTGGTGGGTGGGTGGGTGGTGCGGGTGGGTAGGCGATGATGAGCCTAAGACGCTGGGGTAAGGTACCGCTGCTGGGCCAGACAGCCAGACAGCCAGACGGACAGGGGGGCGTATTACTACAGAGGGGAAGCTGCCCGCCAATATCTCGCCCGTCTGCCACTGAAGTCGTACCATCTCGCATACGAGTAGGGTCACCGCTGAACATATGTAGGGGGCGTGGCAGTGGCCCATGCGGTGAAAATACCGTAAATACAGCCCTGGAAGCCCTAAACAGAGTGCTTCGTACCAAGGTACCAGCGGTCCTGCACCGGCTAGTCAGTCGCTAGAGGCTAAACAGCGACCTCGAGTAAGCAATCGGGCATCATTCTTCAAAGCAGAATCATGTCGTCAAGCACAGCGTCAGAGGAACATCACCGCAACGGTGAGACAAGCGCGGGAGACTACAGTACTAAGCCCAAGCCCACTCCACAACATGAAAGTAAAAAGTGCCACAAAACTCAGAAGCCCATCATAAGGCCCAGCACTAAAGTAGGTCAGGTCCATGCCCACTTCATCTTGGATCTGCACTCATGATGAGCTTAGAACCTGTTCCTGAGCCTCCTCCAAATGATGCCCTCTCCAAATACATCGGGCATAAACCCCGTGCCGGGCCCGACTGTACCAAAGTACAGTCTGGACTGGAGAGTTGGACGTTACAACTTGAATGGCTAGCGATCGTCCTGTCCAAACGCTAGACAGGCGGTACAACGGAGATTTACAAGAGGCTTGCCTGGGAATACAGTAGTGCAGCGTACTTTCGCTATCTAGCGAAGTCAGGGGCAAAACGGAGCAGAGTCCGTAAAAGCTTGAAAGCCAGGGCCTTCGTCATGTATTATTTCCAGATTCTTGACACCGCTCTTGTATCGTGGTGGCGTGCTCCAGCAGGACGTGTAATCAATACAAGGAATTGCCCTGTAGACACGATCTATCTCGAGATATGCGAATGTTGCGGTGAGGTCGCTGAGGGTGGCATGATGGCATCCCAAGTGCATTTCTGCTGCGTCGTGTCGATGGAGAAACGGGAAGTAAACACGGTGAGACTTGCTTCTGGCTCTCTTCTCAAATGGTGCTATTGAACGATAGTTGAAAGGCTTGCTGGCGGATACGGGCAGTCAGCTTTTGCAATGCGGTTATCGTCCCAAGTAAGAACTCTCGGCACTTCTGTCCTGAAAGCGCTTCGGCTGATTGTCCCGTCCTGTCCATTTGTGGCGTACGGAGTGCTTCGGATTTTTGCAACCTGGTAACCCGAGCGCCAGGCGTGCGGTGCAAAGGAGCTGGTTTTGCAGAAAGCAAGATATTTGGTGGAGGCGATATACAGATCGAAAATGATCCGTAATATGAGAATATTACTATGCACGGAAAGGCTCAAAAACACGTAGATTTACCAGCGGAAGGCTAAAGCTAAGCTCATGGAAATAAAGTGTGACGGATATGCAGATTCAACAATGCCCAATGTCCTTGATTGGCAGATCGTTTCTGCCAAACTCCAATCTCGAGTACCTCGAATAGCGGTGTCGTTCGCCTTGGTGAGACTATCTCATTGTCAGGCACAGAAGCTGGAAACCATCTACCACTACTCAGGTCAAAGCAACACTCACTCACCACGCGTTATGGGTGGAATTATTATCAACCCCGCTGCAGGCGACGCTGGCTGCATCGTGCACTCCATACTTGCAGTTGCCAGCGATCGATTGGAAGTCGCCTCCAAGATCCGTGTCAAGCTGTCAATCATTTCGGGTCTTCAAGGCGAGTCATAGAGGGACAGCTCTGCAGCTTCCACAAACGTAATAATCTGTAGATAATGTATCCGCATCCTTCGCCCCTCACTACACGATGCATAGATGAAAGGTACCGGCAGTATCGAAAAAGCCACTTCTTCAAACCTGAAGCGACTTGCTTGCCACGAGGTGAAGGCCTGTGCTTTTTGGCCGGCTGCCGAAATTCCTTCTGCTGCTTCTTCGTCTGCAAAATTCCCCGCTCGCGCCTGCGGCCTAGTCCATCCCACTTCAGCACCGTTGACCGCTGATTCGAAGCTGAAAATACGCCTATTCCAATCCACAGCGCGGTGGCATGGAAGAGAACGGTCGGCAACATGATAAGAATCTCGGGTCCGAAGCGCAGTGGTTGCTACACAATTCTGTTTCTACTTCGAGTATCATCTTTGTTTGTAACTAGCTTTACTCGATGTGGCGGGTTCGAGGGTAGACAAGAGAGTGTTATTTCCGCGTGACATTATAAGGGCAAAATGAATTAAAGGCTTAGCTAGGGAAAGCTTGTTCGTTAAAAATGAACAGGCTATCAGTCATCGAAGTATATATCAAGAAAAAATAGAAAACACGTAAATGTCAACCGACAAGACCCGACATGTACTCGTATCTTGAGATAAAATTATAACAGCCCGAGTGTTAACAACGGTAAAACCAGTTGTTAAACCCTTGTCGTTGATCATACACAGTAATTTTGAAATGACAGGCTTGCAACCACCCAGGAGACCGCGTGACCTTTGAGGAGTGGTGATCACTTGAACCCACTCTGAGTCTGCAGCTTGATTGTCACCGCTTGTTGGCATTTATGCAACTCTAAAAGATATGGGTGGAAGCCAGAACTTCCATTTCTGACCCAGGAGCCGTAGCTGTGTATAATCGAGGAGTATCAAACATATCGCAAGAAATAATGGCCATGCCTAACCATGATACTCTTTTGTAAATGTGTCTGGGTTGAGACAACTTATCACGCGCACAGGTGAGGCACACAATCTAAGATAAACCGGGATTTGTGATCTGCATCATTCTCCATGTTCTGTGCGGTAGATGCAACGACCAGAAAGCTGTGATATTACTTCGGCTTCGGTGGAATAATGCCGAACTCATAGGCCTTTCTCTCATGTTTGAATACGATAAATTTTGAGCGTGAACATCTTCTTTTGATAATCTGGTAAAAAAAAAAAGAATCATAAGCCATGCTATACCACAACAATCGTCAATGGTAAGTCGACTTACTAATGTGATAATCGATGTCTTGACGTCCCGTCCTGCTTACCAAGTCCAGTCGAGTAGAGTAGGGAAGACAACTACCCTTGCACCTGAATTGTAACATTTTGTCTTGGCTTATCGATTTTGGTGGATAATTACGGTAGGAGTTGTAACCACAGGTACTTCCTATAGGCCTTAATTGTTCTACATCTACTATCCGTACGTACTCTAGAAGGTTCGATATTGTAGCTAATAAATTATTTATACTTAAACTACCGCTTTAGTACCTATTTAAACCACTTTTTTTATTATAGATTTATTATATACTATACTAACGCCTAAAATACCTCGAAAAAAGGAGTGTTCTCGCGATAATCGACTCCGAATTTAAACCTTATACCTTTACGCTAGATTTATACAAGATAAGATTACCTTATAGCTTAATATTAGTCGCGATTAAGTATAATACGCCCTCTAATACTAGCTTACTCCTCAAAAATTACGTCGAGGTCGAAAGGTCGTTTTAAATACTCCTTAACGAAAGCGCTTAATTAAATAGGTTATAGCGTCTAAAAAGAATAGGAGAATACGATAGGTAGATATTCTAGCTATTCTTAAGTAGGATTACGGCGAAAAGGCTATTTAGACTACCTTTAAAAGAGAAGGATTTACTCGTCGGATTACTTAAAGAAAACTACCTCTTACGGCCGCCTGTCACGAGCAGCGTCGGCCTCGGCGTCGTAATACTCCTAGGACTAAAGGTCCTAGGATCAGACGAGGTCACGGGAATCGAGTGGTTCCTAGGACCGCCGTCTAGTGGATTAATTTGGTTAATATTAGTTATGTTCAGGTTGGCGGATAGGCCCCGGTTTAGGGTACCGTCACGTGATAATAAAAGTTCGACAAGTTCGGCCAGCGAACCTGTCGAACTCGAGGAAAGGAAGTTCTATATAATAATTGTAATTTCTTTAGATAGGAGCTTTGTGCTTAACTTACTATAGTAATAGTATATCATCTGTTTAATTTACTCTTGTTGTAACGAATATACCTTCGAGTATACGACTTGATAATCTTGTGCCTACTTACTTACATACCAACCTTACGATACCCTAGTCTACTATCGAGTAGGGAACCGAATCGTTACACCGCCTATAAGGCCGACCGGCTTACCTAGGCCTAGGAACACCTCTTTTAGACCGACGAGTAGTAGGAATTAGTACTATAGATAGATAAGACTTAGGTTAATCCGGGGAAATATAAGAAGGCGTAGGTAATAAGGCGGATAGGGGAGGAAGAGCTCTTTCTCGACGATTGTCTCGAAAAGCGATACTAAAGAAAGATAGGGTAGATATTTTAGGGGAGTATAAGTAGTAGATATAGGAGGTATCGAGGACTCTTTTAGGAGAAGGATTAGGAGACAATAAACGCTAGCTCTTATAGTAGTATTATTATACCTATCGTTTAAGATATTCTCTCTTAATATCTAGATCTCTCTTTCTAATAAGATAATACTAAAGGCTACTCTACTACCTTTATAAAAGAGGTTTTTAAGGTAATCGGAATTACTCCTATCTTTTGGCTAGCTAACTCGCTAGATTTAAACCTAATTAAGACTATTTAGGATCTAATAAAGGATTATATCTAAAATAACTACCCCGAAGTTTACTCTTCTTATCCTAAGCTTAAGAAGGTAGTTTAGGAGGCTTAGGATTTAATTACGGAGGCAACTATTAAGGAGTTAATTCGAGGAATAGGTAACCGATATATTAAAGTAATTTTGGCAAACGGTGGCCATATAAAATACTAGAGTAGTAATTTAAAGCGGCATTTCCAAGCATTTAGCGTGCACAGACTGTGGTTGTAGAACAATTACGCCCTGTACGAAGTAAAAGCAGCATTTCGTAAACTAGGAGCACGGAGCTTCATATTGGTTTAAGAAGATCGTACGATTTTGTAAGAAGCGAAGCATTCTAGACTGTCAAGGCGGCGTTTTTCCGAGAATGTATTCGTATTGAGACAGGGATCAATATTATCGACGCAAGCCAGCGGCTATGAGTCGTAATATTCGCTATTGCTATTGTCGCTGGTATGGTCTTTGACTATTCGTCGTTTTTTGGTTGGCCTTTTATTTGGCTTCAATTCCGCATCAATATGTCGGTCGACTCTTGTTTCGGAGGGCAATTCTCGATCAATTAATTGGCCTTCTGTCAGAACAAAGTCTTCGGTTTGCTCTAGCCTCGTGGCTTCTTCCATCAAAACGCCAAGCGCTATCAAGGCTGTCTCGTCCATGCTTCTCCAGTCAACCACATCATTGTGAGTGCGAGAATAGTAATCAGAAGCATAGCAGTGTAAGGCCTTCAAGAGATCGGACTCCGGAAGGTCTCTGGCTGCACTTTGCCGATCATTGGCGAAATAGATGTCATGCTCGGCGAACCGTTGAGGCGCATGCTTTCGACGAAATAAAACATTTTCTGGGGCGGCCGCGGTAGCTGACGAAGACGTAGTATCTCGAGCAGAGGAGAAAGCCGCATACTTGGAGATGAAGCCATGCGAGGATACTCTACCTAGGTGTGTCTCAGTCTCAGCTTCTAGAAGACGGGCTGCCGCACGATCTTACCAGCAACGGCGTCGTAAACGCTAGCTTCGCGTTTATGCTCTGTTTTGGCATCCTCGAGGGCTTTCCTGGGGTTGGTGGAGAGATCTGGAGGAGTAGTTCCAGATAAAGTGGTGGTGCGGTCAAGGAAGCCACTCTGCAAATAGGCCTTGGAAGTCATACCGAATCCGAACAGATGGAAATTAGATGGCCGGTGGCGCTGCTCGTCAGCTTTTTGTAAGCTTTGCTGCCGTTGAGCTTGTCTCGAATTCGTCAGTGTCGTTGGTGAATCTGTGGTGTTGGTTGGCTTGATATTGAGACTGAGTCGCGCGGAAGCCGGACCGGCTGGATCCGTACCGCTTTCCGATCCTCGATTTGATCGAATTCTTCTGGAACCGCTCACGAACCGCTCGAGAACCGGTAGATATGAAAGCCTCATAAAGCCACGCTGCTGATAGGTTTTACTTCCTGGATCGATCTCAAAAGCACCTCGTGGGAGACAAGATAAGTTGCCGAGACGGAAGATCTAGTAGATCCAGTCCAACATCATGTTTACTTTTTGGGCGTTCTTTCGCACAAGAAAAGGAACTCTTTGACCGGTGAAGGCTGAAATGCTTGTCTGCTCCTGTACAATCGTGTTAAGAGATAACTTAGAAGATCACAGGTACTCTGCTTGTCCGCTGCGAGTCCGTCCAGGTCCTTCTTCATCATCTTCTTGGCTATCACTCTTCTCTTATACCAGGACCAGGAGGATTATAAATTTGAAGCGAACCTCTCCAATATGTTCTTGTATCTCAAAAATCATCTTATCTCGTGTGTTCCACAACAACAAACAGCAGATTTCATCTTAGCACAGTAAAATGTTAATTGCTCCAAAGAAGCTCTTTTGGACCCTCTTCACTGGGTATACTATAATCTTCCTGTAACATATGCAGGTATTTCAATTCCCGCGGCTAACGACCCCTCCTGGGTGCGGGGAAATAGCGTCGAGTCTACTGTTACTTGTGACCCAATAAGGTCATCTACGATATTTCTGTCATGGTTCAACCCCAACCTTTCTATTTTCTTGTCCACTTGTCCACTTGTCTTAACTGACATTCTCCCGATATTCAATATGGATGAGCAGCTGACTAAAGCAAGTCGTCGATTGACACAAGTGGCCGACTTCTTAACTGGAAACAAAACAGCTACTACCCTTCCGTGGGACCCGAACTGCACCAGATTTCCTGCCAGGAAAGACGTACCAAAAAGAGAAGATGCGCCTGATGAAGCGTGAGTGACGATTCGAGCTTCTTGGAGATGCGTACTTACTTTTGACAAGCGCTTGGGTATGGGGGAAAAATGACTATGTCAGCACACAGACGTAATAATTGAGTCTCGTCAGTTGGCTAAATATTTCATAGCTAGGACGCATCAACCTTCTTACTCCAACAAGAGTGGCAAATTCTGCCAAGGAAATCAAGCTTGGCTATATAGTCTCATTGAACCTTCCACTTGACGTACCAAAGGTTCCAGCATTTGCTCGAGAAGAGTTCAAACACGAAATCAAAGCATTGAGTGAAGGAGTGGCGTATGATGATAAGTATCAGTTGAACACCCAGTCCGGAACACAATTCGATGGGTTCCGTCATATTGCTCACATGCCAACAAAAACATTCTACAATGGTGGGGGGTTCTTCTCTCTTGGATAATCTGATCGACATTTGTTAATCAGAATAGGCACTAAGGGAAAGGACATTCAAGGACCAGAACAAGATCCCCACAAGTGTGGTATCCATCACTGGGGAAAACATGGTATTGCTGGGCGAGGAATCCTGCTAGATTATTGGACCTACGCGAATGAAAAGGGGATCATATATGGTAAGACCTCGCAGTCAGACCTTCCGAGTGCATATTTGACTCCCTTTTAGACCCATATGATCACTACACAATTTCTTATTCTGAACTTGAGGCGTGTGGTAAATCTCAAGGAATTGACATCCGACCAAGCTTTCAGGGAGGCGACATCCAAGTTGGGGACCTTCTTTTCATTCGTTCAGGGTTTGTTGCGACTTATTACACTAAATCCCCCGACGCCCGGGCAGTGGCAGCCCTACGACCACATACCGGTGGTAAAGACGACGGGCAACGCTGGGCTGGTGTAAAGCAAGAAACTGCCATGCTAGATTGGCTTCACGACTGCTACTTCTCTGTTGTGGCTGGTGATGCTCCGGCGTTCGAGGCGTGGCCGAGTCAAGAGGACTACATGCTTCATGAGTATATTCTTGCTCTTTGGGGCATGCCGTTAGGAGAGATGTTCGACCTGGAAAAGTTGTCGAGCACCTGTAGAGAGCTGGAGAGGTGGAGGTTCTTTGTGACAAGCTCGCCGGCGAATTGCGTTGGTGGTGTGAGTAGCCATGGCAATGCTATGGCCTTCTTTTGAGTTCACATCGCACTGCGAAATAGTATGAAGCAATGAATTATTTCGTTCTTGCGTTCGATAGAAGTAGCCTCATAGGCTTGCTGGGTGAAGAGAGACCAAAATTCGTCGTTCAATTCCGCACGGCTGTATAAAGATGTATATTTCCTCTCCCTAGGTACCATAGTTGGGGTACTGTTGGAAAGTGACCTACTAGTCGACTAGTGCATAGGAGGGAGTCGCGGTCTGTACCGATCTTGTTACATTCAAATTTGACCTTCTGGGGTTTTGATTACATCTGTTGGCGAGCTGCGATTGAATCAAACCCTTCTGATAAAACATCTAATGCGGACAACATCAATATCAGGCGTGAACTGTAGAGCTAGTATTTACGGTAATACTACATAAATTTTGGTTCGCTCAATACTTGGTTATATACCCTAAACCGCCTCGTCCACTTTCTTGTTGGAGACCACAGGCACATCCGCCTTACCCTTCTCTTCCATTTGGTATGCCTCAGTGTTTTCATTGCGCTTAGCTCTTCTCTTATGATCAATATTGTCTCTCCAATCCTTCCCCCAGATAACGGCCGCTCCAGTAGCCAGACTACTCACGATTAGAAACCCAGCGCTAATAGTGCTGAACCAGCCCACCCCAATAGCTTCGACGGCAGGCAAAACAACGGCACTGCCTAGAGCGGCAAAAATATATCGGATAATGTAGTTTCCAGCAATGACTTCGGCGCTTTTGGATTGCATCACATCCAGACAGTACGTATTCACACTAGGGAAGCAAAAGAGTTGCGCTATTCCTTGTCCAAACATCATGATAACTGGTAGGGCGATGCCACCAAATCTTTTCTCGACACTCCAACCATATATCAGCATACAGAATGGAATAACAATACCCATGAATGGAAGGCATGAGCGAAGACGATCTTCCGGTATACGAGTACCGCGCTTCTTAGCCCATGAAATAGTAACATAATCTGCGTATCTTCCGCCACAGAATGTGCCTAGAATATAACCGCAACCTGGCGCTAGGTAAAATAATCCAGATTGCATGGGTGTGTTGAGGTTGAATCTGGGATTCAACACATAACGGATTGGTGTGAGAAGAGAGTACATGTTCCAGACCAGACTGGAGGAAGCAAGAGCAACCATGATAAGGTTGGGGTATTGATACAATTTCAGTACCCTCCAAGGATTCAGCATGGATCCCAATATTCTCGCTTTCTCGCGTAGAGGCAAGCCAACAAGTTCGTCGGCCTTTATCCGATGAGCAGTTTCTGGAAGCAGAAAATAAGCTCCCACGACGGCGACTCCCGCAAGGGCTGTTTGCAAGTAGAAAATCACACGCCAGGATCTGAAGGTAACGATGACACCTCCGATGAAAGGACCGAAGGCTGGCCCAATCAGTGTTCCAGAGAGAAAGAACCCCATAGCAGTTGCTCTCTGGGTTGGACGGTAGATATCGCCAATACAAGAAGCGCCAATTGTAAGAAAAGAGGTTCCTTCGAAGGCAGTGAGTATGCGGAAGATAAAGTAGGACGTAAGATTTGGAGATAGTGCCGTGCCGAGTGAGCAGCCTAAGAACAGGGTCGCTGTTATAATGCAAATCTGGAAGTTTATGTGAGTGGTGTTATATAAGGATGAGAAAACAAGAAGGAAAGGAACAAGGGAGGCGAACCCATCGACGGCCATATACCTGACTAAGAGGACCCCAGAACGCAGGCGAAACTCCCATAAACAACATATATAGGGCGTTGCTCAAATTGATGATTGTTCCGGTGCTTTTGTACGTGGAAGCAACTTCTGGAACAGCAGATAAAATGGTGGTGCTTGATATCGGTGCCAGGAAGCTACAGAACGATAGGAGGCAGACGATGATGATTTTCCGGGACTCAGGTAACCTGTCATACACCTCGTCCGGCACTTCATCAAAGGACGTGAATTGCTGAACCGGTGCATCTTGTGTGTGAGACACATCAGTCTGTAGACGGACAAGATTCGGGGTTTCAGTGGTATGTGGCACTGTTCTGATTGATACACTGTCGTCTTCCGGTCGTAGACAAGAGGACTTGTTGGGTATGGGATGTTCTTGGAATAGTGTTGAAGACATTGCGGCCCAAATGACACTTTCCTTTCCGCAATAATGTAGAGTAAGATCACACGGCGAAAACCAGATCTAATCTTGAGATCATCTAATAGAAATAACAAATTATAGATTCTCCCTCATAAGATGTGAGATGAAAGTAGTTCCGAGATGCTCAGCTTCCTCGGCAGGAACAACACGTCAAATCAAAAAGAAATGTAAAAGATTGTGACTCAAATAGGCCTCAACTGAAAGTGCATCAATTGTTGGCTCAGTTCGCCGACAACGGCTTTTGCTAGGAACTAGACCGATTTAGTCGTTAGTAGGAAGGACACTTCCACTCCGGTTTCTCTAGTTCCACCACCGTGATAACAGGAGAGTGGGATATCCTCCAAGTAGTATCGGAGAGCCGTTTCTGCAAAAAATCCTGCACCACAACGTGGAAGTCCGCCAAAAGTCTTAAATTCAATTGGTTATCGCGGCTTTCATCCCGAAAGTATGCGCTGATTCGTTGTTGCAAAGACTTTGCAGAATTAGCAGCACGCTCGACTGCCGCTGTTGCCGATGCCGCGGTGCAGTGACTGCGATCTTTGCACACAGAGACTGGGGGAACACGACTGACCAACAGCAGAATATCCCACTGAGAAATTTATGAGAACAATGTTCGCGGATTTAAAGTGAAGACAAACAAGAAGTACAAGTATTCCTGAATCCGATGTGAGAGAAAGAGAGATGTATGTAGTTAAGAGAGAACTATACTATCAATGATGGAGAAAATTGGCAGCATGTGGATCTTGTGAAGGCTACCCCAGCCTCCCAGACTTCAAGTTTGAGACCCCACTACCACACGTGAAATAAACTGTTTAACGATGGAATAAAAGGTTAGGTACTTAACATCATGATAGACCCATATGAGTTAAGCGACGAGAAGAATATACGGAAGAGATCTCGTGTCTGACTCATTCAACAAAACATCTTGCTATAAAAATTTTCATCTATACAAAATTCCCTAGACTGCTAGATGAACCCGGCGTTCACGCTGGCAACTCATTTAGCGGTCAACTACATCAGGAGGATTGGAAATAACAAGATGTGAAACTAAGTGTATCTGAGTATACTATTGGCCGCCAGCATAGAGATCGATTGAGATTGATGACTCTAACTGCAGACTCTGAGTTCTGCATCCTGTCATCAGCTGTGCGCAATGGAGCTGCGTCAGGAGTGGTCAATCCACTCCACATGCGTTCGATACTGGATGCGTTCTTTATATCGAGCGTGTACATACAGGCAGATAAGCTGAGGATAGTCCAGAATGCTGTGCAAAGGAAGCGAGACACACCGAAGAGGCACTCGTTGCTTCTGTGAGGGTATATCGAAAGCACTTGACTTCTGTGACTTCAAGTTACCCATTTCACAGCAACAAGAACATGTCTGAAAGTATATTCGTCATATAACAATGACAATGAGCTACCTTGTGCCATGGGAACTCCAGATATCAGTATATGCTACAACGCAGGACAGTTGGTAAAGTGACAGAAGATATAGTAAGCGGCCAACAAAGGCCAGGAATCAGTCGGTATATTGCCATACGACGCATCGTATCGAATCGAGATTTGAAAAGCTCGGATGAATAGGCACTCAGTCGATATAATAACATATCTGTTAGGAGCTACCCAAAGGTAATCTTGTCTCTTGTTAGATCTCTATACACCGTCTCTAAGGTCTGGCGTTTTCTCGCTCCTTCTTCGTCGTCGACATCAGCGGTGCGCTTTGCATGATCTTTCTCCCTTTCGAGAGCATCATCTTCGGCGGTTCGCGGTAACCAGGCACGAATTTGCCCATCAGTGTGCGAAGAGTAGATAGCGTCTGCTTGGCCTCGGATTAACAAGCCTGTAATTCGGTTTCTGACATTCCTTTCACCTGTCCTAGATCTCACCGTGGAAATGTTGGGTGCTGGAAATCTAGAGCGCTTCAAGAGTATGCCCTGGTGAAGGTTAAATACCAGTAATTCTCTCTCATTTGGGAAAAAAAGAATGTCCTGGCCTCGACCTGTTGAAGTGGTTGGTGATGTAAGAAGAGGTAGGTTTGAGATATGGCTGTTCTTCAACGTAGGGCCGAAACTAGCCAGCGTGTTGGCTCCAGTCGACGCATTCCAGACCCGAACTCGTTCGTCGTGCCCAGCTGATATTATGTACTCACCATCACCAGTCCATGTCAATCCATTGACCGGACCCTGATGGGACTTACCAGAATCACGGGATCGAGCATCCATAGCGAGGCCATTCGTGCCAGTGATCCCAATTGAATCTTCCATATCTAGGATGCCTAGTGCGGCCGAGCTTTTGCGAATATCCCAGAGCCGGACTGTGCCATCGATACCGCCACTTGCGAGTATATAGTCGATTCTTGGACTCCATGACAGCGACAGCAGCGCCCCCTGATGGCCTGCAAGGGAATGTGTGTTGGACCCAGAACGTAAGTCGACCAGTCTCACAGTTGGGTGCTGTGTGGCACAAGCTACTAGAAGATGGCTTGCAATTGGTGAAAGTGCATGAGTATATACAATAGAGCCCATGTCGAAACCTGCAGAGACTTCTTGAGTTTCAGTAGCATACACCTTTAGATGGTGGTCATAGGATGAAGACAGAAAGGCAGCCGAATCAAACGGGTAGAACGTAAGATGAGTGATGCCATACTGGTGAGCAGATGCTGTTCTGAGGGAAACATCATTACATTACATTCTGTTTGAGCGTAGCAGCATTCACTTGCCTCGTTATTGTAGCAGCTGGTCTGTGTATATAATCTGGGCCCAAACCGTCCTCTATATTCCATAATTTAATAGACGAGTCTGCACCACCCGAAACAATGCTTTTATTATTAGCACTCCAGTATCTCTAGACATAGGCACTAAGATCTTACACCTTGTTATCTACATCTATCGCAATAGCATTCACACCTGACTGATGTGCCCATGTTTTAACTTCCGATGCGGGATGGGAAGCAGCGACTTCACTGTCGTCGTTGTCATCATCGACAATGATCTCTACCTCTCCACCATCGAATCGTAGCCCCGGGCAAAATTGAAACGCATGTATAAGTCTGGAGGCCTGTAGTCTGGCAAAGGCTGTGCCGGCGAGAGCGCCAGTTGCTCGACTGAATAGAAGAGAATTCATGCATCAGGAGGGCAACTGGATTTGCCGGTCTCCCACTGACTCCCGCCCGAAACGAGACCAGGCGCGGGCGTTCCTCAGATCTACGGTAATCCAGAAAGCCCTCCCCCGCAGCGAACATCCTGACTGCGTCGAACGGGCACCAGCTCCGTCGCCAACTCAATAATCATCACGTCCCCTCAACCATCCATTTGGCCATTAATACTGAAGACGTCCAAGTGCGTCCAGCATGGCTGATAATCTCAGCCCCAGTGCCAGTCCAGGTCCCACTCCACGCAAAAGAGGACGTCCGCAGGTCACACCTTTGGAACCGTACAAAGACGAGATCGTGAAGCTCTTCCTCGATGATGATCTTCCCATCATTGACATTGCACGGAAGCTGAATTTGGAATACGGATTAGACGTGAGCGAACGTACGATATCCCGTCGGCTCACAACATGGAATGTTCCTCGAAAGAAGCAGCGGGGATTTACATCTCAAGAGTAAGAAAGTCGCTCATCCATTCCCAAGTGCCTCTCTTCGGGCGGTGTTGGTTTGTCTTCAATGTATCAATACCTACACATCGTCCTTTAGGCCATTCACTCGGACCTATTGGAGCACCGCTAATTTCTTCTTCTTATTAGAATGCGCGATCGCCTCACTTACCATTATAACAAGAATCTCAACGATGACCAGATTGCAACGGAATTGGCTCTCGAAGGCTTCGATGTCAAGTCTCGTAATTTGGGGCGACTGCGACAAAAGATGGGCCTTAGAAGAAGATCAAAGTTCCCGGAATTTAGAGAATATTCCGACGATGAAGACGAAGCATCCGCGCAGCTTGCTGCAGAGGCCGGGAGTGCTCGTCCGAAGCCGCCAGCAAAGAAACGGAAGAGGGCAAAGCCGAAACACAATGCCGCTTTGATTCCCAAAGTCTCAGCTTTTGTCGAAAAGTACATGTGCAAGTATGATGGGTCTCATGATTTCAACCACATTCGGCGCGTGGTAGGCCTTGCACATTTGATTTATACTGAAATCAATGGCAGCAAGACCCAGAATCCTGATTCTGAAGACGAGGAACTAGAGTTGGATCTGCACGTAGTCACCTTGGGAGCACTTCTGCACGATGTTGGAGACAAAAAGTATTTGGAGCCTGGTCAAGATGCGAATACACTTGTTCTATCCACTCTGCTAGGTTTTGGCGCTCCGGAGGAGTTGGCCATCAAGGTGCAACGAATTGTACTAGGCGTTTCTTATTCATCGGAAATTAAGGACCCGGCCCAGGTCCAGATTCTAATTCAGAAGTATCCTGAATTAGCAGTAGTTCAGGATGCCGATCGCCTAGATGCGATTGGAGCGATTGGCATTGGTAGAACCTTCACATTTGGTGGTGCAAAAGGAGCCAAACACATGGGGGAGACCATCGATCATTTTGATGATAAGTTGGTGAGGCTAGAAAGCATGATGAAGACCGCACCCGGCAAGCGTATGGCAAGAGAAAGGACAGAACGATTGTTAACCTTTCAGAGCTGGTGGGCCGAAGAGAAGGGAGATGCGGAAGGATTACTTCGAAAGTAGGGGTACTAGTAGTCGCACTATACGACTTGCCAAAGACGATAGTGAAGACGTGAAACTGCTTATGGAATGTGTGAGGCCATCAAGGTTGTGAGGGGCACTGTGTTGTTAGGATTTACAGTAAGCACCTCTTTGGCCCTGTCATCCTCATGCTTATTACCGCCGTGGGGAAGAATAGCGACAGGCTCACGTCAGATGTACTGCGACGACATTATGGCAAAAAAATCCTCTCCTGTCAAGAAAACTTTGCCAAACAAAACTCGCGGCCTTGTTCCTCACTTTTGCAATCATGGATGATCTTCCCACTGAACTCGTCGTTCAAATCATATCATACGTCCCCAAAACTTCGCTGCCGCAATTACGCCTGGTCTCACGACTCTTCAACAATCTCTCAATTGTCTATGTCTTTTCGCATATTCCTCAATGGCTAGACTACGAAGCCTCTCATCGCCTAGTACTGACTATCGCCCACGACGCCTACAACAGGCCGGCCGCGATGTGGAGTCCTTGGGCTACGGCGCCAGATGAACCTTGTGACAACATCTTCCTTGGGATTGTGTGGAAAGTTTTGGTTGGTACCAATGTGCCAGGAAGTAATCGTGAAGTGGTTGCTTTGACGGCGTGGAATTTCGCGGCGCTGAGTGGGCGAGAAGACATGGACGAGAAAAGGTTAAGGACTGGGCAGAATCGCTTTTGGATGCACAGATCTTATGCCAAAGGCATTGAAGAGGTCTCGACAAAACCGTGTATAGGCGTGGTAAAGAGTGTCGAGATGGTCGGGATGCTCGAGGTGGATTGTATGGACAGTGGATCGTAACTCCGAGAAATCGAGTCCGGTACAGTTTTATGGTTATATCAATGCCAGCCTAGAGTCAACGTGGTTGATTTTGTGGAGCTATTGAGGCAAACTCTTACATGGTTGATGTCAATACTGGACAAAAGTGCACAACTTGTGTCGACGCTGGTCCGCATAGATGAGGGATAGTTGTACAGCGGCCATGGATTCACGGTTGGATGCTGACACCCTTTTGGTAAAGCCGACTTTCAGAACTTCATAACTCTGTCCTAGCAAGTCGTAGGTATTTCGAGCGCTCGCTCTTAACGCAATGTAACGACAATGCAAATCATTTTTCTGATAAGAGATCAGTTATGGAACTTGAAACTTATGCGATTTCGACATCGAGAAGCAAATGCAGGGTTTATTCGCCATTATTTTCGTGGGCCTGTGACCTCTCTTATCAATCTTCCCAAAGCAGACCATATGCATGAATTTTTACTTTCGTAATTTCCCAGGATCGCAATCCGCTTTGCCAAACGGGCAAAATTAAACGAAAAGCTTCATTCGAATTACCAGTATCTCTGCAGGTCTGGAGAATACAATGGACTATCAAACATCATCCACGCAGCGCTAGGTATTTCAGTATACATGTCGTATTGACATCAGAAACCTCAAATATCGAAAAGTCGTACACAGCTGAAGTCGTGATTAGCTGTCATTGCGCTCATCCGTGCCTCCCCGGTAAGTTCCAACCCTCCTGGGGTCCAAAGATCTGCGAGCCAATTATTGATATATTGGTACCGAATCCAGGGATGAGTACCAAGCCAAGATGAGCAAGCCAGAACGCCATGTTGACGCCTCGGAAGCGAAAAAAGCTGCAAGTTTGTTTTTGGGACGGGGTTTTCATGGTTGTCCAGCTTCAGTGAACTTCTATTTTACCAGCTGGGGAACGATTCTCAAGCTGCCGAGGACTTCAAAGCCAATATCAGATAATAGACCGTTTACTCATAAGAGTACTCAGGTGTTTTTTGAAGATACTGAAAGCGGACGGACGGTACCAAGCTTCAGCTGCCACGAGGACTTGATCTCATCATTTCGCCAACCCATGGGCCCATGGTTGGGGTTTGCTTCAGCAGCTGCACAGGCCGTGACGCCCCTGAAAGTTCCATTTGGTAAGGAAGATCTTGATCCAGATCGAGAAGGACCATGTTTCCCACAACCACCTTGTTCGTCAACGAGGCTCTGCACGGATTGAATCAGATGGTATCCACCCCGAGATATAAGACCCATGTTCCTCCTCTGGCTCATCTCGGTGCCACCACAAAAGCACCGCTCGACGCTCTTGGAGCGACCTTTCGACGAAGGACCCTCTACTTGCCAATTTTCTTCTTCTGTACGACTACGATTTTGTGGCAGCGTCTTCCGCTTCTCAGCTAATCATGAAACTTTCACAATTGTCCTTCGTTATTGGGTTTACCTCATTCGCTGTCGCGCAAAATCAGACAGAGCTCGTCTCCCAGTTGCCAAAATGTGCCTACGACTGTCTCTATGAAGCGGGCCAGTCATCGGGATGCTTAGATGCTACAAACTTCTCATGTTTCTGTGGCTCAAACAAAGAAGCTATTGTAAAAAGTGCTGTGCCCTGCATAGGTAAATCGTGTAATACGGTGCAAGCCTTAGGTGAGTGTACCTCCAGAATATCATATACGCCTTGAGCTAAGGATGTATTAGATACACAGAGAATTGCTGCTCAAATCTGTCAGGCTGAGACGCCATACATAACATCTGTTGTATTATCGATAGCCAGTAGTTCAGCTGCGGCAGCATCTTCCATGGCTCGACTTTCTTCATCTTCCACATCGCAAATGTCTGTCTCAACAACATCATCACTATCGTCAACAGCAACATCATCAAGCACTCCTACTTCAGTAAACACCGGTGGTTCACAAACTACTACATCATCCGCAGCAGCTCAGACAAGTAACTCTGGTTCACGGCTAGACGCTGTTGGAAAAGTGGCTGGCATTGCGATTCTTGCTGCTTTGGCCATATGATCTGGTCAATACAGGTCTTACTGTAAATTTTTGTTTGAAGCGTGCAGCACTCGCGCTTGTGTATAGTTGCGTCCCACGCACTGTCAGCTGGCGTGAGCGAGACGATATGAGATCACCTTTAGCAAAAGGAGGCGGCATTTGAGCAGCGATATAGGGGCGCGCCAAACAAGGAGGAACTTTTCGCATTCCACGGAGTTATGGCGCAGCATGGGTCTGGAGGATAATCTGTCTCATTCATAACATACATCGGCGTACTTTTATTGTCACGTGGGGCTGCTATACCCTATACACTATACAGAAAACAACCGTTTAATACACATATATATCGGCCTAGAACTCGACCGGTGATACTTAGGCCAGAGAGCACATCTTGAGCACATTTTCCTGCTTTCTCCTAAAAGATTTTTATGACAGACTCGTGCTAATATTAATTCGCTGACCAAGACCATATAAACCAGAGGACGGACGAAGTGGTCGACCTAGTGAAACACTCATATAGTAATGCATCAGAAGCACTGTTTTTCATCTTTCCAAACCCTATCTCGACAGGTTTTTCGTCTTCTTGCTTTCTACCTCATACTTGTCGTCCTCGCTCGTCCATTTTGAAGTTAATATTTTACAACGTCAATAACCTCTACTCTCTTTAACACACCAGATGTTTCGAGTTGTTTGAAGCCTTGCTGATACCGTTGTTAAGCAATATGCATGGGCTTCAAAGTAAGCAAGGCGGTTGAGTATCCGCAAGTTCATAGTCTTGTGCCAAATAAGATTATATATTCTACGATGTAAACATGGTACTGATATTGAATGAAATGGTATATAAAGTACAACATCCAGCAATTCTAAATGCACCGTCAAATCGCAGTGTACAAATCCATATAAGAAGATGTTTGGTAATCTCCTTCCTTTGGGGTATCCTTTCTTGGTCTATGTCTGTAATACCTTCTCGTCTCCAAAGGTAGCATCACCACAAAATACCCTCCGGATATTTCCCCAACGCCGGCGCCTCGCTACCGGTAAACTCATGATGCAATTCGTCCAGCGCCGCAAAATGGGCCGCAAATTCTAGCCCCTTCTTATTCTCTGCCTCGATTCTTCTCCAATCCCACTCAGTACTCTTTGAGTCAACAAGTACTGCGCTGGTATCAATCTCCTCCACGACATCTGGGGTGGATTCTCCAGAGGGTCCCGACATAGTCGCCCAACCACCTGGCTTCTCTGGCAAAATAGACGAAGCTTGGAGAACTACCTCGGGATGGACTGTCAACCTCCCAAGCTTCATAACATATTTGCTGATTGCACTGGCGAAGATCGATTTCTCATCCACCTCTTTCGAACGTATCTTCCCGTCGCCCCTGACATGCTTGTAGCCCTTACTTCCGAACCAAGTTCTATCACCCAGTATGTAAGCTTTCGGCTTAACCGTGCCCTTCTTGACGAAGTGCGTAACGACATAAATCCACTTCCTGTCCCAACACAGAATGCGGGACCACATCTCATAGGGTTCAAAAATGCCAATCTCCCGCTTGAAACTGCACATAACGCTTCCAAGCATAATAGACCATCTTCCGGAGAACGGCTTCCCATCTTTATCCAACACCAATTTCGCCTCCTTATTGTGTTGCAATGCTGCGATCCCAGGCTGAAGAAGGGCGCAGATTATATGACTTCGAGTGATATCAAGATCAGAAAAGTAGGTGGAGTTGGATTTATGAAGGTTGTAATCGCATTCGTATAATGGTGACCGCGAAGTCGTAATCACTGGTAAGAACAAGCTCGACGGCCCTCTCTCAGGTCCAATTTCCGGCTTACTAAATAGACAGTGTCGAAGAATCGCTGCCCAAACGCGGTACTGTACGGAACGTGTCAATATGTTATGATTGCGCGTGGAAGAGTTGACTTACATGCCAGAAAAACGGAACATTCTTGATATTTGCAATTATGAATAATACAGCAGCTATTCTTCTATACTTTCCAGGTCCAGTAACGGTCTTCAGGAGAATATCGCGTAATCCGACACGAGATGCGCCTACGCCCAGTACGAGTGATGTAGTGAACAGAATTGGCTTCAAAGGAAGCCTTGTTGCAGACGCCATCTTGAACTAGATGTTAAAGAAGAACCGATATGAATGAGAGAACATGGGACAGAAGCCCGGAAGAAAGAGATGTTGTAATGTTGAACTCGTAAGTCAGCTCCTGACGTTTGTGTATGATCCACAGCCGAGGCTCGGAGTTTTAGAGGTCCGAACGGAGCTCGTTCCCACGTGCAAACTTCAACGATCAAACTGTTGAAGTCAACTCTGCTAGGCCACAGACGTAACATTATATTTGAATTGATATTATTCTGATGACTAGCTCACTGTTACTCTTGGAGTGTGATAAAATGCACGATGAGAAAGTGGCAAAATTTGACCTAGATGTTTGGACATTGAAGGCGTTTGAAATATGATTTGTGATCTACAGGATGTTGTTTTCCTCTTACTTTAAGATAACTTTTACTTATGTCCCTAGGCCAAAATAACCTCCCAGTCTCAACTATTCGGTCGGCAGAAACATCACATAACTGCATGGTTCAATTTTATTTGTTGCTGATGTTAACCTATATTGATGTGGTATATGGAAAAGTCTACCTTGCAATCACCTTTGTTCCTAACAAGAAGGAGGAAATAATACATGGGCTATAACCACACGGACTTCTCAATTAAGACAATCCGGAAACATTTATATTGCTTCTGCTTGTGTTCTGAGAAAATAGCCAACACATGTTGTCCTCCTCGCAATTGACGACAACTGGCGCTCGGAAGACAATTGTTTCCCCTTTCAATCGAGGACACATTATATTCCTCATGCAAGCTTCAGGCAATTTATGGGATTTAAATATTTCACTAATTTATTTGAGATTGGAAACGCCAGTCTACCCGCAAGTGAAATACAAATTGAAACTTGGTCGACTACTTCGAATATTATTATTATGTCTTGCCTCCTATTGTGGTCCTCCTAACCGTTTGAAGGATCCTTGGTCATCCTACATCATAACTAGGTGATGGCGAAAAGAGACTAATAATTTCTGATTGTCAGTAGTCGTATGAGGCTAGAGCATGAGTCTATATGTTTACCTGACATGTTGCTTACAAGTAAGTATTCATGAAAAACATGCTTTAAGCTGGCTCTAATTGGCGGAACACGAACTTATATTTCGTCATTGTCGGCAAATCTTGTGGAACGTATTTTGTCTGAAGTAAATTCTCGACTTGAAACATACTCAAAATAATAACATTGATCCACGCTTTTCCTAGCCCCTTGATTTTTACACGCCACATATCCAGAGCTCATAATATACATGGTAATACATCATACAACTGGGTATGTCCTCTGTTACCTCAATCTGCTTTGGATGCACGTCTTGTTTCATTGACTCTGGCATTCAATATACACCCTGTTCTTCTCGCGTCCTGACTATTGTACAAGTCTTGAAACTTCCATAAATCTTCTGAGACGGAGCATACCGGTTCGCCGACGGTATCATACGTTCGTGGAATTTCGGTTGCCGGTAATTTGAAATCTTCATTAATTCTCAAGCCGGCGCCTAACAGAACGGTGGTAGTGACGGTGATATTTACTCACGCCAAAGCGTAACAAGTCCTCCAATCTTCGTCGGGATCAAGGCCCTGAATCTGAAACTCCTGACTGTGTTCGAGATAGTCATAAAATCCGGACTTGCAGGTATGGCATATGCTTTCGAAGCTTATTGTTGAAGGATGGGGAGAGCCCAACAAGTTCATGTTCGCAGACAGCCTCAGTCGCTTGAATCTTCCAGAAATGCTGTCCTTCTCCGCTGTTCACGCGGAGAGCTCTCTACAAAGTATCTTCGTTCTACAAAGATGCCCTGCTGGTGACCGGGCCCTGATTCCTCATCTTCCACGGAGTGTTCGCGTTGAACCACAAGATCATTATGAGGAATTTGAGTGTGGAGTTCCGCAGTTCTAAACGAAGCACTGCTGTTTGATGGCGGCAGAGGAAATTGCTGCCGGAAATCGCGTCCTCGGGATGATTCTCCTTCCACTTCAGAAACATGTATGGATGGCAGCTTAGACTTTATGCTGGGTGCCAGTTGAGGGGTGTTTGTGTTTTCTGGTAACTGCGAATATATCCTCACGCGGTTTTCGGCTTCAAGTGTGCGAGCTCTTTCCTCTTCAGAAGGATGTCGTGTAATACTCGGTAGGCGCTGAAATTCGAGACTCTGATCTGGTGTACTCGCTTCTCGTCGCGCGGCTCTCCTCTGTATGACCATTGTTCGAATACCACAGACGCTTGTAACCAGACCCCAATATTGTCGCCAGGACTTCGTTGTTCCAAACACAAGGAATGCGACAAGGCTCGCGGTGACCCCAGGAATAAAGAACAGAATATCCGCTATCGCGCCGGATGTTGCCAGATTCGGTTTACCTTCTGCTGCTAAGGAAGTGTTGGTGCGGAGCTGAACTAGATTGAAAACAATGATGGCAACTTCAAAAATCCTGGCATATGTCAGTGACAGAAACTCTGGGGGTAAGGTCGTTTTCAGTACAATAAGATGAGGAACCCAATAGTGAAACGAGTTATAAGTGCTCTATCATATATTGATCTTCGGGATTCTTCAGCCGCAGAAGATTGGGTTGTTCCTGGGGTGCTAATATTAGGCGCTCTTGATCCTTTCGAGCCCCCAGAAGCCCACCAAGCTCCCCTGTTTCTAGAACCTGCCACCAGACGCCTTGTCTTAACATATTTATACAGAGTCAAGAGCAGGCAAACTGTTCCTGCCAGCATACTAAAGAGCACTCCAAAATTTAGTAGATACTTTCGATTGAGATAGTCTTTTACTCACAGGTAAAATTAGAGACGATAAAGAATAGCGGAACGCTATCGAGGATTGGCCTGACTTGCATGAGGCCTATAGTTACAAGTGGAAAAATTACAGTGAAGATTTTAGATACGATTGGCATGTGGCTGTTCCAGATCAAAAAGCTGTTGACTCGGACATTCCACTTTTGAAAGCAAGCTGTCAGCATAACTCCATCGTCTAGAAGTGGTATCGAGGGGCCATTCGTCTTCGAATCTGTAATAACTTACCGCGCCTATGACTAAGGTTACAGCCCTAAGATAAATTAGAAAGCAATTGAAAGTGGAAGAACCGCACCATACCAGAATAATATATTCAATGCCATTGCATTATAACAAAAGAATTCTATTGTGGGAGCTTCAGTTTAGACAGATTCAAGCAGAATGGGCTCATACGTACGAATGTAGAAAAGAATCACATCTGTTTTCTCAGCAGCTCCGCCAAAGGCAAGTCCTGGGTGACTCAAACTTTTGACAGCTTGGTCAAACTGCGCGTGCTTGATAATTGACCAATCAACCGCATAATGTATTTGCTGAATAAAAGATCCTAACGTCGCGATTGATGTGAAGCTTGAAAAGATCATCACATCTGCGATGTCAGCTTTCCTTCATATTATGTCCGTGGAACGACCTACAAGTAAATCTTTCTCCGTAGGCCCAAAGCAGTAACGTTAATAAGGTGCTCGAAATCAAACATATCAATGAGTAGGTAAGTACAACTGCTGATATCGCAACCGCCTCCGAGGGGATACCACCCATTTAGGCAGGGTTAGGTAGTCTTCTGTGAGCAATGTTTCCCTAGTTCCAGCGCGCTGGTTTTGCAATGAGATTTACCATTTCTCTAACTCCATGTTGCTGATGATGAGATAGGTCGAGCATGGGTGCTGAAGTTGAAGAAGAAGACAAGACAAGAGTGAGATCACCCTCAAGGTATATGGCCAGTTGAGAGCCTATGCTTCCCTCCCAGATCCAAGTTCGCTACCCGGATCGGTGGCTAGGACATGGATAAAACCATTGGGCTGGGGAGGCGATTTCAAGCTTCGGTGCAGAAACAGACAGCAATGCATGATATCGAACCTGGCACCCGGTTCTGGTGGCCACAAAGAATGCCACTACGAGTAAGGAGAATTACGAAGTACTTCGAAGTAGAACATCGGCGGAGAACAATCCACTGCAACGGACACCAATGATTGGGGGGGGGGTTCTGAATGAATGGCCCTGAATTACCTCTCACCCCGTTTGAGATGTGGACTAGTCAGTATAGTCGGCCATTTGGAAGGCTGTATCGCTGGATGGATTCCGTCCGAAACACACCCTGTCTCCACGTGTTTTTGTGGCAGCGTACTTGCACAGGTTGATACAAGTTTGCCTTCGATTTTTACTGTGCGTAAGTCTGTTCGCACTCCGCCGCCGCCGTTCGCCAGCTTTTCCTCCAACCACCTCGGGCTGACGGGCCCTAAATTCTAAAAGACGGGCAACAAGGATTTGACAGATGCTATGGACATACGCCAATTTGGGAAGCTCATAGTGCAGTTCAATGTTAACTGTGGAGGGCCTGCGTTGCGTAGCGTCATGGCCGTACCGGCGTGCTGCACATCGGCCAGAGAATTTTCAGATCTCTACCCACACGGAATGCTTCCTGGCGAGTCTCGATCGCTGGGAAATATGATCATTAATATACAACCAGGGGCTACCCGGTGATGAGCATAAATTGTCCGCCAACTGACGCGCAACAACAAAGACAGACTATGGTTTCGACCACAATGTGGAGTAGGGAGGACCCTAGAAACTTTGCCTTACAGTAGTCTGTTTGGGACAGTACTCCGTACAGTAGTGCAAGCTGGGTATTTAGCGCGTGAGAAAAACGCACCAGTTACGAAGTATACATAAATGTCTTGCCCTTTCTTACAGCGACTCGTTGCGTTCCGGGAGGACAATTTCGTTTTCCAAACCGTCGAGTGATGTTGATACCTAAGAAGGTACCACCTGCTCGAAAAGGGGCTCAAAACGGGGGCGCTATGCCATCTCACGTGACCAACAAGCCAACGATCTTAGCGCACTGACCTCTCTTGGGGAATCATGGTGACTGCCTGAAGGACAAAATAAGTGGCAGTCACCTACCCGTAAATCTTAGACTAAACAATAATTCCACTTCGAATAGACCTTAAAGTCTCATTTACTTAAAACGGTTGACGAAATAGGGATAATGTTCTAAGTTAAACCACTAAATCACGATATTTCGTCAACTTAGTTAAAGAACTATTCTGGTTCGATTGCCACTTATTTTGTCCTCCGCGAGGCGCGCTGACCTCAACATTTCTCTTCGCCATGAGAGGGTTCTTGGGGAGTCATGGTGACTGCCTACCTAATATCATGGTATTCGTTCGTGTCTGGCGCTGCTCTACATTGCAATAGAGCACCGCTGCTCCGTTTGATGACGGTGCTGATACATCGAGACTTAGCAAGCATCCTTTGAGTGATGATTGCACGAGTTCCTCTACTTCTCCTGTCCACCGTCCAAATATCTCTCCTTCTTCCTTCACAATAAGAGCGTCAACTACCAACTTTGAAGTCAAAATCCCCTTCTATGTCAGGTATCTCGCTGGTTTATAATGCGTGAGTCCATGGAAATTGCTAGCGCGAAACCAAAAAGAAATTTTTGGGTCCGTAGCTTAAAGGATTGCAAGAAATGAAGTCAAGCACTTGTAGGTCTGTGTTTCACTTGCAGCTTTACTTAACACTGTTGCAGTGTAGCGGGTAGTCCATGCTGATGTTTATTAGCCAATAGTTCTTTGTTCGAAACACTGTTCAACGAATTCCGCTTCTTGTCCTAGCAGATATCCAAAAAATACTAAGGCTCCATTCTGAGGTCTAAAACCTCCAATGCTCAATTGTAACGATAACATAAGGCTTAGAATACCGCAAGTTGATGTGTCATCGAAAACCTCTGCAACATGTCGTGCTACAATGAGCACAGCACCACTAGATATTGTCTCGTTGAAAAGGCAGCATTATATGCTCATTGCTTCAAGAAGCGGTCTGAATTGATGATACTGACTTAATCTTTTTTCCCAGCACCGTCCATAGGGACCACGACATCTTCAACTGGAGGTGTCCCGGGGGCAGATATTGCTAAAACCCTACTTCTCTTGTTGAACTCATCGAACACCCCCCAGTCTCCAATCTGCTCCTCGAAGAACTGATCCATATCGATACCATCTCGCTCTGCTTCTTCGGCGATTCTCAGGTGCATTCCAGGAATGAATTTCAAAATATAGAAAAGGGCGCACGAGACAAGAAAAGAATAAGCCGAAATAGCTGTGATCTCAGCGAACTGCCGTCCAACTTGAATGCCAACGCCATCTAGAATGGTAGAAGTTTGGAGTTAGGCAGGTTCATTTCCGGCATAGACTTGGACAGGATAGACCTACCGATGGCTCCTGAAGCAATTGTTACTCCATCTAAAGCAGAAACTGATATTGGTCAGCACCTGATCTTCCCACGGCAATCATGTTACTCACTTTTCGATGTAGCAAAAAGACCGGTTAAGAAACTTCCCACCATTCCGCCAATTCCATGAAGTTTGAAGACGTCCATTCCCTTGTCAATATGCATCCAATCGTTAAGATTTTGAAGTAAAGCGCAAACCACAGCCGTGATGAAACCAATGACTGCCGCAAGCCATGGTTCGACGTAACCTGCTGCTGGCGTGATACCCACTAGGCCTGCAATAGCGCCTTCACATGCTCCTACGACGCTGAATTTGCGACCATGCTTGATGTAATCGACCATCACCCATCCCAGGACGCCCGTTGAAGCTGCTGTGTTGGTATTGAAGGCGGCGACCATCGCTCTCACAGATGCATTCAAAGCACTTCCTCCATTAAACCCGAACCACCCAAACCATATCAAGACAGTCCCAAGAAATACAAGTGTAGTATTGTGAGGACGTCCGTGGCTTGGATCGCCTACGTGCTTACGTTTTCCAAGGACGAATGCCTGTGTGCAAAGGTTAGCCCGCAAACGACATACTTCCATCTTCTCCAATCCCATTCCACACGAAGGTCAGGTGGATACTCACGTATGCGAGAGCAGACCACCCCGAAGCTGTGACAGTTAACAAAGATGACACTTGACACCACCTAGGCATGAGAAGGATACTTGCCGATGTGCACAGGGCCACCCCCAGCGAAGTCAAGGGACGGCAATTTGAAGAGCCAGCCATTCGGGTTCCAAGTCCAACATGCGATAGGACAATAGACGATGGTTGCCCAGAAAAACCCAAAAACCAAACTAGGAACAATCCTGCCTCTCTCGAAAGCCCCACCAACGACTATCTGAACAGTACAAGCACTGCACTGTGATTAGTTCCTAGTCCCATTAAAATTCGCAGCAGACTTACCAGAAGAGTAGCTGATAAAGACAGAAAACAATTTCAGGAATAACAGCACTCCCTGGACTTGGCGCGGCCATAACATTCTTCAACCCGAAATTTGCCATGTCGCCGATGAACGGTCCGGCAGTTCTAGAATATGCAAGTGTATAGCCCCAGAACATCCATTGAAAAGTCGTGACCGCCGCCACCATCAAGCTTTGGAAGAGCAAGGTAAGTGCGGACTTGCGACGAGCAAGACCTCCATAAAGAAGACCAATTCCAGGGATGATTAGCCAGACTATGAAGCCACAGAAGACGAGGTAAGTGTAATGGTATTCGAGTCCAACATAAGGCGCGTTTACGTCAATCTCCAGAGGATTGCCTCCACTGGGTATTGACTCATTGAAAACAGGCTAAACAAAATGCAAGTCAGCTTCGTACACTCAGAAGTTGGACACAAAAAATATCCTTACTGCACTCATTCTGACGACCTAGATGTTTGTACGACTAGCAGCTTGACGTCCGTCCTGAACTTCGAAGACGTGACAAGCTCAGGCACCAGGGGAACCAGATTCTTATACGTCCATAGGTCGCCATGTTATTGGATGTAAATGGTATGGTTTCTATCATGGTTCTATCAATAGCATGTGGAAAGGAAAGCCAATTATCTCTCCGTATAGCTTATCAAAGTTCCCGCGCTGTGCCGTTATATCTACCAATACGTAAGTAGTGCAACCGAAATTGTTAAAAGGTTCATATACCGTGGTGAGTAGCCTTCATGAGGTGTGGTTGATAGCTGATAAGGACCTTGGCGAAAGGGGACTTGATGACCACTTTGGGAATCCCACTCTTAGCGAAAGGTGACTTAGCTTGCGGTCGACAGAATAAGTGGCAGTCAAAGCACGATATTTCTTCGATTAAGTTGACAAAATATCGGTATTTAGTGGATTAACCTAGAACAATATAACTTATTTCGTCAATTATTTTAAGTAAATAAGACTTCTTAAGCTCTGTTCGAAATCGACTTATTAAGCCCTAAAATGAGTAGGTAGGTAACTGACACTTATTTTGTCCTCCGCGAGCTTAGTTGAGCCTATGATGAATACGATATTTACTTAATCTATTTGACACTCTGCGTATTGTTTGTTGATTTTTAGGAAAAGAAGCAAGATCCTGTAGCTTGCCAATAAGTAAGATCGTAACTATTTCACTAATTAGTTAGCCATGAGCTGAGATCATACTAATACTTTATCTTGTCCTCCGGGAGGCGAGGCACTTGCTGCAATCAATCCATATAAAAATTTCGTTGTGGACAATTACACTTTTACTGGAAATAGAATATACAGATAAGCCGATCTATATCTTTTAAGCAAAATAAGAGGTTGCAAGACACACGTAATTATATGGCGGGTTGTCTTCAGTGCAAAGATTTTACCTTGTATTATTTCTTTCTCATGCTGAGATATTTGCTACCATGAAAGTGCTACTCGAATAAGTCGTTTTGATTCAACCACCAAGCATTCTGATATTGGAAGCTGCACAAGATTATTAGCCACAGAATCGACAGTGACATCAGTCATAAAACAAGGTTTTGTTTGGGGAGTGGATTAGAGGGTTGTTAATTGTCAGTCTTGCTAGATTCTGCGAAATTTTGGAAAACACACCATGTTTTGCTTCTCTTTCATCGATGGATGACTCGAGAACGTACCTATGGAGCCTGTATATCATCTTCTGATCGGGTAGATGTTCTTATGACGATCCCAGCTGCTGTCCGGAAGAATATATAGTTTAAATTGGACCAGCCTTTTGCACAACATGAGGATTTACATAGAGACTTCTATTGGCGGCGGTTGCTTGAGGTCTCACGTCTTGGTGTTGTTCGGTGCTTGGATTCGTATGTTAATATGAAACCTGAACCGTTATCGTGTACACCAAACAGATATTCTCGGCTTTGTAAGTATTACTAGGATTGCCAGGATTATACTCTCACTGAGACATATTGTTGTATACCACAATCTATCGGCGGATGAAAAACGAATCTTGCCTATTCTTATGCTTTTCGGAGCTAACGAGCTAAGTACTACATGATTTGTGCATTTATTTTGTGCCTTGGCCTGGATGGAAACTTCGTTGCTCTTCTTAACAGAGAATTTACCAAATTTTATCTGACTTGAAGGTTACTTGCCTCATAAGTTGAAGGTATTGGCGACAAGGACCAATGACAATACAAAATCAAATGAGCAGCGATTGTTGGAGTGGTCATTCTGCGCAAAGATCGACTTTGTCAGGCCATATATGGAAACAATAGTTGGAGTAATCTTTCAGCTTCAAATATGAGCTTACTTGCTGAAAGCATTGTTTTATCTCTCTTATGGTAGCTTATGCAGTCACTAGCTGTCATACTTATCTGCTTACTGCCCTATATATACACTGACGCGGCTTTGTACTACCTGTTAAGCCCGTAAGGTCTTTTGTCCACGTGGTAATTGTCCTTGTGTCACTGAATTTATGTGTGATTGTTGCTAATTTGGGGTTCTGGAATTCTCGGTTTCCAAGGCATTTATTCAAGACACATTTGTGCGGGGAAATACAATTTTATTTCAAGAACATAATCGATAGTCTTGCGTGTCACTCAGGACACCCATACAGATAATACCATTGTTACTTGGAAATCATCAAGCCTTATCAATGCGAAGAGACACTAAGCGAGCGACCCCCTCATCGGGAAGGCATGCCACGTTGTGAGAGTAACACAACATAACACAACATAACATCCGTCTAGCATACACAAGATAGTCAGCTTCACAAATCCTTCTTTGTCTTAGAACTCAGCACAAACAGAGCCATACCTTATGCTTCTATTTGGCCCAATAACAAGAAGGTGTTCACCGCTTCGCTTTTTGCTTGAGGTTACAAGTGTTACCTATCTAGGTATATCATTATGGTCACGTGCGAAAGGCCGAGAGCTTGGCTCAGTAGGACATGAAATGCTATTTTGAGAATCTTTGTTACGAGGCAAGATTTCTTCTGACGCCGGGGTGGATTCGATAGATCAGTCGACCAATTTGCTACGACAAGGATTCGTCGAGGGACATTGCATCGCCCCCAAATGCCGTTCCACCCAAGTAGAAAGTTTCGGGTTGGGGGTATATTGGCATATATTGAAGGATTATTTGACACCATTATCACATAGAAAACAAATGCAAAAAATACGAAGAATGCATTTTGTAAGAGATGGGCCTAAAAGGCGAGATCAATATTGTAAAAGCAACCAGGTTCTTTGTGAACAGGAAAGAGAAAAAATGTAAAATGAGCTGTGCTTCCATCCATGCCGCAAATCAACAGCAAAAGCATCTAGTAAATGCAAAATAAGAAAAACTCTGACAGTTCATAAGAATCTCCAACATGCGGGGTAATAAATTCCCGAAAAGAACCCCCAGTACGTGCTGCCATCCAGTCAGCATCCTCTACATTCTAATCCGCGGCTGTGCCACTATCGTACATGTCATTCAATCATAAATCCCAGCCGAGTGTGGCCTCAATTCCTGGGACATGTGGTCAGGTTTGATGATCCAGGACAACATTGGTATGGTCAAGTTGTCGGTTTTGCACCTCCATTGCAACAACTTCGAGCGTTGAAGCCAAAATTGCTCGGCGACATCTTAATTGGACTGAGCAATCTACAGCATCAAGATTGTTAATGTCGCGTGCTGGTGGACCTTGCTGGCTCGGTCTCGTCAACGTAAAAATATTCTGCAGTTCCTGTTCCGACGAACACGTCTGGATCCCCACTCGATAGCCATTGCTGATCGTCTGCAGCTGCTACATAACTATAGTCATGAGAGCCATCGGCCGTGCTGTATCCTATATGATCGTTTTGGTAATATCCAGAAGTGACTGGATAAAAGTCCGATCCCGAGTTTCCTGTCGTGGTCTGATAGCTGTTGGAATTGCCTGAATAGTATCTATCGTTGTGTCTTGAGGTTGAAGTGGCGGAGTGATAGCCTTGAGCCGTAATGTACATACTCTGGCTCTCTGTTCCTGTCGTTGTAGTATGGTCGTCGTAATAATGCTGAGAAGCAAAATCTGAAGGCTCACTTGCCCGATTCATCTGGTTCGTCCGATGACTATTTCTATCGTTGCCTTCGAACTTCATATCATGGTCAGGTGGAGGTGGGGTTGGGCTATAATTGGAAAATTAGCTTTGCTTTCATCACCTCGAAAGTTAGGGGATCTGACCTTGAACTTTGATATGTGCATACCGGCGGCGGATACCTCCTCGCACAATTGGAGCATGGCCGATCTTTGGCTTGATTGCACTTTTGTTTTCGCCGTCTACATTCCGTGCAAGATGTAAAGGTTCTCTGTCGTGGCCGAAGACTTCCAGATAGTGAGCCATGCATCGTATCGGACATAACCGTTTGGGCGACTTTATTCTATTGTGGCGGGTTGACAGTTTGAAACAAGAAGTTTGGTGATTGTCTTCACACGCATTAAATGACGATCAACCTCATTCATTAATAGTCCAAGTCCATGAGACTCAAGCTGAGGCACATTCTTAAGACTGCCCAATGAGATGCTAGAAAAACAGCCATTTGTGCCACAGCTTAGAGCTGAGTCGTTGTCTAAACGATACGAGTGATTTGGGGAAAGAAATCGGTTCATTCTGCGGGTATTTTCAAGAGAAGGATTTAGGTCCTGCCCTACACCTCGGTACACTTGTTGATTTCTGGTCGTGTAGTGAACCATTCCTCTTGAGGTACCCTTGTAAGACCAGCCGGCATGCTCGCATCGTTAGGCAGTGATTAAGAAGCCACAGCTGTCCCTGCTTAGTTGGCGTTTCTGAGTACCGGATCCATTCAGGTCCCAGGGCTGAACCATTTAGAGTTTAGATTATGTACCAAATATGGACAATTGCGGAATCCCAGCTCGTCCACGGCTGACCACAGTTGTCACGCATGTCAGTTCTGAGAAACATCCACTACTTGGCAAGGCTCCAATTGCCTAGGTTCCTCATGTCTATAATATAAGCGAGCGTCGATGTCACTAGGTATAGGGCGTTGCCGGGCACCACCGTGCTGCTTTTGTAATGATTTCGAACATCATATTGCTGTCGTTGCAGTTGCTAGTCAAGTGAATCTCCTCATTACCAATCCAATGACACGAATGGTCTTTGTCATCCAATACTCTAATTCCGTCACAAAAGTAGGGCCCTATCTGCACCTGCCCCATGTGGCTGTGCAGGTGTCGAACACGAGGCTGAAGACGATTGCCAAATAGACAGAATTACTAGAGATAGACCTGATAGTGCTTTGTGGGCACATGAGTTCAAGCATCAAAAACCATATGATTAGCCTGATACTGCTACTAACAAGCCCATTGGGAAGATTTGACTAACATCTTGAGAAGCGAAGTGCCAATACTCATAGATCGATTGATTAATATTTCTAGATTATTATCATCAATGACATCGCGGACTTCTGTGTGGTGCGTCACAAATGCTCCATAGTATACCAGTGGAGCCCGTTCAACCAAATGGTCACCAGGGTGGCTGCATGATCGACCGTGAGCTTGGCCCCTTTTGTCGAATACATATGATGCTACAACATCCTCTGACTTGAAAATCATCTGCTTCATTTAAGTGTTCATTGCCCACAAGGACCAGCTTTTGGAAGTGAGGCGATTGTTTAGCACCCTAGTAGTTTCTCCGTCAAATTAGAACGATGCATCAACTTCTGCTGCTAAGAACTGGAGGATCAAAGGTAGCGATTTGTGAAACTGATCATAAGTGCTTCGATGGAAAGTTCTGATCGAAGTGCCGTAAGCGGTGATGTGAGTGTGTGGCATGTTTCTATGCTAAATAATAATAACGGCCGTAGATGATAGTAGATTTGGACGAACCCTGCAGTACTAATGCCAATAACATGGTAGCAGCCCCCCCAACTGACTATCGTAACCATGCTCCAATTCTGTAGCCTCAACGGGGAAACGAAAATCATATCAACTAAATTCTCCAATTTGGGCAATAGTCTACATGAAACATGCTTGATTGGCGATTGTAAATCCGGTTGTGATTTTTTCGTCTCCTTGTCTCCTTGTCTCCTTCGCAGGCGATCTCGCGCACACTAGAATGTACGTACTGCCAATTTTATAGATCCATTCACTAAGCAAAATTGGATGGGTATGGCGGTATCGAGAAGTGTAGGAAGTGTCTTACGTCCAGCTTGCCTGCCTATCGTGGCTAACGGGCGCCGGGAAGGACCCCCACACATATCGCACACATATTTCTTGTCCGAAGCACTTTGCTTGCTGAAATGGTGAAGAACGTGCCCCTCAAAGCGCCCAGAAGAGTAAATTCTCAAATGCGGAAGAGACAGCTGCAAATGCAAGATGAAACGTTGTCGCAGGAACTTTCCATCTCTACAACGTGGTTACATTTAAGGCGACCAATGGTATATTCTTCAATCTCTCCGTGGAAATCGAGGCGTCTGCAAACGGTAGTTAAATGACATTCAGACTACTCAGCCATGCTGTAGCCAAATCTACTGGTCTTGTTCTCGCCAATGGCTTTCTGAGTTTGCGGCTGAGGTCCAGCCTTGGTAAAAAGCAATCGGGATTTCACGCATTACTCGGAAAGGAAAGCCACAGGCTCATGTTCCTGAAAGGGGTCATTCAATAGTCCATCAGATGCTAAGTTACACACTCACAAGGCAGATTTTAGTGTCCCAGACTCAATGCGTCACGATGCGTTGCTGCATATGTATGCCGCTGCCACGATGGAGCCATGTGGAGAGATAGTGGTGGCTAGTCAGGCTGACAGGCTGAGGGCTTGCAGCAGAGTTGTGGAATCAGAATTCGGACCATGACTGAATGAGGCAGAGCCAATTTGCGAGTCCAAGTGACGATTGGTGTGAGTAGCATTGTGGGGATGTAGTTGCGATGGGAATAATTGAAAGACGTTGGACATCGCGGGTCTCCACAATGACACCAAAAGCAGCCCCCTTTATGATACTCGGGGAATAGGAATCGGGAAGATGGAGAAACATCTCTCTGCCCTGGTTCCAGCGACCCTGACCACGTTAGCAACAAGAGTGTTTAACGAGTAGTACATGTTGTAATTCTAATTTACATGATTACAAAACTCATTGGTTTTGCAGAAAGTGGGATTTTCTCATTCGGCTATCCGATTTTCCACTTTTAGCAATGGGTCACAAATAAGACAAGCAGCCTTCAGATACATCAGCTGTCCTTTCCAAGAATATCACACATGTACGCCGGCTTACTTTTGCGTTACACCTTTCAACAGTACGCAAAGAGTCGTTGTCTGACAATATCAATCGCTGCTTTTTTACTATATTCTCGCTTATTGTCCATCTCCTAAAATAGAGTATATTTGAGAGTCACGTGATCTCAAGATGGATCAAGGTTGCACCCGAGCAGAACCCGAGCAGAAACAACATTACCAACACAAAGTTCCTCCAGCCTCAAAAGTTTCATGCTCTTTTTATAACTTCATATCACATTATTTCTGCAGAATCTGCCTTGGTCAATCATATATGAGCATCCGAGATAACCTTTACCATGCAGCTACACCAGAGCGGATCAAAACGCATCCGGTTGGGCTATTCTTCAACAAGAGACTATCTTCATCAGCATCACAGCACGACCAGTGTAATCTCACCCTGACGGAGGTGTGTCCGAAGCTCTGCGTTTTACCTCCCACTTTCTTGCAAAGACCAGAAATTGTCTTCTTCTTACTTGACGGTAAACGACAACAGCATCAAGACCTCCTTTTCCGACGAAGCCTTCAGCGTCGCTGCCTCCTCGGCTGACGCTATTAGACTATTGACGACTGTTTCATGAACAAAAACGGAAGCCTGAGTGTCTCGGCTCATCAAAGTGACATGCCATGTGCTTAGCTAGTTTCGGTGCGGTTTACTGGGTCTTAGAAGCTATCACGCTCATGAGGAGTAGCTTCTCTCTGTGCTGCGGGTTCATGCAACTATCCTCGACACCAGCCAGCTGTTTCCCTTGTGAATCTGATCGCATATACCCTCATTCGTCTTGATCCTTCAATGTCGGATCTCAGCCAACAGTGGTTATCCGATGCCTTTACCGCCCTCGGATTTCTGATGCACGCCCTTTGGTCCATCAGCCTGATGAGTCCTCACCGAGATGGACAGATTTGGAGCAAATATCTTGTGCGTTAGAACGACCCCCTAGGCCGATCGTCTTGTACTTTAGATGTAAAATTGGAATCTCCTGAGATACGGTATTACAAGAATTTTTCGTCGATGTCCAAATTGTCCGGGAATAGGAGTATTTGCGGCCTAGAGAGTGAGGACTCCTTGGCTTTGGGGTTTTCTGCAAAAAGCTTGCTGTTGCATACCCCTGTGCAGTTGCCTCTCTCAAGGTGTAAAGATGAAGAAATCTGCCAACAGCCTCAAGGGGCGGGGAGCAGGCCCACGTCGCATTTAGCCGGGAATGCTCGTAAGCTGTCCAAAAACCTCCAACCCATCTACGGAGCATACACATGACACCAAGACATCATACTAACACATCTTTGCAGAAATTCCAAGTAAAACATCTCACATAAAAGAGTTATGAGAAACACCAAGGAATCTGGTAATCCGCTTGGGGAACGGACGACATCCTCCGAGCCTCTCTTGGTTTATCCATATCAAACCCACAATATCCATAGCAGATCACTCGTGCTTGGTCGGAAAAACTGTATTCCACCCACCAGCGTAGGTCTGTTAGTTATTGGGAAAGATAGAATCTATTACTATTTAGCTCAATGTCTTCATAAACATTCTTCATCAAGTGTTAAGATTTTTTGGACCAGATCAAGGCACCATGAATTTCTTCACTCTAATCTTTTTAGCTCTTACAGCTGTTGTAGCAAATTCTGCAAAGATCCCAATTCGGGCTCAGTACCCATCTACTTCTGGCCTCAAGTTCACCATTGATGGCAATGCTACTTATTTCGCCGGTACAAATTCGTATTGGATTAGTTTCCTTACGAATGATGCCGATGTGGACCTGGTAATGAGCCACTTGAATACTGCGAATCTGAAAGTTCTGAGAGTCTGGGGTAATGCTTATTCATAAAAATTATATCTCTTGTCGACCATCTTGAGGTGAGACGAAGAACCACAGTATATTAACTAGTGTATAGGATTCAACGACATAAACAAAGCGACTTCGGAAGTTTGGTATCAGTCCCTTATTCCTGGTCAACAACCAAAGGTATCAATCCAAAACCAACCAACTTCCAAAAGCGAAGATCCCCATGAAGTAATTCCTACTTACAGTTCATAGATCAATACAGGCGCCAATGGTCTCCAACGTCTCGACGCAGTCGTCCGAGCCGCCGAAAAACACGGCATCAAACTGATCATCCCCTTCGTAAACAACTGGTCCGACTATGGCGGAATTCCAGCCTATAACACATATTTCAACACCACATCAACGACATGGTTCACCAATACCGCCGCACAGGCTCAATACCGTAAATACATCAAGGCGGTCGTGTCTCGCTACAAGACCTCAGAAGCAATCTTTGCCTGGGAGCTTGGAAACGAACCGCGTTGTCAAGGTTGTGTGACTAGTGTTATCACGAATTGGGCAAAGGGTGTAAGTGCCTATATTAAGAGTCTGGATTCTAGACATATGGTGACGCTTGGAGATGAAGGGTGGTTGAATGGAGGTGGTGATGGAACCTATCCATATACTACTTGGGAAGGTGTTGATTTCGAAGCGGTCTTGAAGCTTCCGGTATGCAATTCACAGTTCAATATCTCATCTCTTTGTACATCTCGCTAATCCGTCTCTAGAACATTGACTTTGGAACTTTCCATCTCTACCCGATAAGTTGTACGTCTTCCAAACTCCGCTTCTACGTTTGCTCGTCACTGATTTGTCTTAGGGGGAATCACCACAGATCATGCTGCCTGGGGCAAAGCATGGTTCGCAAACCACGGTGATATTTGCGCAAAAGTTGGGAAACCATGTCTTGCGGAGGAATTCGGTGCTACCACCAACAAAACTGGTATCCTTCCTATCTGGCAACGACAAGCTTTGGATCATCCGGCGATTGGTGGTGATATGTATTGGCAATACGGTGAGTTCCTTTCACGTTTACTTTATTTGGCAAACCTTCTCGAGTCATAGCTAAATTGCGTCTATGTAGGTGACAAATTAAGTTATGGCAATACTCACGATGACGGATATACGATTTATTATGGCAGTGATGTCTTCAAGACCTTGATGCTGGGACATGCGGCCGATATCCAAAGCGCGGGGAGTAACTGAGGGAAATTCGAAGCTCAAGGGGGTTGTAGATGTTGAAGTTCAAGTGTATATTGAAAAATTGACGCGGAGTGAAGGCTGTGTATATATGGATTGTACATTGTAGTCTGCTTGGGTACAATATCTCATCCTCAAGTACTCTTTCCTAGTTACTGCTTCAGTTGTAAGCGAGCTTTTTGCTGAAGGGGCGTTGTCACCTCTGCAATTCATTGAAAGCTCTTGACCTAGAGACCCTTCTCGATCAAACGCTCATTGACATTGTCTCATGGCTATGTTATCACACACTACATCTTTATGGTAGGTGTACCTAAACATACTGCTGGGACTAATTGACTCAATCAACTGTAGCTGCTCAAATTAAAAATATAATTGATAGTCCCGTTGATGTCTTTCGTTAGCAGAAGATTGGAATCGGTGTCTCTCGTCGATCCGAGCCAATTTTACACTATCGATAATAGTTCGAGCCCTCCTACGGTATGGCGTTGAGACATGTCTCATAAATTACCCCATCATCAAACTCATTGACTAGTCGATTTGGTAGTTGGCTCATCGCAGTCTGACTTTCTTGCGCTACTTTGATTTGGATCTCTAGCATGTCTCCTTTGCTATACGATTAATCACGCTCCTATCTCATCTGTCTTCTATTTCGATTTTGTGTGGCTTCATTCACAGGCCACCACGGACCCATCTTCAAAGTGCAGAAGACCGCTTTTGTATGGACGATTGAGACAGACATGGTCCAAACACACAGCCTTTGGCAAGTTGCAAATTGGCAACCCCTCAGATGTCGCAAATGACTTGGATGATGGCTCCTCTTTCAATGAAGCTGCCGCCGCTAATCAATCGACTTCCCAAGCGAGTTGCGGAATAGTGAACCCCTTTAATTGAATCTACCCGCAACACGAGGAGATATTTCCAAAACTCTATATATATTTTAATTGCATGAACCAATAGTAAAATTAGTAAAAGAGACTGGTCGAGGAGTTCCTGATTCGGAACCAGTAAGATGAGAGATCCCAGGGGGAGGGAGAAAAAGCGGAGAGGGGTCCGGGTTTATCGGAACATGAACCTGGCGAGGGCGGTGGCTTGCATTTGATATTTGCCGGTATAAGTTTGTTCGGGTGTGAATTTTGAAGATGCGGTCGAAAAGGAGTGAGTCGATCTTGGGAGTTTGTTGATCTAGTCGTTTTGCAAACCTGTTTTCTTGTTTGCTGCGAGGAGGAGAGCTGTGTGGTGCGTAAATACAAAGTACTCCGTACCTCCGGCCAGATCCGATGCGTGTGATCTGCTTGTGGACCTGTGGTCGAGCGATTCTTGAAGATCTAATCGATAACCTGCCAGCTCTGAGCTCGGAAGATCTGAGTCGCTTCTCACCTGCTTGCCTATCTCGACAGGTGCCCGAGGAGTCGAAGACCACCTTCTATCGCACTGCATTAAAGCATGGCGCGATAACATTAAGATAATATCCGCCCCGGTGTTGGACCCTGGATTTGTCTTGCCCGAGCGGATCGAGAAGGGGGGTGTCTGCTATTTTTGCTGACGGATCGGCCTCACCTTGACCAGTTGCTTTCTTCATTTCTTCTGGAAGCTGGGAAATACGAATTCGATGCATGGTTGTTCTCTGCTCATTTAATCATGATTGCGCACATCCCAATTCATATCGCGGTGGAGCGAGAATCCCTTGCTGCTCATCTTGATGCCCAGTTGCAGTTGCTTGTTCGGCCATTTGTTTGTTGACATTGTTGTTTTGTTTTGTTTTGATGTCATGAGACGCGTATTGATCCTTGGTTGCAAACACACACACTGGAGGGAGGATCTGGAGTCTGGAGATGCCCACCAAGTTCCAGATGCAAGGCAGACGAGCGGAACAGCGCCCGAGGAGGATCGCCAACTTGTGCTGCCGGTGGTTGTTGTGATGCAGTCATTGTTGACATTTCATGATTCATCGAGGGCACCTGGGCAGGTTCCGGCGGCTCAGAAACGTGGCGGCTCGATGGGATACCGAATCCCAAGAATCGGTCAGGTCAAAGCCGTCTCAAGTGTCCCAAGTGTAACCTCCGGCCTCCCGCGAAAGTCGCTGATGATCCCCAGATTGAACGCACTGGCAGTCTGGCAAGTCTGGTATCGACTTCGAATGGGAAGTTGGCACTGGATGCCCGAGCGAGTGGGCGAGGGCGAGGGCTACGGGTCACGGGTCGCGGGAGCAGGGGAGAGGCTGTGCGTGCCTGTGCGTGCCTGAGGCTGCACAAATAAACGGCGCTCGGTGCAGGTGCGGTAGCAGCCGCACAACGCTTCCAAAACATTCAGTCGATTGACGTGTCTGATTGGCCGCTGAGTCCAAACAAAACAACCGGGTCCAAAAAGTCTGCAACCTCTTTAACTTTGCACTGAACTGCCATCATCGTTCATCGCGGCTGTGTAAATCCCCCTTCTTGACCCTCTGAAACTCCCAACGCTCCTCCCTTTGCGGCTCATGAACAATCCAAATAATCCTCCGAAGCGTGCGACCTAGTGCGACGTTGCCGTCTATTTACAGACGAAGAACAACAACAGAGCAGAGCTCGGTCCAGCGTCGCGTCGAGGGCCCAGGAAGCTACAAACGGGCCCCACCATTGCGCGTTAAAAGGTAAACACACGCCCAGCTCGCCAGTCCCAGTCCGCCAGTCCCGCTCACATCCATGACCCAACCCCAACGCTCTTGCCAGTCCCAATCCATACTGACTTCCCGACGTCCATGGGCTCACGCAGACCGTGAACTCACGAACCCCCCAAATTTGCAAAGACATCCTGCTCTCATCGACACCCCCGTCCCCAACCTCCCTCTCCCGATCTTCTCCCTCGACAACCTCAACCTCCACCTCCACCTCCACCTCGACCTACACCTCCCTCCTCAACCGCGCCAGCTCCCAGTCTTAACAGCAAGACAACCACGCTCGACGCGTACTTGTCGCCGGCCCAGACCGACATCGAAGTTAGGAAATTGCACGTCCGGGCGAGAATAGCTCGTGGATGGTTTGCAACAGCGACGACTTGTCATGATTACCACGACGTGACATCAACATTCCCGTCCGATATCGAGTCCATACTCGTACATCCTCGAAGCATTCCTCGACCCCTCTGTCTCGCCAACATTCCATCTTGCTTCCAATATACCCAAAATATTAGGAACGAAATCCAGCCGATATCGATCGAAAGTCGCGTCGGTCCATATCCGCGCCAACTTACCTCGACGGGAGGTATAATCTTTGCGGCGCCCACATTCGGCGGCACGAAGGATACTCTGCAACGAACAATCCTCTTGTCCTGCGTTGCGGATGAGTCATTTCTATGCCGACTGCCAGATAATTGCGATTTCATCTCGAAAGAGACTCCTGCACCATCTTGCTGCCTCAATCTTGGTCTCAGACCCTGTATCATAGACGAGAGTCACCTCATTCCACACCACGTATATCATGTCGTACTCCAATGGTGGCGGCGGCACTCTGACGCTACCTTCTCCCACGCATGTCCACCATGTTGATGTCACTTCCGCGGTGAGATCTCTTCGACGTTCGCTCTCGCGATCACCCTCCAAATTCAACTTGGTCAAGAAGTCACCAAGCTCATCTCCGAAATCACCACTTTCGCCATCTCCAAAATCACCACCTAAACGCGCCTCATCTAACCCTACCATATTCACCGGCTTTAGCAATCCTCCTCATACGCCATCTCCACTAGCCGTACCATTTCCACCTAGTGCGAAACTCGCGCTGCGCTCATCCGGGCGCTCCAAGACTGCTCCCATCCGACCTGCTTCTCGCCGGACGTCTCCCAAGAGCCCCATGAAGCGCGCTCTGAACCAAGGCCCCGATACTGGCAACACAGCCCCTCCAGTCTTAACAACCTGGACCGCTGGCGGCCAGGAGAACAGTAGAAGCCCCATCGAAGGAAAGGGCTTCGAACGCAGTAATAGAATGTCATTGAATCTGGATTCAACGGGACCCATTAACCATGCATTATCGCGACTAGGTGGTGAGGGATGCAGCGATAACCCAGGACTTTCAACTTCGAGCCCCCTCAAAAGGAGTGATGCCATTATGAACCTCGACCAGGCAAGCTTAGGTAGCCCTGTTGCGAAGAGGAGGAGTCTGCACGGGTCAGCCAATTTTGGTCACGATTTCAATGTCTTTGATCATGGGCCACCTGTTACATCTACACCACAATTCGAGATTCATGACGATTCAACTCCTGAATATGAGCTTTCGACGGCATCGATCACAACTGACAGTGCATCCGCATTTACCTCCATGCCGCGACGATCATCCTCTTTGCGCAAATCCACCTTACAGCAGCGCCATGGAGAAAAGACGTCCTGGGGCAGAAGGCATGCCGCGCAGGTCCTAGCAGCTCAACAAGCAGCAGCTGCTGCTGCTGCCGCCTCAAATACTTCAAAAGCATCCCCAGAAATGTCTACACCGGCCCCAGTAAAGAACCGACCACGTCTGTCATTAGACCAGTTTATGCCTCCAATGCCGCGGGATAGTCCATTCTCATCGCAAGGTAACCTGCCGTCGGCTTCAATGCATATGGTAAACCCACCAACTCACCAACCACATCCTCTCTCACGAACCATGACCACCTCGTCTTCCAACTCCAGTCTGCTTGACGAGTCACCTACACACGTCCCAGTCAACTTTGGCGAGCAACCTAGACCCAAACTGGATTTCTCAAAATCCCTGCCGGCAGGTTCCTTGAGACCGTTCAATTTCGACGTTTCTTCGGGGCATGATGATTCAGAAACATTTTCTACCCCTCAGAATTATAAATCGGCAAAGCCACTTCCAGCTGCCTTCATGTCCACTGGCCTGATTTCCAAGGTGAACCGTCATCCTGAGGACGAGCCCAAGATCTCTCGGGGAGGCAAAGGAAACATGCCAGATACTCCATGTAAAAAGCACAACAACATCTTTGCCACGTATCCTCAAAATCTGTCCGGCAGCGCTATTGCAAAGGCGCGACACATCAGACACTCCTTCGGCAACCCGTCTACCCCGTTCAACCCGCATGGTTCTGGAAGTGCGAGTGCTTTTGGCAGTGGTAATGGTGTTTTCGGTGGTGGCTTCAAGGGGCTCACTAGACGTGGAAGCTTTCTCAGTGTCGATGGCGATGAAGACGGATCACCTGACGCCAAATTGGATAGTCAAGGCTCTGATTTCGAGCTGCCACCGACTCCTACCAAGCAGACTCTTTCCGGGTCTACACCTTACAGCAATAATGGCAGTCCAAGTAATCACCGCCGCTTATCGGCTTCCATGTCTACCGTGGGATATGGTCTCTCCAAAAAACTAACCAGAACAAGCAGTAAGTTAATTCTTTCAGCCAGTCCGATTCAGCAAGATGCAGAGGACAGTGATGCGTCGATGGACATGAACGATTCTCCGACACCAGCGTATGCAGATTTCAACGCGAACGATTTCATGTCCACGCCATCATTTAGAAACTCGCGAATGCATAAAAGAAATTCAACGTTGCACTCTCCAACGCCGTTGAAGATGACGAAATCTCTTACTGTCTCATGTCTCACCCCATCTAGAAAGCCCGGTTTTGCTAAACTTAGTCACGTTGCTCCAGCGAGTCCGCTGGGACGTATAGATTTCCTCGAGCGATTATCACCTCGCACTCCTATCGATGGGATATTGCCACCTGATCCAAGTGGTTTATCTATCTCGAACTCTCGAAGTTACGATGCTTCCACCTCCGCTAACCGGTCTTCGATGCCTCCTCCTGCTACCCCCACCGCGGGTCGTGGCTACTTTCCGCAAATCGGTGCTAGACGTCTCAGCATGACACCCGTTAGCAAGTTCCCGGCCGCTGATGTCGATGAATCAATTGCAACCCGATTTGAAAAGGTTGAATTGGTCGGAAGTGGAGAGTTCTCGCACGTCTATCGTGTAGTTCAAACTGCTCCATTGACCGCAGCATTCGCCCAGCCATTTTTCTTCGGCGGTTCTGGTTCACCTTCGCAAAGCCGAACTCCTCCTACGCCAATGTCTGAACGTGTCTTTGCGGTGAAGAAGGCTCGACAACCTTATCTAGGTAACCGAGATCGACAAAAGAAGTTACAAGAGGTCGAGGTGCTCAAGGCGCTTGGTCAATCTGATCATGTAGTGCGCTTCATTGATAGCTGGGAAGACAAGAGCTACCTCTATATCCAAACCGAATTTTGTGAAGAGGGCAGTCTTGACGTATTTATCAGCCAGTTGGGCCGTAAAGGAAGGTTGGATGATTTCCGCATCTGGAAAGTCATGCTTGAGATCAGCCAAGTAAGGTTTCTTTTTAACAACTAAATGAGCATTGCTAATAAACGATCAGGGATTGCGATATATTCATGATTCTGGTTTTATTCATTTGGACATAAAGCCTGCGAACATCTTGATTACCTTCGAAGGTGTTCTTAAAATTGGAGATTTTGGCATGGCAACCTCTTGGCCTGCTCAGCCGGGTATTGAAGGAGAAGGTGACCGCGAGTACATTGGACCTGAGATTCTCAGAGGACAATTCGACAAACCTGCCGACATCTTTGCTTTGGGTCTGATGCTTGTCGAGATTGCTGCTAATGTTCAACTGCCCGACAATGGTGTCATTTGGCAACGTCTTCGCTCTGGCGACATGAGCGACATTCCAAGCCTTACTTTCAGCAGTGTCACTGGCAATCTTCGAGATGCTACCGGAGTCCCTGTTCAAGATGAAAGTGACATCACCATGGATTCTTACACCAGCGACGATGATATCGAGGTTGACTTTGGGTCCCCCAGCATGGCATGCAAGAAAAGAAGCTTTGTTACCTCCAGCAAGTCACTCTCACACGACCCTGGAAACCTATTTGGATCTGGACGACGAGGTGAACTCCACGAAGCCCCAGACTTCATGATGAATCGATTCAACGAGCACTCTCTCGACAACATCGTGCAGGGGATGATTTCGGAAAATCCTCAAGATCGGCCAACAGCCCAGCAAATCTTGGATTGCCTTGGTGTGCAATGGGTTGATTCCCGCCGTCGTGCTGGTGCAACCGTATTTGAAGGCAATTGGGGACCAGCTGATGAGGTGCTGGCGGATGATGCGGAAATGATGGATGTTTGAGTTATCTCTCAGAATATTCGCTTTGATATCGCACCGTCGTAACTCGCTAGCTCCTGGATATAGGACTGACGAACGTTGGATGACTTCCTCATCCTAAAAATTTCAGGCCGAGTGTTACGGCGTTGGTAAATGTTTGATTATGGTACAGATCGAGAGGAAATACCCACCATCACTAAAAAAAACTACGAAACGAAAACTTTCACAACCTTATGAGCTCGCCCTATTGCGCCTTTACATAATTTCTGCCGTCTTTGTCAGCAGCTTTTTACGCATTCATGAAGCTACGAAATGGAACGATGACGGTATACTCTGAAGGAGTTATAATCATGTCGGGATCAGTTTTGATATCTTTCTTTGAGGAGATGTCGTTTATTTTACTTTCAGAACAATGTAGCTTTTGGAAGGAAAAGTAGTTCTGTATGTGTTAATTATTAGGTGTCTTGGAAGATGTTGGTTGAAGGAAAGAAGGCCGTTTTCATTTCTACCCAACAACTGTTACCTCTCAAAGTTGCATACTATAGCCTAACCAGATTTTGGTTGCTCTGTTGATAGTCATGCTGGGGGTTGAGGAATGGTTATTCTTGGGAGGTAGGGAACGCCTTGGGGAATAGTTGAAGCTGTGGAAGAGAAATGGTTGTGAAGATGTATAGACCAAAATATGATGGGTGGCCAAGAATATATGGGCACCCTCTAGTGATGAATTAAATGATGATTAAATAATTCGCACGTCCACGATCACTGTTTATCTGATGTGGTCATATGTTCACCAGAATAAATGTGATAATCTAAGCATTTCGTATTCTGACAGCTCAACCTCCTCTCCGGCATACGTACGAAACACCCATCACAATCACCACAAACCTCACCACAATAGCATTCGAATAAACACGAAATACAAAATCATCCAACTCCCTTCCCTCATCCGATTTAGATATCATGTCATGCCAAGCCCCCTCTTGGAGGACAAAATAAGTGTCAGTTACCTACCCACTAGTCTTTGGATTGAATAAGTCGGTTTCGAATAGAACTTTATAAGATTCATCTACTCATAATAATTGACGGAATCTGTCATATTGTTGCAGATTAATCCGCTAAATAGCGATATTTCGTCAACTTAGACGAGGAATTATCGTGCTTCAACTCATCTATTATTCTATCCACCGCGAGGCCCCCCCCATCCTGCGGAATCTTTCGGTTAAAAGAACTCGCGGCAGTGAGGGACGGGCAAATATCATTACCGTGCGACGTGCAACATTTGTTTCGTTTTGAGGATAGGGTTTTGGGGAGTGGATTCGAGGGGGGGGTGAGAGGGTGGGTTGTGGTGTGAGTTGTGGTGTGAGTGCGGCGGGAAGCGGCGGATTTTTCGGTTGGGTGGAGGAAGGGTTGGGAATGGGATTTTGTGAATTTTTGTGGTTGGGAATTGGTTTGCGTGTTTTATTAATTCAGAGTTTGGTTGGAGGGATGGTTTGCCCGAGAGAGCAGTGTTGTGGATGGATTTGGGATATATTGTCAGAAAGTAAGTGTCTCATGTCTATATCTACTTGACTCTCGTCTAAGTTATTCATTAACTGATGGTGGTAAGTTACCTTGTCTGTTATGGATTTACACTTTTAGTGGCTGTCGCTGGTCACAGTTCTTGGGGAAATCAATGGCTAGATTTATGGTTACCACAGTGAGACTCATGAGGAGATGAGTAAAGTATAGGACAAATTGTGCTAAAAGACAGATGTTCTGTTTAGTACAATTTCACCAGTAGACTTCCACATCCATCTCCATCAAGGCAAATCGATCTCCAAGAAAGGATGTCTGGTAGCTATACTGGACGAACACTTGGAACATGGTAGGAGAGCGTCTACATATCATTACTTCTGTAAGTAGATATTTTGTGTTGTAGATGTGCATTCATCTACGGACAACAGCCTTGAATATCTAGACAGGGAGTCTCAGACCGAAGTCCCAGTGATATAAACCAAGTCAGTCCACAGCCTCAGCTATCAGTGTCTAAAATTGTTTTCTTATCATTGCAGACTCGAATAGGGATTTTCTCTGGCGCTTCAACTTGTACATGGTAAAAGATGGGTAACCCAAGAATAGGACGACAACGCGCCTCAAGTCAAAGAAACCCAAAAGATTGAGAATGATAGAATTAGAGAGGAATCGTGCAAAGATTGTCTTGGCTATTGCCAATATTGTCTTGATATCGGTACACAGCGGAATACAAGAAGTAAACATTCGAGTAGTAGTAGTACACAGTATTACATAACACGAGTTGCTCTGAATCACAAGAAAATCAAACAGCAGGTTTGTATGGCATCCAAATCAGGCCATTCAACGCGTCGCTACAGCCTCTATTCAGCTTAACTTAACCCCCCTTGAATGGTGCTCTGCCTGTGACAATTGTCAGCCTCTGCCAGAGGCCGGATTGCAAAGCACATTATGAGCAAAAACCAAGACTACTTAACCCGAAAGATTTCTACCGAGACTCCCGAACAGACATCTGCTCTGAAGGACCTAGTGAATGATCTTTGAATGGTATCCAAGCTCGAGGAGTGTTTGGAAACACAGGGAGTGAACGCATTCCTACCAAGAAATGGCACATAGAATGGGCTGAGACTAAGCCGAATAATCTCGAAGAGGCTATCATGGCTTTGTTCAACTCTGTCCCCTGTGGTACCTGGTGGCCAATACGGCTTGAATTGTTGGAGCGTGTACGAACTGGAGGCTACGGTAAGACGGGAAACTCCTGTTCTAGCTGGTGGTACAGAGCCTCATCTGCAAGGCAACAAGATACCAAGGTTTGTGCAACGAAGTCCTGAGTACCAGCTGACTTCAGGTGGAAGGTAACGACGAAGAAGCAAAACTCGGTGATTCGGTCATCGCTTTGGAGGGCCATCCCTCACCCCCACGCTGGACACGTTTCCGCTGACTTGATGTAGAAAGATGATGTCGGTCGAATAATGTACCTTTAAGGCTTTTGAAGCCAGGTGCATAGTTCATGTGGTGATGTCCGTTGTTCATCCTCGTGGTGAAAACACGGCACCGGGAGTAGTCTTACTCCACTGCGTTTCCCTCACAATTGCGGCTAGATGCTGGAGATTCGATGGAAGCGGGAGCGGTTCAAATAGGCAAGGTGGTCTGACGGGGACGGTCAATGTATGGTAATTTGTGTGCAGAAGATTCGTGGAAGACTAAGGTGAAGGATGTGAATCGTGAGGGTGTGATGGTGACAGGATGAGGGACTGCCTCCGTCCATGATGAGAAGAGCCGGAGCGGTCGGAGGCCATGGGCCGACCCGGCAGGTGTGGCTCAGCAGGCACCCGACGACTGGAACAGGCATCTGTGATGCTGGTCGATGGCAGTCTTGGCTTGGGGTGCATTTAATACTGGAAGGTTGAAACGTGGACGAGTGAGATCGGCGTGCTGTGGCTCGCGGATTGAAGGACTGCCCAGGTGCAATCAAAGCGACCGTAGAGCTGTGAGAAAGCAGAGAAGAATGGCAAAAAACAGCTGTCAAGCTGTGAGTCGGTAGAGAGAAGTCTGAGGTTGCTTTTGGCAGAGTCAAGTGATGTCTATTTGATTCCTGCACGGTACCTAGGTACCTAGGTACCTTTCACTCTGTCTGACCAACATACGAGGACCTAGTAGGAGGCTAGTAGGTACATAGGTACCAAGAAGTACAAAGTACCTAGGTAGGTACATCTAGACCTGACCAAGATCCGGGTCGCATAGCATGGCAGATTCCGCCATTTCGTCACCACTAAACAGCCTTCATTGCAGAACTGGTGCATTCGTCGAGTTAACGACGTCGCACCTAAATGGTAAGACCTATGGACGTTTCCGGGGAAATGAATGAATGAATGTCTCGCTCGTCAGAAATAATCACAGAAAATGTCATTGTTACCCGTAACAACTTAATCAGAGCAATTGTAATGTGAATGATGTAGATGCTCTCCATAACGGCCAGGCACCACAAACGTTGGCAGTTGGCAGTGGCAGTGGCAGTGGCACATCCACATCCTCGCATTTCCCCTCGCTCCCAGTCCCAGTCCCAGTCCCAGTCCCACTCCCAGCGCCCAGCGCCCAGCTCAACCGATTTCTCTCCGGAGCATCCCCCCCGATTTTCCGTCGCTCAGCACTGTCGTTCACCACAAAGAAGACGCAGAGAGAAGTCGACTATTGTTGTCAACAACAGCGCCCATCTTTCCCTGAGCTTGCTTGACTAACAGCTAGATTGGGACTAGACAAGCTCATTACCATACCAGTAGGTACCTACCTAGCTAAGGTATGGGATACACGGCAAACCACACTCGAAGGACACCTGCACCACCAGACACCACCATTACCAGTGGGCCGGGCTTGACTGTCAGCCAAATTTCACTGCAGCGACACTGCACCATCCGCCTGGGCGCCCATCACCCACACCCGTCACCACCTCATCGCTAGTACGAACCTTCGAGCCTTCGAGCCTGCCTCGCTTTCTCCCCCCCAAAAACCCAAAAACACGCCAACACTTGAGCTTGATACGGGCCATGATGTCTTCACACGACAAGACTCCCGTCGCGTCGACGTCGACATCAGCCAGCCCGTCCCAGACGCCAGATTCCACCTCGACGCACTCACCCTCTGTCTCGGCCTCGTCCAGCACCAATCCCTCCAGATCAACCACCCCCAAACCCGTCCGGGAATCGTCCACCTCCACGGCATCACAACCACCACCACAACTACCACCACCACAGACCAAGAAACCCCTTCCACGACGAGCTCCCTCCGCGACCAACTCCCCAATCCCTTCTCGAGAACCGTCACCGGTCCGGCCGACTGCCAAACCGGTCGTCTCGGCTCGTACCTCGGGCCCAGGTCGGTCGAGAAAGAATAGTTCACACGACGTCAGTCCGTCACGCTCCTCCAGCATTTCGAGCAACCCTCCTTCTGCCGCGGCCACGCAACGGGCTCTCTCTGCGACATCCATACCAACCCTCTATCCAAGCGTGTCAGATCCCACCATACGAGCTCCAATCCCCCAGAAATCTGCTGCCACCCCCGAATTCAAAGACACTCCTCGCTGGCCGATATCTCCCAGACTCCGGTCACCTCCACCCATAACCAAGTCCATGATACACTCCCCGCGCAAGAACGACGACGTGCCCGCAATCAATGTCCTACGAACACCCCAAGCGATCGAGCAGTCCGAAGGGAGGCAACCGACGAATGACGGCGAGACAGAAGAATCTTTGTTAGTGCCGGGCATGCGAACGCCAGCGAGAGGGGCCAGCGGAGCGAGTTCGACGCTGGAAACGGTGCAGGAGATCATTCCCATCAAAGAAGGAGACGAAGACTCGGAGAAGAGTGGCACGGAGAGTAGAAAGACGTCAATGGACCAGGGAAAGCCCAAAACAAGTGCGGTCTCCAATGAGAGTGGCAGTGATAGTGCCGGTAAAGGGGAGATCAAGATGAGAACCACCTCAGCAACACCAGTAACAGGGCTACGGCCGAGCGCTCCCGCGGTAAAACCCTTTGGCGCAGGGAGAGGAAAGGCATCAGAAGGCTCCGGTCGGAACATGACGGTGGAAACAGAAGTCGTCAGTTCCATCCCGCAGGTCGCGGTAGGTACGAGAGATACGATGAGTCTGGGAGGAAACGGCAGCATACGCAACAAGCCCAGCTCCGAAACGATTCGACCAAAGAAAGAAAAGAAGAAGACAACGCGGAAGACCCCGTCGGTGGCTTCTGGAACGGGTGAGCAACCAAATTCATCAAGGCCCCGCCTTCATCATCAATCCTCTATCCGAGACTTGAAGTATCCTGTGGGTGCTGCTAGGTCTCTCGAGTGGCCCAATGGCCAAGCCTCGTATCCCCCCTCAGACAGCAGTGGTGCAATTAGTCCTACGAGACAATCAGCACCGTCACCGCGCAGGCCAAGTCTAAGTATTCACAATATGAGCAATATGCTAACTAGAAGCCGCCCAGCCTCTTCCAAAGCAGATATCTTCGAGGCGAAAGTCGCAAGCGCGGTCGATGAGGCAGACTCCTCCGATTCCGAGGAGACATTTGTCTATGAGTCCAACCCACCCGAGCCTGTCGACCGACATAAACGGTATCATTCGCGGACGCCCAGCGCAACCTCCATGGCCAGCCAGATCGATCAGAGGAACGGTCCAAGATCAGCCATGGAGGGCGGTCACAGTGTGGCTATGAAGAAAAGTATGAAGTTTGCCAATTCCTTTACGAGCAGTGGCGGTCCGGAATCCACTACTGGCGACGACGATGGTAAAGGTACCGCGCGAAGTAGTGTCGGGACGGGTCGAGGGACGAACCATCACCACCATCCACATATCGGTCGCTGGGGACGCAACGGCGGCAATGGTCACGCTTCTCTGTTTGATAACGAATCTCCTTTTCCTAATGCAACGAAACCCAAATTTTCAGGTACAGGTCCTAGACACTCCTCACAACCTACGAGTCCAAGGTTGTCGAATTCAAGAGTTGGGGCGCTCGGCAAAAAGTCTGGTCCATTATCATCAAGCTACGATCTTGATGACGGCGCGGATGACGAGCGCACTCCTTTAATGTCAAGTGTACGATCAGGACGATCCATACGGGGTCGGCGACAGAACGCAGCCTCGATTCGGCAATTAGAGCATCAAGCCTCACGACATCACCGGCCTTTCCTTTCACAGTTTGCTGGTTGGCTAGTATTATGCATCATGATCTTGCTGGTCATAGCCGGCGCATTGGCGTTTACATTTGCGACGACTCAACCTCTGGCCGACGTCAAGGTATTAGCGCTAAAGAATGTTCTTGCTAGCGAACAGGACATCATTTTCGATATGAAAGTGCAAGCTCGAAATCCAAATATTGTGGCCGTGTCCGTCGACATGGCTGACATTGTTATTTTTGCAAAGTCAAAGTACGCTGGCACCGATTCCGAATGGTGGAGTCGACCAAACATGCCTCTAAGTATCATGCGACGAGCCATTGCGCGACGACAGGATCACGATCCTCCACGGGGTGACGATCCTAATACGAACCCAAATCTGGAAATTGGACATGTTTACGAGTTAGACAGTCCTTTGAGCTTCGAAGGGTCTCCCTTTCATCACACTCGCTCGGATTCCACTGGTCAAATTCGAGTCGATCACCCAGGAAATCATACTGTACCATCAGGAAGCGAACGTTGGGGGCGGGTACTGCAACACGAGTTCGATCTAATCGTTCGGGGCACGCTCAAATACTCTCTACCCTTGAGCCAGAAAACCAGAAGCATCTCGGTCGAGGGCCGAGTCACGGTCAAACCAAACGCCGCAGACCAGGATCCTGACGCTGTCCATATAATGCCGGCTCGGTCTGTCGGTAAATAACAAAGTGGTTAACTAACCACGTCACGTATCTCCTTTGTCATAATGTTGGTCCAATCCTGTATATTGAGCGAGCGAACCGGAAACGGAAGTTATTTTCATATCCACGTCATTGCATGGGCCGAGAAAAGAGGCGCAAATTGTTTGCTCAGGCAACATCACGACACATTTCTGGATGGAGCAAATTTTCTTTTTGGACAGAGAGCCGGGAGCGGAAGTGTCACACTACACTTGGTGGCCATACATTCTTTTGCATTGATTTTCCCTTGTCTTTTATGACTTGCTTGTACTGGGTTTGACTTTGCTTTTTGGGGGTTTGGGAATGGCGAAACATCAGAAGTACAATATAGAAGGGATAAAATCACTTTAAAGGCGTGGGAATAACCGGAACACCTTAGGGTGCGAAATTGAAGAGGAGCTTCGCTATGATAGCTCGCATGGAAAGAACCTTGCTGGAGATGTAGTTGTATGGAAATGAGGCCGTTGGCTTCTGCGTTGGGAATAAAGAAGGTGGGTGTGGGTATATGTACAACTTCGATTGGACTATAAGGTCCTGGCGGGTGGAAAAGCGAGGATGGTTAAAAGTTAGGAAGGAAATTTAATTGTTCTTCCACCGATTCTTTGGTTTGCTTTTGTGTGGTCTTGCCAATCTAGTGTTCGTCATTTACATGATGCAGGGTGATTTCTCATCGCTTGTTAGCCTGCATTCCGTCACAGTATGGCGGTATTGGCTCTACCTTACCGTTATATATCTAAGCGTGTGCTACCTAGCATAGAAGAACCGTTACAAGTCAAAAGTACACCCTCTCCAGCTCGACCGACGCCGTCAAGACGTGACGCTTAAGCCTCGGAATCCGCACCTCAGCAGGATCCCTATCTGAATTTTATCTACATTACGCGGTGATCTGCTCCTATGGACAACAACAGAAGCGGCAGTCAAGATTGGAGAGGTGTTCTGCTAAGCGGATGAAGGAGCATGTATCTCATCTACTATCCTAACTTGGTAGAACAATCTTAGACTCTGTTTCACATCTATCAATCATCAAAACTACACTACTCACACCTCCCGTTCACAACCTCCAGGTTTTGACAAAAGCACAACCAAGAGGTTCCGCCACTCATTCCCTCCACTGTGACCCTACCCAAACTACTCTGACCTCACGACATCTTCCCCAAAACATTCTATCATCTTTTCTGGACTTATCATTCCTACTAAGGTGACATCAAGTCTTCTCGCTAGAGAACTAAATCCACGTGATAAGTGTCTGCAGTGGAACTTTCTTGTGTATTTATGGGCTAGCGACGAATGTTTAAGTAAAGAACTAGATGGCACTTTAATTGGGTATTCTATGGACCTCCTCGGAGTAACATTTTTCTTGACATTGACATTCTGCCTCAAATCTGACATGCAAGTGATAGATTAGAAGAGAAGCCATCAAGGTGGATGGTGAATTTGATAGGAACTAGCCACGCAGTTGTGCATCTTTTCGTTTCTAACTATTCCTTCTCCAAGCACAATTACAAATGTAAAGTCCACTTGTTAAGCAGCAATTTCTGTGTCTGTGGCAGATAAAACTTGGATTCTGAAACACACCTAGGTCTCAAAAACGGTATAAACATAAAGATGTCTCGACATTGCTATAACAAGAGCCATCAATTACTAGTACAAATTCAAGCAACACGTCTGGATATAATCAAACATCTATAACATTACCCGCGACAGAACACGCCCCCAAATACGCTATACATTCATTTAGTTGATCCCCCTTTTATAGTCTCCTCATTTATCATACAAACAAACACCTTTGCACCAACCACCGTCATAGTCGCCAACACCATCTTCACGGCTTCCAAATATAAGCTCAAATCCTACTGTGTGACAGCCCTGACACACTGTAATAGCATCCCAAACATCAACCCTCTATTAACCTCCTCAATCTGCAAACAATCGAAGACCCGCCCCATTGCTTCGCTCGTGGCAGCCTGTCCCATAACACCGCTCAACGCAACGGGAACACCCCTCTGAACCAGTAACTTCCGTGCCTTGAGTCTCAAGCTTTCTTTTTCTTCGGCCGTCATCTCGGCAGGCCAAGCTTTCAACTCTTCCTCGGTCGGAAGACTGTTTTGTCGTAACTTGCGAAGATGGGCTGCGATTCCGGCATCAGAGGTGTTGGAGGCGATGACAGAGTCTTGAATGAGTGATTGAATCGAAGAAAGAGACGGATTTCCAGGCCTTAAGAGAAAGGTTTTAGCGGCGTTGAGAAGGGTACGGCGGAATTTCCAGGCTGAAGAAAGGGTGTAAAGTTCGCTTACGACGGCAAAGAGGAGCTCCACTGCTACGCAAGTTTCTTCCTCGGTCATGGGCATTGGTTCTTTACGTTGCTTAATGGGCGAGGCGCTGATATTTGCTGATGAGATCCTGGGCGTGGAGATTGATGGTCTTCCTGGTGATGGTTGGGATGGCGCCGTACTCATTGAATTTCTGCTAGGCGCCGTGCTATCTGTGTTTATCGTAGTATCTGTGCCATAGTCTTCAGATATCGCACTTGGTGGAGGAGGTAATCTTAGCTGCTCCATCGTGGCTTGCGTGGGAGAATTGAGAGGAGTTCCTCTCCTCGAGGGGGCTCTACTAGGAGCTCGGCTGTGATTCGCACTTCGAGAACCACTCATCGACGACCTCGCGGATGTCGAAGGTCGAGATTCCCGCTCGTTTTCGACCTCTGCAATTGAATGATAGCTAGGTCTGCGTTCCATTGGTGGAACCTTGGAAGGTTGCGTTGCCACAAGTGGTACAGCACGCAAGCTGTCTTCGCTAGCTCTCGCTCTGCGATTACTATATATCGAAGTTGCCATTGAACCAGAACTGTCAACCCGAGGAAGGGTTGAAGTTGAAGCTCGGCCTGCTACGTGTGCACCAACATTTGCGGTGCTGCCATTCGTCTTCTTCTGACCAAGGTTCCCAATTTCTTTGCCAAGGTTGTTGAAAACGCCAGAAATCCCGCCACCCAGTGCTTTCCCGCCGTCGGCAACACCTCGAGGTGCGCTTGCGAGCACGTCCAACATGCCCTTGCCCATAGTTTCAATCGCCGATGGAGCTGGCCAGCCAAATCCAATTTTGGCAGTAGGGGCAGTTGTGTTTTGGCTGTCCTTCTCCAGAAACCTCTTCATGCCCTCACTCTCAGCAAGATGACGATCCCAACAAGCGTCCCGAATATACCGCTCTAGCTCACCACGAAGGGATGCCTTTGTATGCTCTTTCCAATTTGGCAACGTGCTGTGTTGCTCACTGAAAGCAACGACACCTGAAAGTTTGGCAATTCGTCTTAAAACTTCGTGTAGCGTCTCGAAATCTGGATATCTGCGAACAATCATCCAGCCAGGATGGTCTGATGAAGCGGGTTCGATCTGAATCAAATACTCAGAGTTTGGCTTACTACGCAAAGGCCCTTTATCCATTGTTGTAGAATCGTCGTGGATGATGATATTAGCGTTGTGTAGTGTGAGAGACACGGTTTTCCGACGTGGCATAGGTGACACATCTTGGAGAGCAACTGGAGTTGATGGCGGAACGATTTGATCAAAACTAGTAAAAGGTGTCGATTCTTGTCTTTCTGGTGAAGCAGACGGGCTACTTGCCTCCCAAACCTCATTTGGCGAAGTGGTAGATCTAGGGGACTCGCAAACACTGTTGTGGGTCGTTGAAATGTTTTGAAAACCCTCAGATGTTTGGTTTGGCGTTCTGGGTGATGGGATAGCCGGTAATCCCTTGGTTTCCACGGCTAATTCATTAGTAGAGGTCTCGACACCAGCAACCAAAGCCTTTGGAACATTATCTACTGGCTTTCTAATAGCCTGCTTGTTCGCGTCTTCCTCTGCCATCAGCTGTGACAATCTCTTTGCCTCTTCCATAGCCTCTTCCATGGCCTCTTCGGCCTTGCTCAGACGCTTCTGATGCTTCTTGAATTCCTGTATTGAAGGCGTCGCCGGTGACTTGGCAAGCCCTATATTTCCAACGTTACCATCTATGTCACTTAGAGTACTAACATCAGGCACGTTTCCCATCCCAACGTCAATGGCTTGACTGAAATCCGGCTCGCCATCTTCCAAGAGATGTACAATCCATCCATTTATCCACTCGGGTTTGGAGCAGCTTTTTAACGTCATATCTAAGACCACCCCAGCCAGAATCTCCCGTAAAAAAAGACGAGCAGGATCACATGCATACGCCGGTTTTTCTAGGAAGTTCTGTAATATGTCATCCGCAATCATCCTAAATTTCTTCATGTGTTGCTTTTCGTTCAACACATTGGCTAAATTGGAATCTGGATTGGCTGATAGGTACGTATATACTGCTTCCGCGGCCGGCACGCTCGCCGGCTGGGTTGACAAAGCGCTGGAGAGCTCATTGAGGAAAACAATGACAATGGAGGACGAATTGGTAAGGAAATCAAGAAAACTGTCTGCGGGCCGCTTCCGGGATAGATGGTTAGACACCGATAGCATGAACTTTGTCAATGTCTGCCGCGACGCTGCTGGAAAAGAGGTTTCCTTGGGAAGTATAGGATCATACCACCACTTTACATAATCTCTAATGACAGCTTCCACGAATTCGGTGAGAGCAGCCTTGGTCTCTGGTCTGAATGCCTCGAAACTGTCCGCCAGGTGCTCAGTCTCGTCGCCCTCGTCCTCGTCCTCGTCCTCGTCTTTTGGTTGAGCGTCCCGCCATGCGAATAATCTGGCCACTACATCAAGACCTTCCTGTCGCCTGTCCTTTGCTCCCACTCCCACTCCAATCAGTGTACTCTGCCCTTCCCATGTCGCGTGCAGTATCACGCCTCCTAGTGCGCCGATCAAGATCAATCCCAGCTTCCCCAGAATGAGGTATGTAGCCGCTGCTAGACCGACAGCAATCGCGCCGAGGGTTTCCGGCGTTGCAGTTGATAGAAACTGAAGGGCTTTTGTCACATAGTCTCCGTCGTGAGGCAATGGCGCGTCTGGGGGGGAGAGCGCTTTTACAGGCGAGTGTTGCGGGGTTTCTTGAAGAGCATCCTCGTCTTCTAACTTGCTGCGAATTCCGTTCATCGCGTCTAGATGTGCTGTCGGCGCATGCTGAGGGTGAAGGCGGACGGGGAGGGGATTTATTACTATTGTCTGGCGCAGTGTCGAGGAAATGAGGGTGCTGTAGCTGCGCAGCTCCGAGGCAATTCGAACGAGGACCGTCTGGGAAAGGGGGTGGCCAGAGAGGAAAGTTCGAGGGTTCCAGGTTCGGGGGTGGGAAGGAGCAGGAGTCCCGTCAGATGCGAATAGTTGTGGTTTCGTGTCAGTTTGCACCCCAATGGATGGACCACCCACTTCCGCACGTCGACGGCAAATAAGGTTACTCCTCGACTGTCCCCAGTCGCAGTGTTGCACGGTTCTGCGCTACAAATAGAAACACACTTGGAAGTCGATGCGCAACATCTGGAACAAACTTGGAAGCTGGAGAAGCAGCCCCTCGGGTGCTCGAGTGCTCGAGTGCTCGACGTTCGCTGGATCGACCGGGCCGGGGCCGCCGGTGTGAGCGCATCGGCCCGCAGCCCCCGCTGCCCGGAGATGGTCCTCCGATTCATTGCGCGGGTTCCTACTCATAATCGCGTCCGCGAGTCCACGTCGCGTTTGCCCAACTGCACCCCGACGTCAAAATGCCCAAGAGAGGACGTGGAAAGGAAGTCGAAGAGTACGAGTCGGACGGCGGCTTCGTCGAAGATGATGGTCATGAGGTCCCAAAGAGTAAGAAGAACAAGAAAACAGCCGTCGTCTCGAAAAGTACAGGAGCCTCGGGGAGCAGTTTCTGGGAGGTATTTGAATTCGTACCAATTGCCGTCGCTTGTGACTATTCTAACGACCCTTCCTAGCTGTCATCTGGGCGCACGCCACGAAGAGTTGAGATCACGGAGTTCAAGAATATGAAGCTGGTCAACATTCGTGAATTTTATGAGAAAAACGACGAGTACCTACCTGGCAAAAAGGTATGTGAAGCACAGTCAAACAGCAACGTATAGGTATTAAGCTCGGTTCAGGGAATCTCCTTGACCGTGGACCAATACAAAGCATTCCTGCATGCAATTCCTCAGATCACCGCAAGCCTCAAGTCATCTGGCATTGAGTTTGACGAGACCGAACCCGCTCCAGAAATCAAGGGTGAGCAGGAAGAGAAAAAGCAGAAAAGGACCGTCAAGAAGGAGTCTCGAGCTAACATCGAGGAGACAAGCGATGAAGAGGAATGATACGTGTATCGCAGTATCTGTCACTTCCATAACCCATTGGCTTTTGAAAGGCAACTCATCGATCATTTTCGAAGTAGCTTCACGGGGTGGCATTGCTCTTAGTGAAAATAAACCCAAGCAGGTAACGCTCTGCAGTCAGCGATGACCCTTCATGCGAGTTAGTGTAGACTGCAATCAATTCAACAGTACGAACACTCCTTGTGGATTATCATCACGCGGCAGACATCTAGGTCAAGGATCAGCAGTTCCGTTCTGTCAAATTACATGGCCATTCTCAATACTCAATCGCCAACTTTTGGGTCATTATAAAGCATAATCTCTGCATGATTGTCGAGCAGATATACGTAAAACACGTTTGCCGCATATAATTTCTACGTGGCACCTTGTAACTTATCAACGATACCTCCCCAGCAACCCTCTTGGAGTGTCGGTCCGTTTTGCGATAATGCTGTTGTGGTTCGAAATTTGAGCAACATTTGGAGTCAGTCCACAGTATATACCATAACCTATGCTTGAAGTGCCATATCTTCTCTGTTCGCATGACTTCCCCCTTTCCAAGCATGCTTAGGGTCCTTATCCTTCGCTCTCAACTCCTTCTCATCCCCGACCCTTCCCCAACCGCCACCCCCCGGTGTGCAGATGATAATCCTCTCGCCAGATTTCATGAGCGCCGTGTTTTTGCCACCTAAATTGATTCTTCTTTCTTCAAACACAACATCATCAATCTCGCCTCCATCGCCGTTGAGCATCTTATCCGAGCGCTGAGGATTACTCGTTTCAACTCTGCGTACCCAGATATTCAACCCGCATTCCGCATCTTCACCACCGGCAAGACCATAAGGGCGGTAGACTCGGCGTTCGCTGAGTATAGATACCTGTGTCTCTGGCATACGGAATTCAATATCGCGAACCACGCCGTTTCCGCCACGGTGTTGGCCTTTACCCCCAGACCCGGCGCGCAACGAAAATTCCCTCAAAATAACAGGGTATCGCCGCTCGAAAACTTCAGCATCTGTTATACGAGTGTTTGTCATATGTGTATGAACCCCATCCGTACCATCCCAGTCCTTGCCTGCCCCAGAGCCGCCGGCAATTGTCTCATAGTATCCAAACCCTTTCATTTCCTTCTCTCCTTCGACATTGCCCCCAAACCCGAAAGTCAAATTGTTACAACACCCCTGACTTGCTGCACACGCCTGGAATGCCCTGAAGATGACATCTGTGACTCGTTGCGAGGTAAGTACATTACCTCCCACCACGGCAGCTTTATCTGAAGGCGACAGAAAAGATTTGGGGGGTATCAATACTTTGATGGGTTTCAGGCAGCCTTGGTTGAGTGGTATATCCTCTGAGATTAGGCAACGCAGACAGTATATTATTGCGCTGTAAGTAACCGCTTGGGGAGCGTTAGTATTACCTAGCAATTTGTTAGCAAAGCTCAATCTATGACTGGAAAGACTTACCATATACTTCCGGACCTGTACCATCGAAATCAAAGATTGCTTCTCCCTTCTCAGCGTCAATGCTAATTTTAAGCTTGATTGGACTTCCATCATCCATGTAATCGACAGCTGATAGATCCTGGCCTTCGAATCTCCTGCTCACCTCTTTCAAGAGGTTCCGGACGCTGTGTTCTGCATTGTTCTGAATATTGGCCATATAAAAGTTCACTACATCTTCGCCGTACTCATCGATGAGACTAGAGATGAGATTAATTCCCTTCATGTTGCTCGATATTTGAGCTTTCAAATCTGAAATGTTGTCTCCAAGACACCTCGTTCCACTACAGCCCGGATATTTTGCAGGCTCTGAAAGTAGTAGTTGGGTGATTCGCTCTTCGTTAAACCTTCCTGCACTCACAAGCTTCTCCGATTTAATAGCAGCTCCTTCTTGATAAAGCTCTCGAGAGTGTGGAGGCATACTTCCAGGTAGAATGCCGCCGATATCAGCATGGTGAGCCCGTGATGCAACATAAAATAAGATCCTGTCGCCGGTTTTATCAAAAGCAGGTGTTATGACTGTGATATCGGGGAGATGAGTACCACCATACTCAGGATGGTTAGAAACGATGACATCCCCTTGAACAAGCTTGCCTTTCCAGATCTCGGCTTGCCTCTTGACACATGTCGACATCGAGCCCAAATGCACTGGTAAATGGGGGGCATTTGCTACAAGTCCACCAGTTGGATCAAACAACGCACAACTATAATCAAGTCGCTCTTTGACATTCGTACTCACACTTGTTTTTTGGAGGGCTCGTCCCATCTGCTCAGCAATAGCCATAAAACGATGTGCAAATATGCTGAGCATTATAGGATCGACATCTTTGGAGGACTCCGATCTCCCTGGCTCCTTGTTGTCATCATCCGCGATATTGATAACAATGTGTGTTTCAATGACCAGAGCTGTGGAAGTTGGCGTAATGACAATAGTCTGAGTTCCGTCTGCCTGTGTGATATCAGTAAAAGCAAGCACGCACTAGAGGTGGTGCACATTGGACATACCAGAATAGCAGGACCTTTGGCTCGATCGCCGACTTCTAGGTCCTCCAATTTGTAGATTGGTGTCTCTTCTCGCTTACCACCAAAGTAAACACGAGTACGTTTGTATTCTTTCTTACCACTCTCTATGTCCTTCGGCTTGATCTCTTTCAGTTGCACGTCAACAGACTTATCAAGCCCCTGAAAGCTTTTTCCAATGCCACGAACGCGCACGTCATCAACAATAATATCTCGATCTGGAAACGTAAATCCAAACTCTTGCTGATGTTGCTCGACAAACGCATCTCCAAAGGCGAAATCCTTCCCTTCCGGCTTCACGATCATCAAGGCAGATTCTGTGCCTCTATAACGCATGTTGAGGTATTCTTCGTAAACGATCGCTTTATCGCCAAAACCTTGATCGTGTAGGGCTTGTTTGGACTTCTCTTTTAACTCTTCAATCTTGATCCTCAACGATTCATTTTTACCTTCTACTATATCCCAAACCTTCGACTCGGGTTCCTGCCTCTCGTCGACCACATCGGCCAACGCCATGCCGTAGGCTGATAACACTGAAGAGTAACGATGAACAAGAATCTGCTTTATCCCAAGGCTTTCGGCTATTGCAACCGCGTGTTGGCCACCCGCTCCACCAAAAGTTGCAAGCCTATGCTTAGAGGTATCGTGACCCTTGGCTTCTGTCAATGACCGGATGGGTCTCGTCATGGTCTCATTGGCAACCGTCAAGAATCCGTATGCAACCTCGTCGACGCTCATGCTTTTGCCAGTTTCTTTATTTACTTGCTCAGTCAAATCTTGCAAGACTTTATTGCTCGCGTCGACGTCAAGTCCTTCATCTTCGTTCTTTCCGAAGATCCTAGGAAAGAAATCAGGCAACAATCGATTTAGAACCAAGTTAGCATCGGTAACTGTGGCTGGACCACCCTTTCTATAACAGGCTGGACCAGGATGCGCGCCAGCGGACTCAGGGCCAACAACGAACAGTCCGTTTTTGAAAAACAATTGAGAACCGCCGCCAGCTGCAACGGTGTTGATATCTAGCTGAGGAGACTGGATCGTAACACCAGCAGTCGTCGTCTCGAAAACATGTTCATACCTACCGCCAAACCTTGACACGTCTGTAGATGTGCCGCCCATATCAAATCCGATAACACCAGGGGGCTTCTCTGATTTGGCATCAAAAGAGGTGAGAGCATAGCCGACAACTCCACCTGCTGGTCCAGAAAGAATTGCTTTCAGACCAGAGAATTTCTCCACGTCAACAAGCCCACCGTCACTTTGCATAAATTCGCATCTTGCTCCCTTCGATCCACTTTCTTCCTTCACACTTTCGCTTCCGAGGCCACCCTCAAAGCCTTTCTGGAAGCCAGCAATATACTTCTTGATAGCAGGTGTGAGATACGCATCTGCGCATGCTGAAGTGGCCCTTGGGACCAGTTTGATCATTGGCATTAATTCGTGACTAAGTGAAATGTGACTAAAGCCGATCCGTTTTGCAACTTTACCCACCAATGCTTCATGGTCGGGAAACGTGTACCCGTGCATTAGACAAACTGCTATGCTTCGTATTCCTTTGTCGTAGACCTGTTGTAACTGCTCTTCGATTATCTCCTTATTTGGCCTCCGAAGAATCCTCACTGCTTCGGATGACAAGCCTTTGACCAGATCAGCAGATAGACCGTTCTTGGAGTCCCCTGGTTCAACCGCAGTGATATTTCTCTCTGGGTCTTCAGCGTAGTCCTCCAAAGTCACGCGCTCATCAATCTCGAGAACACAATCATATAGAACTTCTGGTTTTTTTATACCAAGGTCAAAGATGCGCGGTCGTGATTGATTGCCAATCTCCAAGCAATCTTTGAATCCTTTGGTAACCACCATGGCAATGGCTTCTCCCTTGCGTTCCAACAGAGCATTAGTCGCGACCGTGGTTCCCATCCGTATCGACTCTATCTTGGATGTATTTAAGGGAGTGCCTCGTGGAATTTCATTGCCCGTGAACTTTGACATTAATCGCCTGATTCCCTCCAGCGGAGCATCGTCATAATTCGACGGATCTTCGGATAGGAGCTTGATAATCACATCATCTTTCATATCCCCAGTTCCTGGATTTCCAACACAGTCCGTGAAGGTTCCTCCGCGCTACTCAAATCAGCAAACAAGCCCAAATAACCAAAAAAGGCTTGGGAGTAAGTTGACTTTGCATATTTGTTTGTCATACGAGTTGTGATGTGATCCCGCACATTAGACAACATGTGAAAACCAACAGAGACAAGAAATCATAGCTAATCGCTCTGTTTATTGCTAAACACACGAACAGTCAATTCCCCAGCCGCCGGTTGTACCAACACCTTGAAATCTCCGAATGGGGAAGTGGGATCAGAAGCTCGTGGAAAAGAGAATGATATAGCAACTCACATCGATTGCGATGCGGATTCCCCGCTCATTATTATCGTCACCCATTTTGTCACTTCAACACTTCAGTTGCGTGGCTTCGTGTTGTTGTCAGATGGTCCATTAAAAAAGACTGAGTGACGTTGATTGCACGAGGGCGGAGGACTGGAATATCGAAGACGTAGTAATCTACCGCCGCTTTTAGCACGCTGCTCCAGTCCCACCAGTCCCCGATTATCTGATTGCATAAAAGAATCCATAGGAATTTACTGAGTAAATGCTTCCAAGTAAGGACACATAGCAAAATCCCGTCTATTTCGTTAATCAATGTAGTAAAATAGACTTCCACTTTTTGTCGGTTGTCTTAAACCTACTTACCAGTCCTAAATTATACCTTAAGTCATGGAATATTAGGAGGTTCTGCCACTTGTTTTGTCCCATATGAGCATTTCTCATCTCAAAAATAAGAAGGTATAAAATTTCTAAGCAAACTCTAAAAGCCGTAGAGTATGGGGTTTATTATCTTTTGGCTCTTATGTAAGATGTGGGAAGCTTACAACTTCACGCCGCTAAGGTGGTGGCATTCAGTGGCAGCACTTGCCCGATACACGCTCTACTCATCACCGTCAGTGTGTTAACCCAGCAAGCAATCGAACTCGGTCCGGGCGTTCTATCAAAAAGTGACTTGCAATTCCTAATAGAGCATCCTCATCTCTACTTATTAACATACGACACACCGGCTTAGGAGAGCAAACCAGTCCAATTCAGTCCCATACTACTTGTGATATCCGCAGCTGTTCTGCCCTGCTGATCTCTGATCTCACGAATGTCACCCTCAGAACCAGGATATCTTGCAGCTCCCATCGACTGGGCAAGTTGAACAACCTCGTGTGGGAAGGCGTCAATCGGAATATTCGAAGCCAAGCAAAGTAACAACCAAAAGACTTCTTGCTGTGACTTCTCAACAGCAACATGCAATCCCGTCATCCCACCATCAAGCGGATCCTGGTAGCGAAGTAATTGAGCTGGTGACATGTCTTCACTGTCACGATCTTCCTCAATAGCTTTTACGAGCTCCAAAATGCCAGCCACGTCTCCTTCGGCACACATAGTCATGAATGCTCGAGCTGGTCTCGCTGCTGGGTTTGCATATAAGTAAGCTTCTTCGACAATCAGTGGGTGAATATCAAGGTCGTCCTGAATCCCGCCTTCATTGATGTAGATGGTGAGTACCCGAACTGAAGGCGCTGACCCCGAGATGATGGACGCGTGGCATGATGGGCATTTGAAATCGATCGCCACAGAAGCAGACTCATCGAGAAGACATTGCCTAGAAGAGGTTAGTATTAAGTCGAACCGGATGCTACTGAGATTGAACTCGAGACAAGAAATGCTAGTATACAAGTCTCATAGACTGAAGAAGCACCAAGGGTAAAGTGTCTTCCTTGCCTAACGCAGGTGTATATAGACGAGCAACAACTTATTTATGAATTGTAAGGTATGTGACTAGATACATTCTTCTTAATCGCAAACTGACCTAGCAGGAAGAAACATTCCCGAGCCATGAATACATTGCCCAAAAATCCAGTTGGAGAATTTAGCATGAGCCGAAATGTGTACCTGTCTACCCGGCGAGGTAGTGTTCGAATTGATAGACTGATGAATGGGAGGGACGAATTACCAGTGAAAATGACAGTTGCAAGCCTTCAAGAGCAGATCATCAGGTGTTTTTTGTGATACACCAACCGAAGACGATGTGGCCTCATCGAAATCTTCGACATCAAGCTCGATAGTGAGATCTTGGGAACACAACCGGCAAGTCATTCTAGACGAGAGCTAGAATTGTGTAACTGGTTGCTTGACGTGTTGTGGATTTGAAGATAAATTTTTTAGGATTTTCAACGGGTAATCTTAAACGCTCGCTTAAACCTGCATCATCGCTAAATCATAGTGTCTGTAAAGACTACGAACCTTTGGTCAACGAACTCCCCCGGCTCTAACAATAATCCGTCAAACTTGATGGCTTTACTAGAGAAAAAGCTTATTATTTAGAACATTTAAACTTCTTAGGCAAGGGTTCATACAACATCAAGGCGCTCTCAATACAACACTATCCGTCACTCCTAGAGCTTGGTTTTGTCTCACGAACATTGGTAACAAGTTTTGTAAATAGCAGATACTGATCGCCATTGAGGCTGTTGAAACTTCTATTAACAAATTAAATTTTGTCCTAACTGCCATTACTTGCACCATCATTGGGTTATAGTGCAAGTATCTAAAGCTATTGCACAGGACTTTCTTTCCGCTATCCGAGTAAGTCTAACATTCAAGGAGGAGTGTTACATGCCAGACTCAAAGAAGATAGCGTACCAATAAAATCCGGCGGTCCAGCAGTCTTGGTACCGTGTATAGCATAATCTAGAGTAGAGGCGTTTGTAGGCTGGTTCCGCAAGCGTTGCAAGGCCGAGGAATCGTTGGAAAGCAAGTAACAATGATCTAGCACATACGCTTTCTGTTGTAAATAACGAGCGGTCGTTGACTTACTCAGGTATATTCTCATAAGGCTCGTGGTAGGAGTGACTCGGTCCTTCTCAAAAGCACATGATACCTGTTACGATAATCGCAATTGGCGAAGACCAAACGCCAATCTACCTGCTTCATTGACCAAAACCCGACCCTCAAGACTTTGCCTGCTGGATGTATTTGGTATGTGAAGCAGTTGCCACCATAGGACCTGGTTTTCCATCAACAAGTTTGGAGATACGAATCGTCGTGAATGCCATAGATCGTCCGACCTTGTTGGCAAGAGCCTCGATCTCAATTGTGTCTCCCAGCTGGGCTGTTCCAATATACGTAACGTGGATGTCCACGCTGGCGCCCGACTTTTCCAAACCATGTGTTGCTATTGCCAGACCGCCGCTCCAATCCACGATTGCCGCACTTACAGCACCATGAATTGTTCCTCTAACACGTTTCAGAGCGAGATTTCCGTCTCCTATGGTCGACCATCACTTACCTCGAATTGACATGATTTTTTTCCAGAGGTAAACGCGCCGTGACGCTGCCCTTTGTGGCCGAGATGATATCGATGTTTGATAGCAGAAAATCATAAATTGGGCTGTTGCCCTGCATTTTCTGCCAGACGGCTCGCACATGCTCCAATTCCGAAGGAGATGTCATGATCGAAGGCCGCCGTTCGAAACGGTTACCTTAAGCTTGTAATAGGCAGCCCTAATGTCGCAACAAGTTGGTGACGCGGTTGGGTGAAGTGGTCGTCGTAAGCAGCAGGCGTCCAGAGTTTTTGCCTTTCAGGTCCGCAGTGGGCAAAGTTGCACGACGTGAAGTGAGAAAGGTAGGCGACGAGAACCTCCGTCCCGGTTGATTGCGGTATTTGATCAATTGGATATTGTACCCTTATTGCTGGTTCTCGTAATATCGCTGATGGAGGCTGTATGTGCAGCCAAGAGGAACAAGAGAAAGAAGTTGGGCTGTGGTGGATGACGGCCAACGGTGACGCAAATCATGCGAGATGAGGGTTGGAACAGCGCGTGGCGGGGTCCTCGTACTCGTCCTGGTCTCGTAAGGCACTTTGCGACGGTTCCTAACCCAGAGGTTTCCATTGATCCCCCATCGTTCTCCGACCGTTATTCACCCCTTCATTTGCGCTTTTGTAGAACCAAAATTATCACCACATTGCAGAGCACCAAGGTCTGACCGTCCTCCCATCTCCTACATTCCTCACGAGTCACGACCCCGCAATCTACCTATCCGGCCACAGCGGCAGTGACAAAGGCAGGAAGGAACCTTCTGTCAGCGCACTCGAGCCAGCAACATCGACGAGCTCATTGTCTCGCCATAGTAACTTCCGCTAGGTTGGCTACGCTTTCGATCTCAGATCGCGTAATTGTTCATACGCCTTCTGGTCGCCAGAATGAATGTCATCAAGCTTGTGAGGTCAGTCTCCAGGACTCCCTGCGCTCCCCGTAACGCTAGCTGACCCGAGATAGGAAATATCCTCAATTCCAGCAAGACGAGATCTTTGGTCTACAGGATGCTTTTCGAAAGCTCGATGTGGACGACAAGGGATATATCGATGAGGCCACAGCGATTAAAGCCACGCAGGCTAGCGAGAGACAACCTTACGATGTGGTCAGACAAGCCCTGAAGGAAGTCGAGCTTGACTCGTCGAGGCGCGTAGAGTTAGACGACTACGTTGGAGTGAGTCGGTCCTCCCCTCAAGAGATTTCTCTGCTGATAGAAAGCCCTAGCTGGTGTCAAAACTTCGCGATTCCTCCCCAGCCCAACAGCGCATGCATACTGGCCCAACCACCCCGAGCCGTAGTGGTGTTGTAACCCAGCAAACAGGAGGGGGACATAAATCCAAGGGCAGTGTCAGTGGTCGTATTCAGGTCCAAGGATCTTCTGCAAATGTCACGCACACGATCAATGAGGATGAGCGAACCGAATTTACACGCCATATTAATGCGGTCTTAGCAGGCGACCCAGATATTGGTTCGCGACTTCCATTTCCGACGGACACTTTTGAGATGTTTGATGAATGTAAAGATGGGCTTGTTTTGGCCAAATTGATCAACGATAGTGTCCCCGACACCATTGACGAGCGTGTACTCAACAGAGCAGGAAAGAAGATCAAGACGCTCAATGCCTTCCATATGACAGAGAACAACAACATCGTCATCGAATCCGCAAAAGGTATCGGATGCTCAGTTGTGAATATTGGAAGTGGAGACATAATCGAAGTTCGAGAGCATCTGATATTGGGACTAATCTGGCAGGTGATCCGCAGGGGCCTTCTTGGGAAAATCGATATCAAGCTGCACCCTGAGTTGTACAGGCTCCTGGAAGAGGATGAGACACTTGAACAATTCCTCAGGCTCCCTCCAGAGCAGATTCTACTCAGATGGGTCAACTACCACCTCAAGGCCGCGAACTGGCCCCGCCGGTAAGTGCTACAGGCGGTCGTTTGTAGTTCCTGGACATTATTGACAATCTAGTAGAGTTTCAAATTTCTCCACTGACGTAAAGGATGCGGAGAACTACACCGTCTTGCTCGCCCAGATTGCACCAGATCACTGCACTCGCGGTCCTCTTCAGACCCGAGATCTTCATCAGAGAGCTGAACAGGTGTTGCAGAATGCCGACCTGCTCGACTGTAGGAAGTTCCTGACCCCATCGTCTCTTGTTGCAGGAAATCCAAAGCTCAACCTTGCCTTTGTTGCGAACCTGTTCAATACACACCCAGCTCTAGATCCAATCACGGAGGAAGAGAAGCTCCAGGTGGACGATTTCGATGCGGAAGGCGAGCGCGAGGCAAGAGTATTTACTCTTTGGTTGAACAGCCTGGATGTGCAACCCACTGTCAATTCGTTTTATGACGATCTACGAGACGGTACGATTCTTTTGCAGGCTTACGACAAAGTCATTAAAGGATCTGTGAACTGGCGACATGTGAACAAACTCCCAACGAACGGCAATGAAATATCGAGGTTCAAGGCCGTGGAGAACACGAATTATGCCATCGAGCTCGGGAAACAAAACCGGTTCTCGCTTGTTGGAGTTCAGGGCGCTGATATTACTGATGGACAGCGGACGTTGACCTTGGGCTTAGTTTGGCAGCTTATGCGCAAAGATATCTCAGAAACTCTATCCGCTTTGGCCCAAAGGCTGGGAAAGCGCGAGATAAGCGACGCGGAGATGGTGAAATGGGCCAACGACATGGCTCGTAAGGGAGGCAAGAGTTCTTCCATTCGTTCATTTAAGGACTCATCTATCGGTACTGGTGTTTACCTTCTCGACGTTCTTAGTGGTATGAAGAGCAGCTATGTGGACTACGATCTCGTTACCCCGGGAAGAACAGACGACGACGCGTATATGAATGCCAAGCTTAGTATAAGTATTGCGAGGAAAATGGGTGCTACGATTTGGCTAGTTCCGGAAGATATTTGCCAAGTCAGAAGCCGTTTAGTAACAACTTTTATTGGTAAGATTCCCTTACACAATAATTTTTATAGTATATTCTAACAAAAGCGACAGGTTCATTGATGGCAACACATGAGAAGATGCAATAAATTTTCCGGTCTCATTTTAAGCGAAGTCTCGAAATGACCTTTGAGGAGGAGCTTATTTTTGGAGGGAAAAGTTATATTTAGATGTCTTTAGACGCGAAAATGAAGATAGATATCTGTTTCGCATTCATTGCTTCGTAAGGCAATACCCCACACTCTATCTGCGACTATGTAGGCTTTGAACTGTACGAGACTACGAATGCGCAGGAATTTCAGACCGCGCCGCATGCTATTGAACACTTATTTCCAACCCGTGGCAGTGCCGTAAATGTTAAATATGAGCTTGCCTTCCTTATGATACATCGCTTTATTCCATCCTACCCCTTCTCTGATGAGACCCAATCATGTGAAGTCCACCAGTGGTATTTGCAAGTCTGACATAAATTTCGAGTAAGTGGTCGGCACATTATTGTCCCGAACGTGGTAGATAGCGAGCCCACTCAGAGGATTAAATAAAGACTGCATAATAGGCTTGGGCCGCTAGATAAAAATGTGTTAGAATCCCGTGACAGGGATCTTTCCGATATATCTTGAGCAGAAGCAGGGCATGAGAGAGTATGGAGTCCTTACATAACAAGTCCAAACCCTTTAGCACATTAGCTAACATCCGATGAAGTTGAGGGGATAGAGACATACACAATAAAAGGTTTCCAGCAACCGGTCTTTTCTTCATGAATTTCGTTCTCGCAAAAGCAATCAGAGGTATCTGAGACAGCTGAAGCATAAAGAGATACCCGCGGACTCGTTTAAAAAGGATGAACATGAGCAGTTCATGGAGAACGGCGCTGAGAAGGAACGTAATCAAGGTAGCAGTGTATTTGTTAACCTTCATCGCTGAAATTGAGGAATTGTAGACGTGCCTAAGAAGAAAAAGATGCCTGTTGAATGTTAGATTATGGAGTTCGAGCATTGCATGGAAATGTTTACACGGGACGATTCCAGTCTCGAGCATAGGCGTCGAAGCTCGGCGCGTTCCACTGAAGAAATGTTAGCTAAATGCGTTTTGAGAGACGACCTGCAAGAATGCACGCTGGTCCTGAGGACTATTTAGCAGTACTGACCCAATCTTTGCAAAAGCCTATTACCACCGTTAACAATAGTCCATGAGGCCGCTTGCGACGGATAGTACTTACCTCGATCAGCGAAACGAGTGATTTCCGCAAGGAAATTTAATACACACTCCCAGATGACATACCAAGTCTTCTGTATGATTAGCGCCCAAAGCTTGACAGAACTATGTGCTGACTAACCAATAGATATTCCATTATGAATGGAAATATCAAAGCATTCAGAATTAGTGGAAACTCATACAAACGGTCGGTTAGGTCCATTGTTTCTCTCATTGCTACTGTCTTCATGACGACTGGATAGATGCGAGCCTGGGATAGTATGTTCATGACGGATATGATACCAAACGTTGCGATTGCTTTCTCGGCAGCGTAATACCAATCGATTTTATCAGAACGCGGATACTCTAATTCATAAACCAAAGTTGGAAGGGTGGTAAAATCGAGAAGGTTTGAGACGGTCAGGTTTTTCGGATAGTGATTTGCTGTCTTCGTACACCTTCCGTTGAGGTCGACTGTTAAGGCATCGATTTCCCATTTGATAATACGCTCAAATGCATGAACTTGATCTATGTCAAGGGGGTCACCGGATTCAACTGCAGTCGCTACTTGCTTGATAGTTGAACCGTCCATAGCATCGCCGCGGAGAGATTGCCGACGTTGAGATAAATCCGATGAGGTAGGGCGATGATCTAGGTAGGAGGTTGATAGCGACGAAACTTGAGGCATGGTATTTGACTGGGTCGCTATTGGATCGACACTCTCAAGTTGTCTCAAAACCCCTTGTAGTTTTGAGCGCATATGGAATGCCTCAGACAAATGCCCATTATCTACACAAAAAATTCAGTATTCCTATGACTGATTCTGGGAAATGACTTACAAAATGCGTAACTAATTTCAGGGCAATCAGTGCTAGGTCCTAGTCTCTAAACACCAGCTGTTGTCGAATGACCAGGGCCTGTGGTGATCAACAGAAAATGGAGGAAGGAGAAGGTATCGCTCTACCATTACTTACCTGTGTTGCTTCATCAGAATCACCAATGATTGCACCGTGAAATAGAACGAATGTGTCTATGAATTATCAGTCGGAAGTTTTGTTTCAACACCCGAAGGACAACGCTGGTTGTTGGAGAAAAGGCAGAATAAGATGTTGGGCTTTGTAGAAGACAAGCATACCCATGGCCATTCTCGGAATACCGTCCACTCAATTGCAGCTACAAGGAAGACTAGTTCCCAAACCTGTCAAAAAGCAGACCGATTAGTACTGTGGTTACAGCCCCAAACAGTGAGAGAGAAAAGCTTACACCCTGTATTATCCAGCCAGACCCATTCCAGCCCAAGTAACGTTTGTGGACAAGTTTTTGTAATATTAATCCAAACAAGGATGTCATACAGATTCCTGCACTTGAGAGAACGAGAACCATGACGTCTCGCTGGAACATCATTTGCACTATCTGATTACCACCCAGTACACTTCCATACTTCTGGTAATTCTCTAGGAATAATTGAAGCATAAATATTGCCACACCAAGCCAGAACAGATTGAAAAATCCATGGAACTCGCTGTCGGCACTGGCAGGATTTCGTCCATCAAAGGTTGTGAATCGATGGGTGAAGACCATGTCACTGAACTTTCCCTTCTGTTTCCCAGAAACAGATTTCTCCTCCTTCCGCAGTCAGCATAGTTTGATTGATGGGTTGCTCAGGAACATGGCTTACCCTCTCGATGCTCAGCTTCAGGATCTCCCTGAGAGCAGTCTTGTCCGCGGTTAGGACGTACTTTCCTTTCTCTGTAAGTCTGTCTAGGGTGATAGGAATGCTTTTCAACCGCATTGGGCCAGGCCGCCCAACTGAAAGCTCGTTCTTTCCGTGGACCAGCTTTTCTTCCAAACCACCGCCTTTTCCTCCCTCTACGATTTCCGCAGCACTGTGTTGGACTGATTCATAGTTCTCCTCGCCCCCGCTTTCAGACGTTGACCTAGATGTCCCAACATCCGGAGACGCTTCAACTGACCATCGACCAACAAGCCGTGGTGATTCAGCTACGGACATTATTCGCTTCACGTGGGCCAAAGGTACGCTTTAGAAGACGCCTCTGAAACAGCACGGGGCCTTGCAAATCCCACAGCTTGCCCTCGAAGCCGAGGTTTTGACGTGGATTCAAGATGAACCGCGAACTGGGTGCAGCCTAGTTGGCCTGCAAGAATGAATCTACCCAAAAGCGTAGCCCCAAATACTGGCTGTTTCCTCTACCAATCGATTGATCTCCTGTGTGGATCAATGTTTGTTGCCCTCAGCCGTCGTCCGCTTTCGCAATGAAGTGTCGAAAGAGCTGTGTGGTAATCTCAAACTACCATTGGACCACTGACAGCAGGGACGTGTCGCAGAGCTGAACAGAATGATTGTCTGTGTGACAATGAAGCAAAAAAATTTGAACGTGACTGGAGCTCTGGTGGTACCCGGGCAGGCTATCAGAAGAGATGGGTACCTAGGGAATATGCTTCTGAACCTTTTTCACCTCCGGCGATTGAGAGTTGATGATGGAGGGGAATTGAGTACAAGCCGAGGATGTTAGGCGCAAAGGTATTTGTGTTAACGATCACCTGGGGCAGCCTGTAAGCCAAGGCTTTAAGGCCAGTACGGAGTAGTTCGAGAGTACACTTCTTAATAATAATTGCCATCAATATACCGCTAAGGGACGGCAGTTGAGCTACCGGATCGAAAAGCTGATGACGTCATAAGAGACAGCGATATATACCTAGGTACCCAATAGCGGGCGCAACTCTGGCAGTTGGAGATGCCCGGGCAGCAAGCAACAGCCAGTGGTATATTCAGACCATTTGTTCCAGCAGTGGTCTGTTGTCTACCCTGCCCATATATTTGGTAGACAGTAACCGTGTTGTAGCTGTTCAACGGATCTCACAACATGTGGCTGTTTGTTGATTCATCATGAGCGCTTATTTCCTAGGTAGATTGGATTGGGGCCTCGAGCAGTTGGCTGACTTTCGCGCTCTGTATCTTCTTTTTCAAACATCAGACCTCCTATGGTCCTCCTCGTTTTTCCTAGAATTCTTTTGCACAAATCAATGTTGTCCGAATATCGACTGCCAAGTATTCCAACGAATACAAGCTCTGTTCAGGTACCCGTTGCCGTGCAGATTGTGGCTGAGAAAATGCAGTTGGAATGCTTACCTAGGTACCTATATGGGCTGTGTTTGACCTATCGTCGGGTGGTGATTTTGTCAAGCTCAGATAGCATCGTGGCACTTAGAACTGCGTTTAAAATAACGTCAAGACCGCTCTTGACAGCCACCTCCCACGCCGAGATTAGTACTGCTCAGGTAAAGCTACGGAGTATCTGTTGACACGTACTGCCTCGTCCTTGGTGCTTAAGTACAGAGTTTTAAAGCCTTTGCTATGACCGAGGACTGACAGGAGTTCAGCCAGCAGAGCAGCTTCGAGGTCGAAGCACGATACTCATGCGATCAAGTTGATATATAAACAGTATATTTGCCTAACATATTCAGTAGAGAAGACGTTTGAAATTCTGGTTCGAAATTTATAGATTCCGGCCTATAGCTTGACTGCAAGATAATATGCTAAGATCAAATTGGTCACGACATCACTGCCACTTTTCTCGTTCACCACGAGACAGGAGACGATGGCAGAAGCTGTCGGTTGAAGAGTTCCCGTACGGACACGGCACTCTATTCAAGAAGCTTTGTTAATGCTTCAAACAGGTAGCCTTCGTGCAGTATCAGAACCATCTGCCTTCTGCTACAAGATCTTCCAATTTAGTCGATGTCCAAGAGCTACTAACCCCTCCAAATCATTGACGAAGTGCCTACTTACAGGTAGCTACCTAGGTAGGTATTCGAAAGTACGCTAAGTGGATGGAATAATTGTGCTGTTGCAACTGAACTGCTCATTGTGAAGTCTATCCACCAGCATGTCACACCCTTTTCCGGGCGTGATACCTTACCAGGACCAGGCACAAGCATGACTGCTGTCTGTCGAGCGGGCTGTTTATTGCGCTCCCACTCCCTCGCTCTCCCGGAACACACGACTTACGACCTCTTTAATTTTGTACCAGATTCATTGCGCCTTTTCATGGTCTCTCTTTCTTCCCACCCACCTCCTTTCCATCTATCGACGTCGCCCTGCGTGCCCACGGTCTTCCATCCTTCTCCTCGGCTTGCAACGACACGAGAACCTGCGGTCTCCAGCTCGCAACGGCCGGGTCAATACCTGGCAGACCGGGAGGATCTGGCGCATCAGAGCCTCTGGAGACGAGCCGTTCTGTGCTCACACAATCGAAGTGCAGCAAGATCTTGACGGTATTGCAGCCCTGGATTGCGGGCATCTGGGATTCCCAATCGAGCGGGGGAAGAATTACACGCACAGAAATACTCGTACCTGCGGAGCATCCAGGAGCAGACTTTAGCAGTTGGTAGGATACCTACCTATGCCCATCGCTGCTGATGCGGCCAATGTTGCGTGCCCCTGGGCCATACTGACCCTTTCTCAGCGCAGAGGCTCTGTGTCTTCCATCAACGAATCCGATCCTATTCGCACACGGCACCGTACCTCTCTTGTCGCCTCAGACGCAGCGGAGCACCCCTGCGATCGCAACCCGTCGCGATTATTACAAGCACAATTGAATCGCGCCGTCCAGCCCTGTCTACGACCGAAAAAGATCTTCGAGCGACGGACCGCCCAATCGTGCCAATCTGGGTTGATAGTAAGGCATAAAGCCCTCGGAAGCATACCTATGGTCGCATGGTGCCGGAAGTGTGGGCCCAGTCGACCCAGTTAGTGAAGAAGTGTCAGGGGAATCGGGGACCCGAACGACCACGACCACCAAAAACTCCAGACCGTCGATGATGGTCCTCCCATTCCAACCACATTCAAAATCAGATCTTCCTCCTGAGGTTCGCGCATCGCTTCGCAGACCATCGTCCCGAGGCCGTGGGCAAGATGCATTAGCCATCGCCCCTGACCCAGCACCTGCTCACCGTCGCTCAACGAGTTTAAGCAGCATTCAAAAAGGAGGGGGGAATCTAAATGTCAATCGCTGGTCCAAGTCAACGGCTTCGAGCGCGGCGAGCGCGCAATCTCCATCGCAAAAGATAGCATCGTCAAGACGAATGTCGGTGAGCGTTTCAGGGTCATTCTTCCTCACAGGTGCGGATAGTACATCACCAGAAAAGCAGAAGCAGTCCAGAAATCTAGCTCCGACAGCATATACCTCTTCTTCGACGCGTAATTTTGCGACCAACTTGAATCTGCCACCGATTGTGACAGCACCCAACCCACAGTCATCTACTCGGAAAGGATCCTCTCCATTAACTGGGCCCCCAACGCCGTCTCCTTCCACCGCTGGACTGTTGTCGGCCGCTGTGCGCACTACCGTCCCTGATTATTTCGGGAGAGCTTGGGAAGACTCCACCCCACGAGCCTTTGCTGCGGTGAACGCAGAACCCAAAAGCGAATATAGGCAAGACGACGGAGGCTCGAGGGCACTAGCAGCGCAAGAGGGGAGACACAGGTCGAGAGGTCATTCGCGACACCGCTCTCAAGCTGGGAAATCTAGTGCTAGTACAGGCGGCTCACCCAGAAACTCAAAGGGCCCTTCGCAGAAAGCCATGCTCTCCAAAGCCCTGCAGAAGGCCAATACCGCTGTGCTCCTCGACAATGCCCAAAATTTCGAAGGCGCCATGCAGGCGTATTCAGAGGCATGCGGGCTTCTCCAACAAGTCATGGCCCGTAGCTCAGGTGACGAGGACCGGCGTAAGCTTGAAGCAATTGTGAGTTTTGGCAATGCTGTCCTCTATTGGATTTCCATTAACGACGTCAGCGTAACACATATACCAGCCGCATAAGTGAGCTGCGAAGAATCACACCTCACCTCCAAGATGATGGGAAAGAGCTGCCGCAACGGCCACAGAGCGGTAGCTTCAGGGAAGACGAGGTGAGCCAACCAGATGATGAAGACGAAGCATATATTGAGACGGCAATTGCTACGAGGATTGTGAACGATCAATCATATGACCCTGATCTGCCGTCAGCTAGAACTATACAAAGCTCGCAACTTCCCGTTAGGCGGGAGTCTTTGATGATCCCGTCAGCCTTGGATTCTGGCCAATATCCAGGTAAGCTTGGACTAGATCCCGCTATCGAGCGCTCCCAGTCAAAGTCTCCTATGAGACAGCGTGTACATGAAATGAAGATTGAGCTGCCGCCCGCTATGGAGAGTATCTATATGCCTCCGCCTCTATCGCCACGAAGGCCGCATTCACCAGTGACACAAGTGTCCCCGAACAATTCTCGCATCCGGGTTCCTCATGATTCATACAAGACCACCCATGCTCTCAGCGCGATTCCGAATGGACACAGTCGAGCTCCCAGTAACGAATCAATGTCGTGGCTGGACACAATCGACGAGTCCGGTGGCTCAGCAGCTTCTTCAGTGCACTCCAGAACTTCGTCAATGGGTGTGAGAAGGAAACGGATCCGAGCAGCAAGCGGGGCTACGGAAGCAGAGTTTGATGCAGCGTTGGATGCGGCGGTTGAAGCAGCTTACGACGAGGGTTTCGAGCCAATGGAAGGCCCTCAGGGACACCGGTTTCACTTTGGCCATGATATGGAAGAGGATGACGACGATGCAATCGTCGCGAGTGTGCGGCGCAAAGTGGAGATGGCGAAAGAGCGGGTTCGCCAAAGTGAACGAGAGGCTGCCATTCAAAGTGCGCGTGAGCGAGAAAGACAGCGGCTACTTGACCAGAGCTCACAAAGTGATGATGCTAATGGTTATGGCAACGAATCCGATGAAGAGGAACGAATCCTCGAGGAAATGACGCGAGAATATGTTATGGATGATTTCGAGTTTGGCCTACAGTCCAAATCTGCCCTACCACGCGAGCGCGAATCGGATTCTAGTGGGTTCTCAGGGAGAACGTCCGGATGGAATAGTTCAATTGGATCGAATCCGACTACAGCAGGTACAACATTGTCGACAGTGACGGAAACGTCTTTCATCCCACAAATACCATTGCTGCAAACAAAAGCAGCACATCCACCCCCTGCCCAGGCCCTTCCCCCACCTCCCCCGGGAGCGGTGGTCTCGCAAACCCCAGGCCCTGCGGCTCAAGGGGTCCGTAGCCGGCGGCTCTCTGGTCAGAATCCCAAACAGCTAAAGATAGAGACCACTGTCAAGTCAAGCGGCCCACATTCAGATTCGTCCTCGCAACCACCTTCAATGCCACCCCCAAGAATTCCAGATCTAACTGGTGTCACTCTTGTTCATCCCAAAACGGCTGGTTTGCCGCCAAAGCAACCGCTCACATCAAGTAGACCACCTTTGACAATATCAAATCGGCAAACCTCATCATCATTCCCTGGTCTGGGCCCTGCTGAAATTATGTCACCACCCACTCCCGTTCTCCCGCAGAAAAATGCATCCGACGACATCGATCCCGACGGTGTGCCACGGTCTGGCTCTCCTGGTAGAACGTCTTCCAGGGGCGGTCTTCGCAAGAATTTCTCTTCGTCTAGTTTGAAGAACATGAAAACTCGGAATATGTCTCTCTCGGGTGGTATTGATGATGGATCTGAGGTATCTCCACATACTCCGGGGAGCTCGCAGTTTATGGCTCGAGACAACGGAAAACATCCAGCCATGCCCACCTTGCCAACCCCTATCGCAGCAGCTTTCACCAGCAAAATGAGTGCACCTACTGGGGGAATGTATCTTTTCAACAGCGACATACATCTACCAGAAAGTCCAGGCTCACCCAACCCGCTGACTACTGGGGCTCCTATTCCACTGGAACCATGCCCAACAGAATACTTGCTGCGTCCCTTTTGGCTCATGAGGGCTTTATATCAGACAATAGCGCACCCTCGAGGGGGCTATCTCTCTACGAAGCTATTTGTTCCACGTGATGTGTGGAGGGTCAAGGGGGTGAAAATCAAAAACGTCGAGGACAAAATCGCCAACTGTGACTTTTTGACTGCAGCACTGCTGAAACTGGCTCGCGTGGATGCTATTGACGCAGATGCTGTCCTGGAAGAAATGCAGGCTTTAGAAGGTGTTCTGGAACAGGTGCAAACAATACTGAGCAAGAAATTGGGCAGCGAAGTCGGGGTTCAAAACAACGGAGGAATGTTCAAAGATCCTTTCGCTAGCGTGGATACCGATGCAGCGACATCCTCTTCCAAGTCCGGCACGACCTCGAGTAAATCCTCGTCATTTTCGTGGAGGCGGCTACGGTCGAAGAACTCTGGTGTGGCACTATCTAGTGCCTATGCAAACAAGCCGTCGGCGTCTGAACTACCTAAAGAGGGCCTTACCATTGGCACCTTACCCATGACTTCAACTGCTCTAGCCAAAGTTCGATTTCCAAAGAAGGAGCTTAATGAAGTACAGTTCTCGGGGCCAAACGCGCAATATATGAGCTCTTTAGCGCGGCTTTTTGATGCAGCGCAAGCGATTGGTAAGCTTTGAATGCTTGTTCCTCACGATTCATTTCTTTATTAACCATTTGCAGATCAGATCGCTCGTCAAGTCGAGGATCCAGGTTTGAGGCATGCTGACAAGACACAAGTTGGCCTCGAACTTTGCACTCGACATGCGGCGGAGTTTTTCGGCTTTTACATCTGTCGGTTCGTTCTCAGCGATATTGCATTGCTACTGGACAAGTTCATTAAAAGAGGGAGCGAGTGGGTTCTTGTCTGACTGGCAACATCCGTCGCTGCCAAGTTGTGGGTAAGATCTTACCTGGTATAATTCTAGTTGTCCATGTGACAGTAAGAATGACTTCATGAAGGGGCGGCGCTGAAATTTGGTTGAGTACATGAAGTAGCCTGTTTTGCATTTTCTTGATTGGCAACGAAGACCACGTTCATACGTCGTCGCTATTCTCATAACTGAGAACGGAGTTATTCGGAATCCTTGATTTTCTGGTGTTACGAGCTGCTTTCTACATTATATCCTAGGCATGCATATGTCGAATAGTCCACGTTTTGTTTTGTTGAACATCATGCAGTTATTATGTTAATGGGGGCTGAAGAATATTGGTTGTGTATATGTACGAGATGGCTGTACAACAGCCTTAGCTAGAGAGAGATAAGACTTATCCTAGACCGCGGCCTGGGTACTGTTGAAATCAAGAAAATCTAGAGCGTCTACTCTTCCCTTCCGGTCTTCTACACGGTGTGCATCTGTTTTTGGAGAGTAATAACTTGCCCGTCGGCACTTGGGCGACAGCTGGAGGAGTATCCTCTCGTTACATAATCTCTTGGCATTGAAGTGACGGGTGTCGGAGCGCTTGACGTACAGCGGGGAACATGCGCGATACCTGCAGCTCAGCCATTCTACGTGTAGCTACGGCAGCAACAGCAGTTCCCTTCCCACTTCCCACTGTTGAACGAGAGCTGTTTGCATGTGCCCCTCTGTCTCTACGTCTATCGCGACGACAACCCTCGAAGCTCCACAAACCCCCATCAAACCAGCAAATTGGCTGGATATCTGAAGAACCTAATCCATCACGCCAAAAGACACGTCCCCGATAGCATAATATCAAAGGTATCAACTTCCGTCGACTGGACTGGGAAAACGGGCGGTCGCTTCGACCGCCCGTCTGATAAGAGAATGGATCCGCCAGATGCCAAATCGGAAAAGCCAGAGAAATCGTACCTCTCAGCAGCGGTAGAGTCGATCAGTCCATGGGGAGGCTCGCGGTCCTCTACTCCAAAGCCCTCTTCTTCTGGTAGTCCAGGTGAAAAATCCGGCCTCAAGAACCAACACGGGGGAGATGCCACCACACAGCATTGGCACGGTATCAAGTCTACAGACTATCCAGATGACTGTAAGCCTACCCCCTTCCTCCGCTCCTGCAGGGAAAGTAATCGGGCTTGTCTCTTTTGCTAGGCTCGGTATGCCTTGCTTTATTGAAAGAAAATGAAGTTGGACTTATGAGTACGAGCTAACCGAACATCTCCACAGGTCCCTCTCTCAATGCCCGGTGGTTTTATGCAGTCGATGTACGTCGTGAGAACCACTTCCTATAGCGTAAAGTGTTCTTCGAGTGCTGATCGCAACTTAACACAGGTTCCGAAAAGAAAGCCGAAACTGATCAGCAACGCTGTGGAAGAAGCCAGGCCAACCCCACCTCCCAAAAAGTTTGTTGCATTTTCCGGCCACGACTCTCGTGCTATAGAATCAGCTTATCAGAAACTTGCCGATGATTATCACAGCAACAAGGCGAGCCTCGGGCAGGAAGGAGCAGATGAGTTTACGGGAACCTTTAATAATGGTTCGAAAACACATGCAGGCAACACCAGTCAGGGCGAACATCCTGGAATTAGAGTACCTGTCCACGAGGACTTTCTCTTTGACGTTGATATTGAAAAGCGTGAATTGGCGCCCGTCTACTGGCTAGGCCCAATATTCCAGGTCACCAGAGGAACATGGTTTTACGATGATGGTAAGGCATGCGACGAGAGCTTAGCAGCACAGTTGGAGCAAGGTTATTTGAAGATAAAACCGTTCCGATATCCCACTCCACCCACGAAAATGAAACAAGCATCTAAAGCAGCTGAAGATCAAAAGTCGCTCGCCAAGTCCGGGGCATTTGGGCGTGCTCGTACCGGATCTGGTGACAGCACACCGAGGGGCTCGATAGATGGTCAACGGCCGCAGGCTCTTGGCGCGGAAGAGGATATTCAAAAGACGCATCGTTTGTTCGGAACTTACATGAACAGTGTGGTGACATACCAGGATTCAACCATTGCTTGTACGTTAGAACCACCACTGCAGCCTGTCTCATGCATATCCTGATCCTGACGTTACCTGCCTATAGGGTTGACTGTCGATACCATCATGGCTAGAATGAGTAGCACAGTGTACCAAAAGTTCGCTGGTGGAGGATATCTAGGTGGTGTCAGACTTACTCGTGGCTATACTGAGTCCCGCAAGTCGAGTGCCGCAGCTGCTGATAAGGCCCCCAATACACCAATATCTGCGGCGATGCCAGACTCTTCACTTGTACCGGGCCTCCAGCTCGACGAGAGACAACAGAAACTGCTGAAGCGTAGATCTGCACCAGCCACCACGAATGCAAAGGAAGAGATAAAGTCGTCTGTGACTACAGATATCGCTACCGAAGCCGCGGCTTCTCTTTTTAAAGGCAATGAAGACTCCGAAGCAGAACTGATTAGGAAGCGTGACGAGTCTATGATGCAGAATGATTACAAGGATCGTGAGGGTGAAGACCAATCGAGAACTGTTGATCATTTGATACTTTGCACTCACGGCATTGGCCAGAGGCTTGGAATGCGAACTGAAAGCGTCAACTTCATTGGGGACTGTAATGTATTGCGCCAGACGCTCAAGAATGTTTATGGGGGCTCTGCTGATTTACAAGCACTCAACTCTGAAATTGACAAGTTGCCCAAAAACTGCCGCGTCCAGGTATTACCCGTTTGCTGGCGTCATCTCTTGGACTTTCCCAAAAAGAAACAAAACAGAAACGAGCACGATCTTGGAGATACTGAAAATATTGAAGACGAATATCCAAGTCTGGAAGATATTACTATCGAAGGAGGCAAGCATACCTAATACAAAGATGATTTCTTGAGCTAACCTACACGACCAGTGCCATTTGTGAGGAGTCTTATCACTGATCTGGCCCTGGATATACTGTTGTACCAAAGCGCTTACCGAGAACATATCATGATCTCAGTCTTGAATGAATGTAATAGGATATACGCGCTTTTCAGAGAGCGTCATCCAAACTTTGATGGGAAGGTCCACCTAATGGGTCACTCATTAGGATCTGCTATTTTGCATGATTTGTTATGTCGACAAAGAGAAACCCCGAGTGTGCCGAGCGCAAAACAGAGGCATCAGAAAACCCACAAAACTACTGGCAAGTCGGATTCAACACCCTTAGATTTTAACTTTGAGGTTGAGGATTTCTACTGTCTCGGATCCCCGATTGGACTATTTCAGGTATGCTAGGCCTCGTCTTACGATGTCAGAGCAAAGGTCTACATGGATTACATTACTGACGCTGTGCTAATTTGTAGATGCTCAAAGGGCGGACTATAATGGCAAGGCATAGCCGCGCGGATGCAGTGAACACCGAATCGCCACTTGATCCTGAATATATGCAAGATCCCTTTCTGGCATCCGGACCCTCGACCGGATTTTCAAACGGAGAAAATGTATCCCGAGTTACTGGCCTTCCTCTCACGGTATCGTCTCCAAAAGTTGCACAACTATACAACATCTTTCATCCATCGGATCCGATTGCCTATCGCCTGGAACCTTTGATTACGCCATCTATGGCTTCGATGAAACCCCAACTACTTCCTTATACTCGCAATACACTCTCTGCATCTGTCAGTGGAATTGGCGCTAAGGTTGGACAAACATTCGGTGGTTTGTGGTCTAGTCTGAGCTCAGGAATAGCGAGTAGCCTTCTGAATCGTAGCCTAGGCCTAACTAACGATGACGTGGCGAGGATGGAAGCTGGATCTGGTCTGCAGACCAGGGCAGCACCGCAGTCCGTCGGTGCTGGTACAAACATATCTTCGGGCGGCGTGATTCCACCACCGCTAAACCGTGAAAATACTAATGAGAAGAAGCAGCAGCTAGCTGAGGAGACAGCTGCTGCGGATAGAGATGGCGGCGATGCACCAACACTGATTCAGGATGATATTGAGACTTTATATGCTAATTTCCAAAAGTCGGCGAGAGTTCGACAAGGCGAAATTGGATCGGACAGAGAATGGCAAATGGCCGAGGAGAAGGGCAGGAAGCTTCGTCAGGACGAGGCCAAGGTAAGAGCGCTAAACCGTAATGGCCGGGTAGATTATTCCATTCAAGAGTAGGCTTCGCTCAACCTGTGTATGTATGAACATTTTGGCTGACTCACCCACCAGGAGTGTCCTTGATTTCAACCCAATAAAGTTTGTTTCCAAATCCTTTTGCACCTTCTTTGAGAGCTAACATCTGTCAAGTACCATTGCCAGCCATCTAAGCTACTGGGCGGATGAAGACGTTAGCCACTTCATAATGTCTCAGTTGTTATCGAGACATCGTCCTACCGCGCCACGGACAGGTTTATCCTCGAGAGACAGAGGTCATGTATAATCAGAAGTGTATGTAGAGTATTAATTGAAAAGGTTCCATTATAATTTGAACAACCATCTATTCGCATACGAAAGGAAGTCAACGAACATAGTATATTTCTTATCAATACTAGCTGTCATTGTAAGCCTCAATTTACAAAAGCCCAGGCCAGCAGCAGGAGAAAGCTTTCGGTTCCAGCCATTGGCTAGTTAGCCTTTGCTCGTGCCAACTTCATAAAAGTATAAATAATTCATACATAGGTAGGATGATCTAGCTGTGGGTTGAGCTCCCATGTTTCCTTCATTCATTTAGGCCTAGGATGTTCGGTTACAAATCCTGGCGAACAGAATGTTCCGGAAATGTGTCTACACACCAAATCTCGCCATCAACAAAACGGTCCTATTACTATAGTAGTTAGGCGAAATTTGTAATATTCTAACTTGCGAGAGCATCCCTCATGCCAACGTTAAGCCAGCACATGTTTCAACCTCGGAACGGAATGCACACAAGATGGAGATTCGCACTTCATTTTGATTACTTATACTATGTAACGATATTATGTAGGCCGATTGGTACCACCTGGAAAGCCAGAAGGGAGGTGAAGCTTCGTGGCGTTCACAATATTTTTGAGCCTCGTGAAAATTATCTAAAAGCACAGGAATGAGTAGAAAGCGAACAAATCAGTAGCCGAAAACAGGTAACTTTTCTCGCCATATTGCGCCGTGGTCGATCCTGTTTATTCAGCCGTGTCAAGGTCGTCATGTTGAGGAGGAGGGGAGTCCACAGCAACTGTTAGTTGGGTGTTAGTAGAGTGACATTGTTTTCCTCGACTTTTCTGACTTGCCTTTCCTTTCATCCCCGTTGGTGCCATTGTCCCGCTCGCGGTCACGGTCTCGACCCTCATCGCGTTCGTCTTTGGCCTCACGATCTCTATAGGATTGTAAGTAAGTACAGGGGTAAGCCTGGTTCCTGATACTGACCTGTCATCCGGGCTACGTGAACGGTCACGATCACCGCGGTCTCGGCGATCATAGTCTCGGTCACGATCTCGTCGGGACTCCTTGCGAGGAGAATAATCACCACGACTTCTTCGAGGAGAAGGAGAGCGACCACCTCTGCGAGGAGACCGACGTCTCGCCGGAGCACGCTCCCGCTCTTGGCCAGAATCGAATCGCCAAGAGGCTGACGGGGGAGTACGAGCCCACTAGATGATATAAGCAGATATCAAGTATATGGTTGTCGAGCTGCTTACTTCGATCTTCAAAAGGTCATCGTGCCCAATACGCTTGTTGTGCATCTCATGATAAGCATCGTCGGCGTCTCGACGACTCTCATACTCAACAAAGGCGAACCTGCTTCAAGTGTCAACGAAATTAGAGCGGAACATATCAACAACAAGATTCGTGTGTACTCACAGACGGCTCGCTGCGGTTCGTGGCGCAGGTATGTCGCAACGAACAAGCCGGCCATAGCTAAAAGAATGTCAGATACAAGGCCGTCGACACCAGGATATGGAGGCTGAAAAGCGAGAGACAAAACAAGGTGCGACAAAGTTCGATCCGCCGACATTCGCATAATTGGCGGAAGGAGACAGTGTTCGACTCATTAGGAGACCGCTCGATCGTAATCGTAGGAGGAATGAACGGGAGGATAGGAAGCGCGGTATAGGACGATAACTTGTGACAGCGAAGTCTCGACGAGGAAGGACGAGGTTGGGGGGTGGTGAGATCATGGCACTCGAAGATGATCACCGAAATATCGACGATGATGACGCTTGGCTGACATACCGTTCGAATTCGTAGGCTAAATCGCGAGCGCGGGTACCAGGTCCAAACCCCTAACGAAGCCACAGGTCAGTCTGATGATGGTGATGGGGATGCGGGATGGTAGAAAGGCAAGACTGACTGTAACATAAAGTGTGGTTCCGCCGCGAGACATATTATCCGCCTTGATGCGATTCCGAGGCGATCTTCAGGCAATTAATAAACGAAATGCGTCTCGAGAAAAGAGATGTTCGTGTTGTTCGTGTTGTAAGCTTGGTGACGGGCAAGAATATACACTCTCAAAGGAGGATGTTCGGTCTGTAACTTTCATCAGAGCCGACGGGAGACCAAAGAAGCTCTCGGCGCTAATGGCGTCTATGTCACGTGATCAATACATCTTTTACGACGCCATCATATTGATCAGGAGGAGGCTCGTTCATGAATTCACTGAGCAGAGATCCAAAACCTATCACATGAGACTTTGAACTTTTTGGTTTCGAATTATACATCCCAATGACTGATTCTATACAGCAATTGTCTAATCACTCAATCGCTCACTTAGAAGCCTTTTGCTCTGGTATCCATACCTTTTCCAACTCTTCCTAATGGTATTGAACCCAACAGTCCGTCTAATTCTTTCTTTCTACAAGCCCAGATGCTGAAATGCGCCCGCTCCCAATGCATACCCAAGAACAACCCATATAGTATTTTCATATACACAGCTTTCTGCTTACCTACTACATGTAGATGGCATTAATGTTATCAAAAACCAGACCAAAACAGATGAACAAGTACAACTGCGTTTTCGATTTCGATATCTGCAGTTCTCAACTCTGAAGGGTTATGCATTAGGGATCATCGGCGTCAAGTCGAAGGGTAAGCAAGAAGTCCCTAGTCATCTCAAAGCTGAGCCAGCTGCTTGCCATGCTTGGTGCAACCTTCAACAGATTTGGCACTATACCTTTGTACATGCCTCTAATACCCTCCTGGGCGACAATTATTCTAACAGCATCGAATATCGATTTGTACTGGTACCCCATTCCCGACATGGTATTAATTTGGAAACGTCGGCGAAGAACGTCACTAATGTAATTAGTCGACCTTGTTCCTGGGGTATTGACGATTGTACCTACAATGGGTATGTGCATGTCTGCGCAACGGCACCAGATATAGCGCCAGCAGCCAATTTTCGTAAAGCGCTTGGATTTTTGTCGCCCTCAGGTGTGAGGTAAGATCGAACAATTTCATAGGTCATAAAATTAAGGCCGACCTGCAAAGCAATCTTAGCTAGTTAATTACAAGGTACGCCGATATTTTGGGACTTACATAAGGCGCGACACCTGCTACTGTGGGTATGATGCCTCTATACAAGGCGGGAATGCCGCCCTCCGTCTTGTACATAGTGACCAAGGTCCGCCACATTCCGGGGAGCTTGGCCCTTTGCGTGGTGCTGAATGCCGCAAAAGAAGCAGACTGAATGGATAAGCGGGTTCTGACAATGTCGAGCGGGTATGTGAAGCAAACGGAGGTGATGCCAGCGGCACCACCACATATTAAGCGCCGCAGGGAACTCAAATCCTGGCCCGGAGAAGCTTCGAAGAACTTGGGAACTGTTAGCAATGACCGGGATTTCTGTCAATACTAAGCAGAGTTGACTGGAAAGAATAACAACCACCTTTTTGTAGAAGTTGTAGCTCCCGAACTGGACCGCAGAGTACGGGACAATTCGAATGCAGTTGGTTCCGTTGCCCCTCATAAAGCCGCGCCACCCCTCATCTTTCCACATTTTCATAAGACCTTTTCCAACAGAGAGCTTGTATTCTTCCCTGCCAACACTTTGTATCTGGAATAAAATCTTCAGTCGCTCGAGAGGCGAAACGACGGTACGTGAGACAGCTCCAGCCACGCCGCCAGCGCAAAAGGCCGCAAAGACGGGTTGGGCGACGATCTCGCGAAGTTGCATAACCTTTGGTCCATATCTAGGTTTAATATTATTGCCCTCAGACTGCGCGATAGTTTCAGCAACATCATATCGCATTTGGGGAAAACGCTTACAGTAGACATTGCCGGTGTTGATGGCAGCCTTCCAGATTGGGCGGAGCAGAGTTTCACACAAGGAAGAAACGAACAAGCGAAGGAAGCAGCCTCTCTAACAACACACGCACAGTTTACGTTCGATCAATTGGCAGAACCATCTGCTTGTGAGTGCGATGTCGTTTGTTTCCGGTATAAGCAAAGCGTAAGCTTGCGCTTGTCGCGACGTCACAAGGCCGCGGTTCGGTGATACGATGTAGATAGTAACGATTGGAAATGGTATTGGAAGAAACAATCCGGTCGAGTTTTAACATTAATGGCGAAGGCGAAGGGCGCAGAGATACAGTCGTGTTGTGAGAAGAATCCGTAGGTGATAGAGGTCGGCTTTGATGTTTCCAAGGGTAGAGGTAGGTAGTTCCGAGGCGGTTGGTTGCCAGAACAGAATTCGCAGGCTAGGCTGAGTCAAGGCTGCTGACTAGTGCCAGTTACCATCCTCATACGAGGATAGGACTGTTAAAATGGGTTAGAGGAAGTCAATTGTCTGGATCATGGAAGACAGCCTCTCGAGTATGTAATCGATAGGGCCCCTAGTTATTTTCCAGAAAAATGCCTCTTAAAGATTGCGGACGATACGCCCAGCGCGTGAATCCATTCGGGTGTTGATATTTTATAGATACACGCGAGGTAAGCTGGAGCACTTCAGCCCGACCTAGAGTGGGTCCGCAGTGCTGCGCGCTAGCCTTTTATGGGTCGTTAAGCGAGTATGCCCCCGGTGCCCACACAGATACGGTTTTATTCTACTGAAACTTTCAACTCGAACTTTGCAAACTACGACTTCGATAAACATCGACAACATCGCATCTAACCGCAGCAATGGGTACGTAGCCTAAATTCCTCGCCTTCGTGTGCAAGTGGTGGACTTGATTCTTTCTATGCAGGTATCTGTGCTGAAAAGCCGGATCGCTCGTAGAAAATGAATCTTGGCCCTGCGCAGCATATTTGCGTCGCAAGACCAAATTGCAAAGAGCATGCTTGATCATAGGCTGACGGATTCTGACTCTAGGTATCGATCTTGACGCTCATCACGTCCGCAGCACCCATCGCAAGGCGCCAAAAAGCGACAATGTTTACCTTAAACTGCTCGTGAAGCTCTACCGCTTCTTGGCCCGTAAGTGCTTCCCGCCGTTGGCATGGTAATTCGAAGTCCACTGCTAAATAGCGATTTCAGGTCGCACTGAATCATCCTTCAACAAGGTTGTCCTCCGCAGACTTTTTATGTCGCGCATCAACCGGCCACCCGTTTCCATCTCGAGAATTGTCGCCAACACCTCCGAGAAGTCAAACAACAAGACTATCGTCATCATTGGCACCGTCACTGACGACAACCGCTTGTTGACTGTCCCAAAACTGAGTGTGGCGGCCCTTCGCTTCACTGCGACCGCTCGTGCTCGCATTCTCGCTGCCGGCGGTGAAGTTTTGACGTTGGATCAATTGGCCTTGAGAGCTCCAACCGGAAGCAACACTCTTCTCCTTAGAGGACCAAAGAACGCCAGAGAGGCCGTTAAGCATTTCGGAATGGGACCACACAAGCACAAGGTATGTCGCTAATTAGCAACTTGAATCTCCATGCTAACAAGTAGCACAGAAACCATATGTTGAATCCAAGGGTCGTAAATTCGAGAAGGCCCGTGGACGCAGGCGCTCAAGAGGTTTCAAGGTCTAAGTGTGTTTTTGACCGACCATGGATTTGTACACATGTCGTCGCTCTCTTGCAACGAATATGTTCTAGTCTTTTTAGGTGTCTGGGGAAACGGTTCAAGGATCTGATCGATATGGGGTGGCATAAAAGAGCGCAGCTTAGCAATAAGTCGGTGCGGCTCAATAGGCGTGACAGAGCATCTCCTGTTCGTAAAGGTCGTACATGTATCAAGCATGATCTTAATTAGACTTGTTTGTACCACTTTACGGAATTGAAATGAACCTGGATTCTTTTACACAGCTGTCTTGAATGTTTGACGTGCTCATACTGAAAGCTACTTTTTTTCCAAATTTATATACAAGCTCAAAACACGCTTGTTATGTTTTTCGTGATTGGCTCAAACCTTGTCTCCGCTGAGTGTATTACCTCCTCATTTACACTCTATCTGATGGTACAAGTTTGTATATTATGGTAACACATTTAAACAACATGCTCCTCGTCGACAAGCATATTGGCATCCACGCCGTGCTTTTTCCGTAAAGCAACAAAGTAAGCTTCTTTAGATTCCTAGTGATTGATGAGCTCAATGGATTTCAGACCAGCCGGTGTAACTCACGCTTCTGGATGATTCGGGTTTCTCCCGATGTACTGATCCAAAAAGCTTCCGCAATTTCTTTTCAAAAGCCTTATCCTCGGATCCTTGATAAAACTTACAGACTGGGAAGCAAAAGGCGCATCAGTTATAGTCGTTCAAAAATGAACTAAGTCCCTTACCAAAATGTCCTCCAGTCTTGAGAGACTCAAATGCGAACTGCAGTGCTGCAGTGCAGAGGTCCTGGATCACTTTAGTTGGACACATAAATGCGAGTAGGAGTGATATACACACCATACTTCCAGCGTGATCCTTGAATGCTATGCCACTCGTGTTCATCATCCTATTATAAGGGTCACTCAGACTTCTTTTCCAAAACCCAGTGGTTTGATCCCAGGGTGCGGACATGTCACTCAAAACAATATCCACCACTTCTCCGTTATCCTCATCCCTTCTCGTAGTCCTCCTTACCACGTCTGTCACAGGCCCCTCGCCTTGCTTGTGACGACCATCCGTACCTATCTCAAGCTCAACACCACCGGCGCGCTGGGTGCGAAGGAAATTTGGATTTTCTGGTAACTCGAAGAATTGCTCTTTCGGTCGTCCTCGGTCAGGGTCGGAGAGGAATCTCTTCACTTCTTCCCGAACTTCTGCAGAAAGAAAATTCCCCTGGATTGTAGACACGCCTTTGGGTGGTTGGGCTGGGATGATATCAATGCCGACTATTCTGCCGTTGGGTTTCGTTCTTTCGACCGCAACCTGAGACCAGCTACCCGGGGCATAACCCTGATCCAATTAGCACTATGAGGCTTCACGAAGGAATCCATATGAAAGGTGACTGACAAGATCGATTACCGTTTGGCCCTTCCTGAAGATCCGATATTTGGCGTCAATCTACGGATGTTAGCAGCGAAACGCAGTTTGCCTCCCACACCGCACAAACCTCCAGGAGTTTGAAAGCGGCTCTACTCTTCAGGCCTTGGACCTTGGCCTCCTTAGAAAACGAATCCTTTGATTGTCTCTTTTTCCATCGCGTTGAGGACGATGAAAGGTAGGGAGTGGATGTACGGAAATCGCGAGAAAGAGCGCAATGGTTCAAGAGCCCAGCGTCGCAAACCAGGGCACATTTCAGACTCGAAGTAAGCCCAATGGTCCTTGTGCCTGGATATGCCCGCAAGGTGAGTCGCGAAAGCATCCGGCTGCGGATTTAAATCAAGTTCGACTGTGAACAATCCATGAAATGGGATAATGGTTTTTCACAATGCCATGTCGTAAGGCTGTCAGGCTACAAGGATCGCAGGGACAGTACGGGATTGACACTTCGGTTACTGTAAGTACAAATTTCACGGTGCACAGGTGGTCTAATAAGCCTGTCTCTCTATTTATCCACTTAGTAGGTACTTGTACTCGAACGCATTGAAAGTGAATCTTTTATTCAAGTAATTGTAAATAAAAAGCTTAAGATTAGCTATGTAGTATACAGGTTCATCCAACGCCGCGCCAATGTGCAACCAACAGCTTCATTTATCCAGACGACAACCTACACTTTATCCTTGTTCAGACCAAAAAGCTAGCTCCTGCGCCCCTACGATCTTTCTTAAGGGGCGAAAATCCACCAAAGGCTGTAGCTGGTGCTAACCTACTCTTGAGCTTGCTACTGAGAAGTCCCTTGCCACTTGATTTGTTAGCCCCTAGTGAACTCTTTACCTTCCTCGTTGACTCGCCATCCTCTTCGTCAAATAGGGTTCCCCCTAGGAGTTTTCTTTTTTTTATCCTCGGCCCCACGTCAACAGGATGCTTCTGGTTACCAAGGACATTTCTCGAGTTCGCTGCCTTTGTGTTTACTGGTGAAGTCTCTCGCATAAGTTGCTTCCCATCAATAGATTTCTCTTCTGCCTCGCCTTCTTGTTCATTCTCATCTCCCTCCTCCGTCACATCCTCTAATTTGCTGGACGAATGAACTTTTGCATGCCGTATTTTCCCATTCTTAGTAATTGATTTTGTTTCTGCGAGAACCTTTTTCTCTCTGGTGTGCGTGTCCTTGATGTTCTCATTTAACGGACTGGTCCGAATTGGATCCATAGCGGCATGTTGGGTAGGTGATCTGCTTTTTGGGCCCTTGATGTCGGTGAACTCGGGCTGGTTCTCGTTTTCCTTAACAGCAAACTCATCCGAGGCCATATTGATGGTGCGATTCAGAAAGGGAGTGATAGAGAACATAGATTTCTCGCCCACCAACACCTGGTCAGGTCGTCCTTTATAGGTGGCAAGTCGTTTGGCTCGAGGCACTCTCTCGGGGGTGCCGACATTGTTTTCAGTGAAAATTTCGGATGCAGCTCTCTTTCGTGATTGCTTCATAGTCGGCAGACTGGTCCTAGGTTCTTCCTCGTCTTGAGGTTTTGCGCGTAATCGATTCGCTTCCTCCTGTGCGTGCTTGAGTTGATCCTTCATACTACGCAGCCTCGTTCGCATCTGGTCCAGCTTGTCTTCCAGACTGGCGTTACGAACGTCACATGCCTGAACCTTCTTCCCAAGCTCTTTAGTGACTTTGTTTGCTTCATTCATCCGCTCGAGCTTGTCCTCCAGTGCTTTATAGCGTGCTTTAAAATCCACGGCGTCCAATCCAGACCTGTCGGTGGATTTAGCCGTCTCCAACATTTCCCCTATCTTTTGTTCTGCATGCATATAACGCAACTGCGATTGCTTCAACTCCTTTTCATATTCTTTGGCCACCTTTGCCGCTTGTTGCTTCTCTTGCGACAACTGTTTCATGACATCTTCTAACTGGAGCTTAGATTCATTTTCGGAATCGGTTTGGCTCCTAGCAGCCTCCTTTCTTTCTTTCGCATGATCTTTCTTGAGTCGATTCAGGCGTGACTCGTATTCTGCATCCTTCCCAGCGTCTGCATTTCGGCGAGCTGTTCGTTGAGCTGCACGCTTTTCGGTCTCCAACTCTACTTCCAGCGTAATAATCTGGCGCTGCAAAGCCAATTTTTCCGATAACACGTTTTGCTGGTGTATAGCTTGCGACTTGAGATGCTCAACCTCGGGTTTCAATGCAGCAAGCTCGCGATCAAGGGACAGCTTTTCGGTAAGCAATTTGGTGTTCTCCTTTGCAACGCTGTTCATCGAAGAAACCTCGGCCTACAATGATTAGTTTGGTGCTTCACACGACGATCACCACATACTCTCAAATTTTGTAGCTCGCGAGCCTGGGCTTTGAAGTCAACGTCTCGTCTCTCTCCCGCTTCTTTTCCGCTGTCAATTTGGACCCGTAATTCGTCATTTGTGCCTTCGAGTGTGTGCATATGATCATCTTTCAAGATCAGCTGTTCTCGCAGCTCATCATTCTCCTTTTCCAGTAGTAATATGCGTAACCGTAGTCGACGTGCAGCTTCGTCCTTGAAAAGTATGTTGGTGCTCTGCACGGATTTATTGTAAGCTGCGTCCAAGGATTGCAAAACGAGCAAATGCTAGGAGCGTTAGCAAATATCACAAAATTAGTCTGATGAAGGAGCATACGCCGTCTTTGACTTCGCTGTCATTAAAAGATATAGATGTATCCATCACTATGGGTGGCTATGAGTATACTGACAGGATGTTATGAAGAGTTACTCTTGGGGGAGGACGCGAAAGTAAACAAAACATTACAGGGTGGTTACACCCGTCCACATGATGCCCCACGTTGGCAGCCTGATCGCCTAGGTGTCAACAGCTTCTTTACAGCCGCGAAAGGACACGACACTCGAGCCTTGGTCAAGAATACATCAATGATCAATCTCGCCCTCCCCAACCTCACACAACTTCCATCCATCAACCCATCTCGCCGGCTGCAGACCTAAGATGCGTCTTCTTCCAGCGGTCTTGCTCTCCCTACTTCCATTGACGACTCATGCAGCGAAGAGGTCCGATGTCGATAAGTTTCAGCAATTTCACAATAAAGCTCTAGCATCGGCTCCCCTGAAACTGGAGGATGGCATCTATAGCCAGTTGACGTCTGCCCCTCGTGACTACTCCGTGGCTGTACTTTTGACGGCGTTAGAAACCCGATTTGGGTGCGTATTGTGCAAAGAATTCCAGCCAGAATGGGACTTGCTGTCGAAGAGCTGGACAAAAGGAGACAAGGCGGGCGAATCACGCCTGGTGTTTGGAACATTGGACTTTACTGATGGGAAGAATACTTTTCAATCGGTTCGTAGCTTGTCGTCTGCAATATGACTATCTTCTTACTAAGTCGACAACCAGCTCGGCCTCCAAACAGCGCCAGTCCTGTTACTCTTCCAGCCAACCATAGGTCCTCATGCAATTGCTTCATCGGGACCAATTCGATACGACTTCACTAATGGGTAAGAATATCCTAATGCGTGGGACAGCCTTTTGACAGTCATATACTGATTGACGATAGCCCTCAATCTGCTGAACAGGTTCACTCCTGGATATCCCGTCATCTCGCCAATAGACCTCATCCTCAAGTCAATCGACCAGTCAATTGGGTCCGCGGAATGGCGGTCACCACGGTGATACTTGGTACAATCACCTTCATAAGCGTTGCATGGCCGTACATGTTACCGATTATTCAAAACCGGAACGTCTGGGCAGCCATTAGTTTAATTGCCATCTTACTTTTCACAAGTGGACACATGTTCAACCATATTCGCAAGGTGCCGTATGTCGCGGGCGACGGCCGAGGTGGCGTCAGTTATTTTGCAGGCGGCTTCTCGAGCCAGTATGGTTTGGAGACACAGATCATTGCAGCAATCTGTAAGTCTGCAGTCTCTCGAAAAGATAATGCTTACTAACTACGTATCTAGATGGGTTACTTTCGTTTGCCACTATATCATTAGCTTTGAAAGTGCCCCGTATTGCAGATCCGAAGACTCAGCAGGTTGCCGTGTTAGTTTGGGGGGGGGTTATTTTCATTATGTACAGTTTCTTGCTCAGTGTTTTCCGGATCAAGAATGGGGGCTACCCCTTCTGGCTGCCGCCATTCTCATAGTCAATCAACACTCTATCGCTCGCCTGGCCTTTCCGCAGGCCCGCGGGTCCGGACGGGCTGAGTAAAAGGGTCCTGGCTATTGCAAAAACACTATTGTATAACAAATGGCAGCCGATGATCTCGCTATTTTCATGCCGAAATTTTTACATGTGTATATATACATGTACCAAGGTGCCGGTGTAGATACATTGGGTTGTCTTACCTATCCGTTCACGAGTCTTCATGACAACTAGACTCGGTACTTCCTAGGACTAAGATATCTCCTGTTTTGCATTCCATATTCTGCCAAGTCCTACTAAGCAACATCGCCAGCATTAGTTTTCGCATATGCAATACTTGTGATTATTCCATTCACTGTCCACCACTCCAGCTACAAGGTTAGCCGGTGATTAATTCCAAGCTTTAAACCTGTACATTAATGTGCATCTACGTCTACCTCCCCCAAGAGAGTTGTTATGGGAAGCCGTAGCTAAATTAGTCACGTGGCATCACCGGCTTGATTCCGCTCCATTGGTAATCTTCAATCTCCAACAACGTATCTGAATAACAGGGCCTTGATAATCCAAGGGTACGTAGGGAAGATATCGCTTTCGTCTCAAGTAATCAGAATGATGTGCGGTACGGTTTTCAGCGGGCTGCGTGATGTTTATCCTTATACTATTCCGCGCTTCTGCTTCAATCGGCCTGGCTGCTTTGTAAACACTCCGAATGAGTGTCAGTCTTTTGAGTATATAGTACGTTCCATTGCATCCTTTCCTACCCCTTTCTACCTATTATAATCTGAACTCTTGGCCCTCAAGCATCCTGCTTTTCCTTGTTTTGACAAGAAAGTTCGCTGGCATTCATACAACGTTATCACCCGCAAATATTGCTGTTCCTAAATGGCTGAGATGATTCGTGAGGTTATGGTCATTGGGGCAAGCAACGAATCTAATTTCCCATCACTACTATTCCCGGGCTAATTCATGTTATCAGGGAAACGGAAATATTGGAGCGTCTATTCTAAAAGCGATTGTGGAATCCTCGAAGTTCAATATTTCGGTGCTCATACGGCCAACTTCGCAAAATCAATACCCAGACAATGTTCGTACCATAGTGTCAGACTACTCTATGACCAGCCTTATCGAGGCTTTCAAGGGACACGATGCTGTAGTATCAGCCCTCGGTGCTGGCGGTCTTGATAATGAAATCAGGATGATCGATGCTGCCGTTACAGCTGGTGTAAAGCATTTTATCCCAAGTCAGTTTGGCAGCAACACTCAGAGCAAAAAGGCTTGTGAGCTCTTGCCTATTTTGGCAACCAAAGCTGCGATTCTTGGCCATCTGAAGAAAAGGGGAGGACAAATAAAATGGACGGGCATAATCACGGGGCTGGCTTTTGACTGGGTAGGTCATTTTGTTGAAATGCTTCCTCTCAATATTCCTGATGTGTTCTTATTTGTATCTGACCTTTTTGTTAGGGTTTACAGATTGGTTTGCTGGGCTTTGATATTAATCAACACACTGCCTTGGTCATGGACGGTGGTGACCGTGCTTTCTCTGTGACCACTCTCAGTCAGATAGGCAACGCTGTCGTCGCTGTACTTTCTACACCTGATCAGAATATCAACAAAGTCATCTATATCCACTCTTTCACGGCCACGCAAAACCAAATACTGGCGAGTTTGGAGAAAGCATCTGGCAGAGCCTGGGAGACAACATACTGTACAGCCGCAGATGCAGTTACGAGAGGACTAGAGTTGTTTAAGAAAGGCGAATTTTCGGGTTTATTGCTTCTTCTCAACGCGATTAGTCTTGGGGAAGGATATGGTTCCAATCACCTGGTCGATGTAGAATTGGCAAACAGAGAACTCGGGCTTCCTGAGCAATCTATGCACCAAATAATTGCTGCTCTAACTCGTGGCACTGTCGCATTGATGAAAGAACAATGATTTCAGAAGGCGTTTGATGTGCTGGCCTTGTAGGTGCTGAAGAAGAGGGATCTCGTCGTAGACTCCCTGAACCTCTACGTACAAATGGGAGACCGGGGAGCTAAATAGCGAGTATTGATGTTGCGGGATTTCCAAAAAGCTGACGTTCATTCCTGGTCGACCCGAAAACAAGGACATTAGTGTAGAACCAATGAACATAGGTAGAAAAATTAAGGTCAATCGAATGGATGTTTTGGTCCACGCTTATCAGTACTACAGTAGGAGGAGCGTGAGATCAAGTTGGGAATCCAGACAATAGTCCAAACCTTAGGGTGAGTCTGGGTCACAAGCGGTGTCTCTCGCACCCTCTCGGTCGCCGAATATATGTTATTCGGTTTGCAATGTGGAAAGTGGAAGATGACTCTCGGGGGACGGATGAAACCTGATTTTACGTCGCTCAGATAAATATACTCGAAACTTACTACATAAACATTTTGAACTTTTATATATTTAGCTCGAGACCCAGAAATTACAATACAATACATCCAAGTACTCATGTTTTGTTTGTATGGTTGACATTGATGTCACATTGCTGTGGATAAGACGCCAAACCTGCTTCGATTGTTATTTGGCATCGTATCGTTAACATTCGCCTCGGCGAATCTCGTAAATTTTGTTAGTTGAATTTCGCGTATTCCGTGCGTTCCTTTAGACGAATAATACGTTGCTAGACCGCTCAAACCAGATCTATACAGCGATACTCACTAGAAATATATCAGACTTTTTGAGACATAAAGTTATGAAGATTCTTCAATGTTTTTGTCCTCTGCGAATCTACTTGAACTTTGTCAAAATTTCGCGCTTTTCTTTATCCCTTCACGCCGAGTAACAATGCCTTATCAAGTATGACCAAGCATAACCCTTTTTTTTCTCTTGTGAATCTAGGAGAATAATGAGCTAAGCAGATTTATGTAGAGCCAAATCCATTTTATTCTGTGGCCCTGCTGTAAACATCGTCGACGTTCATACGGGTATACGTAGCAAGTGCTTAGTTCGTTGACAACGGGAAATAGGGTTTTAGGGCGATTAAAGTAATCTAGTCTAAGACAGATGTCAAAGCCCTCGGAACAATTCCAACAACAGCGCCTAGAACTTCTGAAATTTGTCAGATGATCAGTGTTGGGAGAGGTGTGTCATCCAAAACATACACCGAGTAGAGTGAGTCACAATTCCAACCCAACAACTCGCCGTCAATATTATATAAAGGGGCTTTGGTTTAACCACAAATGCGAGTCCCTTCTCTTCCAACCAAGTCCCAGGGCGTTCAAGTACCCATCAATTATCATCTGGCATACAAGTTACCAATCGTGTAATCTGATACGAACGGCTCAACTATCTATCCCCCAGCACACCTTGAGGTTAAGCATAATGGAACAAAATTGCCTTCCCGAAGATCTAGAATCTTCACCAAGGATATTCTATCAGTTTGTTGTTACACAACAGATGTTCTATCATACTTCGCTGTCCTTCGCATTCGTTAACATAAAACCACTTCTTCCAGGACATGTTCTGGTTTCGCCATGCCGAATCGTTCCTCGGCTCTCTGATCTTACGCGCGAAGAAGTTACGGATCTTTTCATCACAGTTCAACGTGTTGGAAGGATGCTTGAAAGAGTTTATTCGGCATCTGCCCTGAACATCCCCATACAGGACGGGTGGGATGCAGGCCAGAGTGTCCCTCACTTGCATGTTCATCTTGTCCCGAGAACGCCATCAGATTTGGACTCAGAAGGTGGGCCTGATGCTATTTATGATAGATTAGAGGGAGTCGATGGCGATCTGATGCAACAGTTTCGTCGCTTGCGGCCACGGCAACCAAATGTAGACGAAGACTCATTGGAAGCGAGGAGCGTTGAAGTCATGAAACAAGAAGCAGATATGTTGAGACTGGAGATGCAGAGAGATCTGACCTCTACAAAAACTGGCTAGTACGATGTTCTTGAACCTAAGATTGCACCTGGGTTGCAAGTGTGGTGTGGGCCCGATGTAGTACTGGTTGTAATGCAAAGATACTTATTAGCTGCCTTTGCTACGTATATTTTCAATTTTGCTTGCAGTTTCATAGCAAAGGATGACCGGGTATTTTTGAAATCAAGTCCTACATCCACAAAGAAAGAGGAATAGTCCACAGACCTCCCCACCGCGGCAACTAAAACATCGATTTGGATAGTAAGTGGCTCTTCAGGGAGCATTAAATTTTCTTTTACGTCTCCCCAGCCCCTAAATTTACGACTTACATATCAACTACGTAAACCTTTTCCCCGTGATCTTCTCATAATTATCTATACCGTTGTTATTTGCAGTATACCCAGTATCTCAGTGAGTCTCTTAGAAAGAATGAATGTAACATTCATGTTATTATTCGTATTATCATTACATAATAAGGTTCGGGCTATGTATCTTAAAAGCAATTCTAATACGTTTTAGTACGTCGCAGCAGAGTATCTCCTCTGCGGTTCGTCAATTACGCTAAAATAGAAAAACTTAGTGTGACAATTCTTGACACTGATGAGATCAGCCCCCGAAAGCCAGACTTGAATTACCCGCGGGCTATTATTAGAAGATATATACTTACGAATTATTGTCTTATTAGTGTCAATGGGCAAATACATTCTCGTCAGCTACTCTAATGACTTGGGTTCCTGGAATTTACGTGTTAGGGGATAATGTTATCCTATCCGAGTTTAGGGGGGTGGGGGTTTTTCTCTACGTCGCGATAGTAGTTCAGGATATAGTCCTCTAAAATTTTACGACTTGTTAAATTTAATATAAGTTTGGTCAAAGCTCACCAGTCTAATCGAGACTGTGGTATATAATATCCAAAGATTAGATTTTAAGACAATTATATACTATATATTGAGCAAGATGTCCGTTTAGTCCGGTATCAATCTTGTCACAGCCAAGGTTTACAACAAACAAATCATTTGCGAGGATGTTATTCCGAAAACTAACAGTGTGATTGTATCACCGCAAAGAATAACGGTTCGTGGACCTCTGGCTAGCTGTTTTGTTTTCTACACGTCTAGCTCTATCAAATGCCTTGGGAAATCCCACTCGAAGTAACAGCATGACTGCATGATTGAGCATGTTTATACGAACGATTGTCTGCATCTCTTGCGTGCCACAAATATATGTTCATGGCAACATCTATCTGAAGTCTCAACTATGTGCACCATTCATCAAGCAATTTCCAGCCACGGTTCACGGCTCACGGTACTTCTTACGTGTCTGGGTCACCATTCGTTGCGCGACTACTTATTTCGACGGACCCAAAGTGAGCTATGTGTATTTTTCTGGTAATCAATTGGATGGTTAAAGAATTACGTCCGCGGAAAAACCCCAAGGTTACGATATAGTGGATCTCCACACGAAGTAGCGAGTTCTGGCACTGACTGCCACTGTAGCACACGGATGTACATGCTATTCGGTTTTTCCGAGAATAATAATGTCTAATGTTAATTGAGAATGGCTGCATGGGAAGCAGGTCTAGCACATTTCTAAAAGCATTGTTGACAGCTTTGAGCAATGACACAATGCTTTCAGTCTACTCTTTACTCGCTGAGCCTCGAAATGACTGGACTTGAAATCCATGCTTCAACAGTATTTTCCCGGTAAAGTTTAAGCAATCATGAAGAGAACCACGTGGCGAAAAGTAAAAAACTTCTCAGAACAGACTAGATTGCTACGGTAAAGGCTCAGAATTGGGTCCAGGCTTCGGGGTGGTTTTCGGAATTGGTATTTGTGGCCGAACTCATTGGCGCTGCCTTTAGTTATCCACAGCAGAAGGTGACGCGATCATTGTCAGAGCACTGGCTGGATATCCAATAGAAGTTACGGCGAAAGCCGTGATTTTGTGATATACGGAGTACCTACAGGCGCTGGATGATGTTCGTACTCGTCGTATCATATCGACGCACGCCCTTTGTTGCTCATCACCACTCAACTTATCCAATTAACCCAATGCCGGATTCACTCCGCTCCAACGTAACCTTACACATCTAACATCGTACTACAGATCAAGTCTTGTATAGAGTAAAAGTATGGAATCGAGGGATATTATTAGAAAAATACCTCTCAAGTGGTACGTTAACCCACAATTAGCTTAAGTGAGCACGGCATCCTATGATCTTAGCAGCTTCTAAGTTTGTCGTTTCTTCTGACCTCTTTTGGAAACAGCGTCGGAGTAGTTCTGCTCGGATTGTTCTACTGGTCTGGCAAGTTACAATCGCTGGCTAGCTGGGTATAATTGCCACGTTTTTCACGCTTACAAAGATCCCTCAAGCGCCACGTTCTATGCTACGTCCTGATCATCCCTCATCTACCTGTCTTTGGTGCATGCATATCAAATATTAGCTTTCCCTTTTTTCGAGCGCATGTTCAAAAAGGAACATATAACTAAGGCTCAAAACGAACATTTCCCCGGAAGAAATTTTATGCCAGGGGCCGAGCCTCATATCTCCTTCCCAATTCATCGGGACCTTCAAACCACGACGATTGTTCTTATCTTCATCCATTCGTCGATAATGGCTTACATGGCGCAGCTGAAGCAGACTAGACTTATTGTAGCCCGTAGGGCGTAGTATTGGGTGTAGCGTACTGACTGTACTGCACTATTGAAGTGCCTAGGTAGGGGATGGAGTAGGGGAGTATTCATGAGTGCGGCGTAGTCGATGTGCAGTGTGAGCAGAACTGGCGGGTGCATAAGGTGGGGCAGGTGACAGTCACGTGACAGTAGAACTACAGAATCCGAACGCCTACGACCCTATCGGTGTGGTCGTGCCGCAGCGCACCTAGCAGGTTCGCCTGGTGATTTCGAGCTTCCTCTTCCTTCCAAAACCTAGCAAAAGCTACCCACGCCAATACTATTAACATCTATGACCCTTCGGCCAGTTGTCACTCTGTAACGGGTAGTTACTCTCAGAGATGGCATCCTCGGCAGCCGGCTGCTCCTCTGGTACAAGGCTACAAGCATCCAGAAACGGAAGAAGCCAACAATGTAATCATGAAGATCATCTTGGCAGAGCATGGTAAGACCAGGATGCTCCAGTCAGGAAGAACACACCATCCTCTCCTATCCGGGGAGCATGGCATTTTGGAAAGGGTATTCTCACAGCCCCCACTCCCTTCGATCTGTAAAAACGGACGAGCTGAGCCATAGACAGTTGAGCAGCATGAATTCTGGTTCCAATCATACTGGCGTTGGCGCAACTCAATGGAAAGAGTTCCGACTATCTTTAGTGCGTCGCAACGCTGAATCGCAGAGTATAGATTCTCTTGGCCCCCTATCAGAGAGTCAGACTGGGGACCCACGATATGAGCCCTAAGCGAAATACCTTCCTCATCCTCAGGGGGGGTGAATACTGACCAGTAACGTGAGAGGTCATTACAGCTGAGCCGTGAACATTCAGACCCTCTAACCATAATCTAGACTCCCGTCTGGAGTCTTAGGAGCTTGCACTACGGGTGCAAGATTAGGACATGGATTTCTACTTAAGCAGTCCGCATAACCGACAGGTTGGGGGAGGTCTTTCGTTAGTGACGGGCTCTTTCCAGCTGCTATTCTCTGTCGCCGTAGCACGCACTGCCGACCGGCGACGACGACTACTCTCATAACTTCCCAACAGCCCATAGTGTTTGTCGACGTTACTCAATACGACCCAGCATGAGTCGATTCCTGAGCATCGCGGTTGTCCTCGCGGCCATCTTTTCTTCGTTCATCAACAATGTCGAGGCACTGGGCCTCACAGATACAATCACATGGGGAGGGGATAATTCCAGGACAGGCTATCAAAAGTAGGTGGAGTTCGGAGGGAGAAGGGATTTTGGGAATTTGGAATTCTCTTCGCTGACACCTTACTAGCAATCACAACATGGACCCTGCCGTGGTAGGAAGTCCCACATTTGGTCAGATCTTTAAAACAACGCTGCCAGGGCTCTACATGGGTGTGAAGGAGCAAATTTTTTCCCAGCCTTTGGTCTATACGGCTCCAGATGGTGTCCAGTATGTGTATATCGCTACTACGCAAAACAACCTGTACAAACTCAATGCGAAGACTGGGACTATTGTGGTACAGCGAGCCCTTGGCCTTCCCGTACTAAGTGCAGATCTCGATTGTGGCGATATCTCCCCTTTTGTAGGAGTCACCGGTACTGGTGTCATTGATCCAGAGACAGGAACGTGGTACATGGTGACAAAGACATATGCTGACCAGACCTTGGTTGGTGTGGCGCAAGGACGCCCAGCAGGCAGGCAGATATTGCACGCTGTAAGCATAGATAATCTGTCCGAGCGACCTAACTTTCCTGTCGACTTAGAGGGTACAGCCGCCAGAAATAATCCTGCGAGGATCTTCAATGGTGGCATCCATCACCAGCGGCCCGGCCTTCTTCATTCTGGTAAGTACATCTATGCGGGATTCGGCTCCCACTGTGTGAAATTCAATTTCACTGGATGGATTATGGGCTGGGACAAAACCACTGGACGAATCGTCGAGAGATATACCACGCTTGGCGAGGGCACTACGAAAGATGTCTCCGGTGGGAGTCTGTGGATGTCAGGGGGGGCCATCACTTCAGACGACAAAGGATCCATGTTCTTCTCTACTGGAAACGGCCATGCTTCGCAGCTAGATCAAGTCCCAGTCAGTGGTAGAAATCCCCCGAGCGCTTTGGAGGAAGCTGTTGTTCATATGAATATCGCCGAAGACGGTAGTTTGAAGGTTGTGGACTTCTGGATGCCATGGGAAAAGAAACAGCTTGACGGTGATGATAATGATCTTGGAACCACCCCCATCGAATTATTGCCTAACCAATTTGCATGTGGCGACGTAAAGCGAATTGGCGTTGTCACGGGTAAAACGGGTAAAACATATTGGCTTAATATGGATAACTTGGGAGGATATAGAAATGGTCCCAATAAGTTGGATGCCGTTCTACAGACATATGAGAACGCGAATTCGGTCTATGCTGGAGCAGGTGTATATCCCTTAGAAGGAGGATACATTTATATCAACGGTCCGTCGGAATCTCCGTTTCCTGATATGTGCTAATTCGCTGGAAGTCATTCGATACCCGACGGTTGTCTTCAAGTTCAGCTGTACCAACGGCGTGCCAAGTTTCATCAAGGTGGCAGACAGCCCTACAAATAATGCCTACACCTTAGGGGTTGGCCATGGTACCGTGACCTCTCTTAACGACCAACCTGGTACAGGTCTGGTTTGGACCAGTGATGTAAATAACGGTAATCTCCGAATCTATAAGGCGATTCCAGAAAACGGCCTAATGGTTCAGCTACAATCATTCAACATTCCTGACACACCTAAATTCACACGTCCCGTTTTTGGCGACGGGCGTGCTTATGTCGGATCACTTGCTGGCCTCCTTTATGGGTTTGGATCACCAGTAAATGCACCACTTAACTGCACCGCGACTATACAATTTGGCTCGCTCGAGCTCAACACGAGCTCTGCTTCGAGAGTTGTTACCTGTCAAGCCAAAACCGCATTGGTTGTTGCAAATATCACCTTGAGCGGGAATGCCAACTTTATTCTATCAGGACTTCCGACAACCTCTATTCAACTGGGGAACGGTGGAATATTTACATTTCAAGCCGCTTTCAAGCCTTTCGAAGTAGGGCCTCTCTCTTCTGATATCATCATTACGACGAGCGGCGCAACCGGATATAGTACCACAACTCCAGTTGCTCTTCGTGGTAATGGCGAAAGCGCGAGCCCCCTATTGCAGATCAACCCGCGCCTCCTCTCATTTGCCGGCGCTGTTACCGGCGCAGCTCCGGATGGCATTGAACAGTCAGTTCTCATCAACAATCTTGGCAACGCACCCCTAGTCATCAGTGACATTGGATTCTCTACTGTCGGGAACGGAGGTCCATTCAGCCCTGGAGATGTGACCTCCCAGGGGACTAAAATTGGCGCCTTTACATTTATTGGTTTACCTGAGGCTATCCCAGCACAGTCCAGTGCTACTGTCAGGGTCAATTTTGATACATCCCACAGCGGCAGCTTCGCTGCCTTTGGGCAAATAATATCCAATGGAGGCACTGATCTTCTTCGTGTCGTCGGTGTGTCAGGCGACGCTCCTATTGGCTTGGTCGAATTCCAGAGTGAAGACGGCACCCGCTGGATCAAGTACACGCCCGGCATGAGCTTCTCATTCGGCAACGTTACCGAAAACACTACCCGTTCTCTGAAGCTCAGAATTACCAACACAGTGGGACCTGAGGGTGCCGCCCTGGTTTTGACAGTATCAAAACCTCCATTCGGTCAGCTTACTATCATCGGGGCTGCTAACTCGGTTGACTTAGCCGAAGGTACGCGACTTGTTCCAGGAGAGAGTATGAATGCTACTTTGTTCTGCGCTGTTCCAAAATCGCAGTGGAATCTCGATCCCACCCCTGGCTATGCCGAATGGACTTTGAACACAAACGATAATACCGGAAAGCAAGTTATACAGTTCGAATGTTTGGGCGTGGCCGAGCAGTCAGCGCCATTACAAAGCAATAGTGACCAAGCACGCTACCGTTATATTGGGTGCTACCTAGAGAACAATCCTGGCCGTCAGTTATCTAACCAGTACTATGGGGCTGCGGACAACACTATACCGAAATGTACTGATGCGTGCGCGAAGGCAGGTGCGATATTTTGTGGAACGCAGTATCATAGAGAGTGCTGGGGTGGGAGAACTATTCCATTGCAAAAAGTACCAGAAATTAACTGTAATTTCGATTGTACAGGAGCACTGTTCCAAACCTGTGGTGGAAACGGGGAAGGAGTGGGAGCTGGCAGATCGTACATCTCCTTATTTGCCGACATCAACCAGTACAACCCCAACGGCACAATTCCCACTTCTTCGGCGTCACCTCCTGGCACATCAAACACGGCGATCCCAGCCCCAACCGGTGGGCCGGTTGTTAATCCAGGCGTAGGGACCTACGGCAGCGTTGGTTGTTACACGGAGGCAACCACGGGCAGAGCTTTGCCCAACGGCTTTGCAATGCCTGCTGGAAGCAGGGCTGTTGGTACTTGCATTGCTGGGTGCGCGTCCAAGAACTACCTGTACGCCGGATTGGAATATGGCCAAGAATGCTGGTGCGGTAACGCTCTCGGTACCGGCTCAGTTCCTGCTCCATCGGGTGAATGCCGTGTTCCTGTAGGTGTCCTTTTCCTTAATTGGGGTTTTCAAACTCCTTTCTCCAGTGTTCAAGAGGAACTTTCATCCTTAGGCACAGCTCTTGAATTTGGGGCAAACAAACAAAAAGATTGTATGCTAACTGATCAAAGTGTGCCAATAACGCAAGTGAGTACTGCGGTGGCAGTTCTAGGTTGAATATTTACCGTGCGGGTACTTTGCTATCTAGTACTAGTATAGCTCAAACCTCGACACGTTCTGACATTCAAAGCTCGACAATTGCCACTCAGACGTCCTCTTTAGAGTCAAGCACCTCTCATAGTCTTACAACTTTATCGAGTAGTACGACCTCTGGCTATACTCAGGCCTCATCTTCCACGACTAGCGGCTCATCTCGCAGTTCTGAGGCTTCTATGGAGAGCAGCACAACAACAACTCAACAAAGCGCTTCTCCTACACAAACCCGGCCCTCGGTCAAGCAAACAGTTGGGGCTTACGTCTTTCAGGGATGCTATACTGAAGCCGCAAGTGGACGAGCATTAAGCGCGAAAAGCTATTTCAACGATATGATGACCCTTGAAATGTGTGCCATGGCTTGCGCTGGGTTTCAGTGGTTTGGTGTTGAGTATAAACGAGAATGTTATTGCGGCAATGCCCTTAATCCGGGAAGCGGTTTGGCTGCAAACCAAGCAGACTGTAACCTTTTGTGCCCAGGTGACCCAACTACCCTTTGTGGTGCGGGGGTTAGATTGCAGATGTATAAGCTTACGTCTCAGTCATCCACGTCCATCTTTTCTACCAGTAGCTCGCTCGGATCGGTAACCACGTGAGTTTTTCTTTTCTTTTCGCCCTCCCACCATGGGCGTCGACCTTTTGCATGTATTTTCGTTGCTAACTGACCCCCCAAAAGTCTTAGCATCTCTTCTCCGACAACAATTGTTTCAACAGATACGCTATCTTCTTCCATGTAAGTCCGCCTTTGTCATGTATGAAAACCGGCTTTTCTTGAGTGCTACGTGTGCGTCTGATATTAACGTAACTGACAATACCTTACTCAGAGTGACAACCACAACTCCACCGACGACCACGTAAGTCAGATACTAGTCAAATTCAATATATTTATACATCTTTTCTAATATTCTCATTACAGCATCACCTCTATTTCGACTTCCACCACCACCTCGACTTCCTCATCGCTCGTCGCTTCGTCATCCACTGCTACCTCATCCTCCACCGCTGTATCGGTTTCAACTGGCGACACCAGTTCATCAACAGCCTCCGCCACAATTTCTTTATCTAGCCTTTCCTCGACTAGCAGCTCAACGTCAAGTAATAGTGCATCAAGCACTACACCGTCAAGTACAGTCTCATCACCCACAACTGTTCAGACATCTTCCACATTAGGTACTACTACAGCTTCGACGACATCCAAAAAGAGCACCAGTGTAAGCTCAAGTAGCCGAGTCCCACTCTACACTGGCCCCCCAGTGACTTCGCAAGGAAATGTAAACTTTACCTACTACTCATGTGTATCAGAGCCATCGACAGGGAAGCTCCTCCCACGACAAATTGAAAACAATGCTACGATGACCATTGACCGTTGTCTCTCGGTCTGCTCTCAATACCAATATGCTGGTGTTGAGTACGGACGCGAGTGTTGGTGCGGAAACACGATCAACTTTAATGGTAACAACGCGGTGACTCCAGGCAAAAACGTCAGCGACACTCAATGTAACTTTCAATGTCCCGGAAATTCGAGCCAATTTTGTGGGGCAGGAAGTAGAATTAACCTATACTGGTTTGATCTTCAGAAGACTATAAGAGATATAGATGTTACTTTAAAATTATAGATAATTAAAATAATTAAAATAATTTATTATGGGCGCTACTAAATCTAGATAATATTTTTATAATATCTAGATAAATATATAACTTTTTTAAGCGAAGATAGCCGATATACCTAATTTGTTAGTATAGTCTATCTTTAAGTAAAGCCTTATATAGCCCGCTCTATATCTTCTAAAATAATTATATAGTCTTATCTTACTACTCTACTATAACTACTTTTCTTAATACTATAACTATCTTATTACTATAATTAATTATTATAATACTATCTTTACTTTATAGTATTTAATACTTATAAATTATATTTCTTTAATATTTTACTACTCTACTCTATAAAGATAATAATTCTTAGCCCTCTATTAGTAAATATAATCTATAAAACTAAAGAGAGTCTTCTTAAAGTATACTAAGTCTATAAGTATTAGGTAATAAATACTTATATTATACTATAGTACTTATAAAGAGTCTATAGTAAGTATAGAATATTCTAGAAAGATATATCACTAAAGTAGTAAATTTAATTTCTAAGTAAATATTCTAGAATAAGAATATTACTAATATTCTTATTAATATTAATAATAGTAACTAGTTAATTTCTAATAAATAGAATCTTCTAGAGTTAAGGTTTCTACTATATAAGGGTTCTTTAGTTCTAAGTAGATAGCTTCTCTCTCTAAGTAATTTATTAACTTATTCTCTATACTATAAGTTTATTCGAACCTTAAGTCTCGCGACTACGATAATTACCGCTATTCTCCCTATATTATATCTATATATATTCTATATATCGATATAC